AGCCACCCACACCAAAGCTCGCTTTAGATACAGAGGAAATTTAAATAATGACCGCCTCATCTCTTGGGAGAGAATGGGGAGAACAGGAAGCAAGTACGTGGAAAAGCAGAGGACTGGAAATTCTAAAGGCTTAGCAGGACGCTAATGGCCACACAGCAAGACTTGATATCAAAAGCACAGATAGACGTCTGAGCTTGTTCATATTTCAGCAATGCTTTACCATTTTTTCCTGCACATCAGTTTATCCCCCGACCAAAAAGACGTCCTTGGTAACCAATAGAACAGATGAAGGATTAAAAAGAAATACAAATCATCTTTAATTCAACCCAGTTTCCTAAGTGTAATGCTTTTACCAAATGTGCTTTCTCCCTCTAAAGATGACAAGAGTCAGGGCAGAATTCATAAGATGTCTTAGCACAGGAGCCAAAGGGAATGACAACAACAGACTATCAGTTGCCAGGATATGAAATGACACGGCCGGGTGTGGCGGAGCGTTGTTTTCAACACATCTCACGGCTAAAACATTATTGCATACCAACAAATGCCTGCATTTAGTTTGAAAGGAATGTAGATGCTGTGTTTTGCCAAAGTTAGTTTCGACTCCCAGCGGTGAGAGGATTGATCAAACATGGAGCTCTAGATGCCTTTCCTGATGTTTTTTTTTTTCTCTCCAGTTCGCATGGAAGCTGAACTTGTGCTTCCTCTGGGTCTCTCTATAGAGACGTGCCTGCATAAGGGAGGACAGCTGTTAGAGTCGTAATCACTCTCTCTAGATACACACACTTTTGGCCACTTTGTAACATCTAGAGGATTTCAATGAGATGTGCAGATAGTGAGAGAGAGTGTTGCTGTTAAATAACCAGGGTAACCATGGAACTGGATTTGGATAAACATCTAACCCTAAACCAAATCCCATACAATTTGTGCTGTGGGTGTGAATATCGAAAAAATATGCAGTCTAATATTATATCATATGTTCACTGAAGGAGTGATCCTAGCCTATATGAAGGGACTAGAATATCATGGAGACTTATGATCGATAATACGATTATTAATATGAACACAATCATGTTTTATGCATTAAAAATACTCATAAACCGCATCTTTTGAGCAGATTAGTGTTTCTAAGATTGCCCAGAACAGGAAGAACATTTTAGAAAATCCCCAGTGGGTCCTTAAAAAAAAAAAAGAAAGCTGAGGATCCTGAACACTCAGGCCATAAACTCTGACACATATACATATGCAGTCATACAGGGATCCCTGTCCATCTCTCAGCTCTGGTACCCCTCAGTGTTGACAGAGGAGACATGGGTTCCCATTGAAGAGGTCACTCTCACCCCAAAACCAGATGTTCACAGTAAGCAGGCAAGTGTAGAAAGACAGCCTCACTCTAAGCCTGTTTTCAATTTCTCAAATAAACGGAGACACATGTAATAAGCAGACATGGCAAGAAATACCTGGACTGTGATGAGTTAATAAAATAATAGCACTTTACATTAATGGAGTACAAAATAAACCCTCCAGAAATGTTGATTGTCTACACGAGCCGTTTATTTTGCTGCATATTTCATGAGGCTTGCAATTTTTGCAAACGTGTTACTATAATTTGTGGCACTAAATACAATGTAGCCTGGACTCATGTGATTTTCTTAACTAAAGAGACATTTTAAAATGTTGTTGTTGATGATGTTCTTGGTAAAGTGTGTAATATTGTACAGTAAGCTATGTTAAAGTTTTGATCTTCTTAAATCTGTTTAATACATAATGAACATCGTGTTTTATCTATATTTTGATTTTAGAGCTAATTAAACACTTTTCACTGTCGACAAAGCACTTGACACTTAAATATTTCATAGATGAGGTTCAAGTTAAGTTTGGATTCCTAATTTTAATACAGGGCCCCACATAATGCATACAGGCTCAGTCCTAACAGGGTGGCAGATAAATCAGTTTCAAAGCTTTCGGGAGAGCAGTGAGAGCGGTCATATCTCATACGCTCAAGGTCAAGGACACAAAAGCCCCGGAGACAGAGACACAGCAGGTTACTCAGCAGCACGTCCTCCACTACAGCAGAGTCTGGATCTCATCCAGCGGATAATGGAATCAATGGGGCTCTCGGGTCGGATGGAGGATACTGCCCCAGAACGGAGGACTGGGAAGAGTCAAGAATGGAATGGACAACAAAGATGATCCTCTCTGGAGGATCACGACAGAGACTTCAATTACTGCTTGGCGACCTTCCTGATTCAACAGAGCAAGAAGACTATTATTTACGGCCAATGTTCTTGCTTACACTTAATAATTGGGGATTAAGGACTGTGAGTGACCACTGAACTTCATCATGTCATCATATGCAGTTAATTGGTTACAAGAATGGTCTGATAGAAATCTGTAAGACCCAAAGACATTAAACTTTTCTCAAGAGACAATATACTAGATCAGCTGTCACTGAGAAAGACATATATTCAGGGAGTTACACAACATAAAACTTCAGTGCTGCTCAGAGGGAGAAAAAATGTATCCTGTCATGAATCCCCTGCATCCTGTCAAAGCCAAAGCTATGTGTTCAAGAGGAATGAAGCACATGTGATAGACTAAGAGAGGTCCCCCAAAGGTCTGTTACCATTATTTATTCACCCTCAAGTTGTTCCATACTTGTGCGACAAAATAGCTTTGGTATTTTAAATGACGACTCGTATTACTGCGTCCCCTGCAGATATGGGAATCGGTTGTTGTGAGTGCAATTACTATAAGCAACCTCACACGACGAGTGCTGTTTTCCTGAATACCATCACGATTGAAAAAATGTGACATTGATGTCATACAATAGTTCAATAAACAGTTAAAATGAGGTCACTTACAATTTAGATGTAATATTGACTGTTTTTGTTTCGTTTCAGCAGCGAAAAAATAGTTCCAAACAACCATTGTGGATCTTCTAACAGCGACGCTCAGCCGTGGTTTCATTACGGAATGATTCAGCATTTTGAACGAATCGGTTGAGTCAAAGATTCAATGGCCCACTCATAAACATTTTTGAATTAATTCATTGTTTGAAAGAACGAATGAATTAATGATGGGCGTGTGTTCAGACGGTCGTCTGCCTTGAACAATCTCATTACATTATTTATTGCAATTGTGATTTAATTTGATTAGCCATACTTAGGGTAACCGCCATTATTCTAAATAATTTAATATTTAAATAAATAATTCATGCTTACCTCCAGTCCAGTGTAAATAAAAGTTCTTTTATCATGGATTTAATATAGGCTACGTCCCTTCAATTGGTTAGCAAAACTTGATGTGGCCCTCTGGTTTGCCCTACTCTGGATTAATCAATTTGACAGCACTAATTTTCTAAAATATTAAATGAAATGTCACAAAATAAATGAAAAAAAAAAACCCAAACAATTATATATATATTTATATGCGTGTCTGAAAACTTATCTCTTCCGTGAGCACTTAAACAAAAAAATCTTTAAATCCTCACTTGCCTGGTTTATGCTACTCTGAGTAATGTTCAAACTTTGTCTTTTGAGCACTACTTGTGTTGTTATTGCCTCTTCACGACGACTTTAGTCCTCAGATGTAGGTCGCTTTGGATAAATATCGCTTTGTAAATATATATGTGTGTGTATGTATATAAATGTGTGTGTGTGTGTATAATTTTTTTTCAATTACTAGGACATTGAAACATTTAAATGCAATTTTAAAAAAATACATAATTTTTATAACTAAAATCAATTGTTAACCACTGTCAACTGAGCTAGAATGGTTATAAGATAGGAAACTTGTATGTCTGCAGTACACAAGATTTTCACAACCCACATCAAAGCATTCGCTATAAATGTCTCCAATCTAACCCCAGTGTCTTGAGTTAGCCAGAACTGTTCTCTGTCTTTAATGTGGGCAGTGCTGTGAGGCGTAGCGGTTCACACATTGGATAAAGATGATTTTGAGTCGTAAACTAGTACTGAACTCCAAGGTTGCAGTAACATCATTCATCAAACACTTCCATTTTGCTACATTAACTCCAGGCAGCCTGAGCTGTTACAAGAGCCTTATAAAGAAGCATGTCCAACACATATTGTATTCTGAGCATGGTTTCACAGGAAACCAGATCATCAATAAAGGACTCCCATGTGTTTTGTTTTGAACACACTAGGGACAGGCACAGAGAAATTACTACAAACAGCTGAAGAATTTTTTGTTCAACAGCTCATATGGATGCCTTGTGTGCATTGTGAATGTGTCTTGCTGATCAAATTGCTCAACAAAACAGGACACATGCATTGAATGAGGGGAGTGATTGCTATCAAAATATGCTTTCAACAGATAAGTGGCTTGTAAAGTATTAGGCCATAGTTGGTTTTGCAACTCTTCTGGGAGATGTACTTTAATGTGTTGGACTGATATGATTTGCTTTAAAATAATTTTGTGTCCAGGTCTTTGACTAATAAGGTTTGGTCCACAATGAAGCTTATTCTGGCACATAAATTGGCACATGGGAGAGCAAGTGACCAGCGACCTAAGAGCTCCAACATCAACACGTTCAGATGCTTAACGAATGGACACACACACTGAAAGTCTTCTGTAAAAGAGGAAACAGATACTTGAACAACTGATTAAAAGAAGATTAAAAATTAATAGATCTGTATTTTTAACAAGAATCTGTAATAAGTAATAAAAAATTATATCTTAAGGGTTAGTCAACAAACACTTCTCAATATCACTTCACCCAATCAAATAAATTGAATTCAGAAAAGACAGTCTGAGAATACAATCGTGGATGTCATTTCATACGTCTACCACAAGAGGACAGAACTGCATCTAAAATGCAAAAAAAAGGTAATAAAATAAAAATGAATAAAAAGTGATTATTTCAAAAAAGTCTAATACTGTTATTACTTTAGAGATTATTTTAAATACAGTTTTTATTTTAAATACTGGTCTAAAATGCACAACTAAAATAACATACACTTCAACTACAGAGAGACAAATATTTTCCATATCAAATTTTATTGCTGACATGCATGTAGAGATTTGATGAAGTACAAAAATATGTCTTTTATACAAATTTGTTTTTCATCTCTGTACAATTACCCAGTTTTTTTTTTTTCTTTGACACCATTCTAACCAAGCAGCTTACAACATCAAACGGTCAGGCAAGTTTCATCATGTTTTGTTTAACATCAGATTAGATTTTCCAGTTTTAGTAAAAGATGCAAAAAAGTAACCATTCTAAAGAGAAATCTCCCAATTTATGAAACATCTGCACGAAGTGGCCAAAAAACGAAAAGGAATTCAAAGTCAAACTTAATGTTCAGTATCTTCCCTTGCACTGTCTTTGTGTTTGAGTATTCATTTGTAAAACACCCACATTCACTCCAATATCTGCTGCATCTTATGGCACGTCTTGCTAATTAGAATCATGCACTAATTGCTTTTAAACTGTATACAGAGCTCAACAAATTACGCTTCTCATGCTGCAGACAGAATTTGGACATCAAAAAACTGTCTATGCAAGGTGGGGGATGTGGGGGGGGGGCACATTAAACAAAAATGTACTTATTTCTTTCATCTAGGTTTTGAGTACACAACCACATCAACAGCAGTCATATTGCAACCGTACAAATTTGCTATGATATAATGGCTTTTGTGAGAACTCTACGCGGACCTAGTATATAGCCTTGAGGCACTCCTTTTTGTATCGATGGAAAAGACTTTGATTTGGTCACAAATAGCTCCTCTCCATCAAGTCACACATATTATCCACTACAATACTGCTTTATAACCAAATAAATTCACATTGAGCTGGGAAAAACTAATGCTTTCAAAGGTGGCTTGTGTGGTACATTGGTGTGTTTCTTCAAAATAATAATACCCTGTACTGGGTTTTGCACTACTGATGCCCATTCGCCATTACGATGTCTTTCACACTGGCCAGAGTGCGGTATCATCCTTACCTCGCAAGAGAAACCCTACATCGATTCTACATGTCATGCTAATGTGCACATTGACTTAAAATAGAGCTATGCAAAGTCAGTCTCCTAATTAGTGTAGCTTAATATACCGACAGGATTGTTGAAATAATTATTCAAGAATTTTTAAAAAAAGAAGGAAAGAGAGTCAATAAAACAAAACCTTCACTGAAGATAGAAGGGGGGAAAACGTGAGAGATCACAGCAATGCTTTCGTGTGATATATGATCTCTACATTTACTATGGCAGATTAATTAATACAGCAAATAAATTAAAAGGAAAACAGAAAGGTAAGAAAGTACGACCAGGCTTTACGTCTCTGAGAGAGGAAGTCAAAGTGGAGATTAAAAAGGACAAGTCAAGCTGCTAGTCATGAGCTCAGAGACCTACAGTACTGAATGACCTTTTCATCTAATGACATGAGTGGAGCCAGACATAAAGGCATTGCAAACTAAGCCACAGGTCCATGCAAGCCAACCGCCTAGTATACTAAGGTATATTCTAGCATCAAAAGTACATATTCACTGCTCATGGTTGAGAATCTGTTAATCTAAGGCAAGATATCCCACAGTTATGCTTTATACAAATGGGGTAGCTTAAATGGGATTGGAAAAGTCAAAGGAGATTAAGAATCTGTTTCCTTGCAAAACTCTCACAAAAGAAACAGATTAAGAGGAGTGAGTTTGATGGCATTCCCTTCCTGATGAGCTTGAAATATTGAATAACCATACATGGAAATGAGGGGTAGGTGAGGGAAAAGAAACAGTCCCCAATGCAATTGGTTTCTTTGTATCACGGTGGCCAAAAACGTTCCCTAGCGGCCAATCCTCGATCCCTGAGCTGCGGCTGAAGTCTGTGTGGGGAACGAAAGCACCGGAGATAGAGGACATGGCAGAAGATGCACTTTGATGGCTTGGCATGCTATCAGAGGGCGAGTGCTATAGACGAAGGGAAACAAAAGGAAAGGAGGGCTTAAGGGCTGTGCTTACAGGGCTTATCTTGGCTTAGACTTCCGCATGACTGCCGGCTCAGCCGCCCTACTTCCTGACCGTTTCATCTCATCACCAGCTGTCCCATACCTCATCTTTTTCCAAGCACAGCCCCACAAAGAGTCCCCATGTGATATACACACCAATATCCATGGCTGTCCCACCTAGCTCAGCTTTTCGAGAGCCCGTTGTAGTGGCGTAGAACATGTTTAAAATGTTGGAGGAATGCACAGGAAATGGTGGGATTCATGCTGCCTTCTGACGAAAGCAAACGGGGAGAGTAACGTACCAGTAACGCCGGTTTAGATGCCAAGTTAAGCTTTTGGTTGTATGCATCCTGACACAGATGCTAGCTGCCAACAGAAACCCATTCAAATAGAGGAATGAGAAACATGCGCTGCTATGATTTCAGTAATATGAGGTTATTAGCTTTCTAACTTATACTTAACATCTTCAAATGGCAAAAAAAAGAGAATAATCTTACTTAAAATGCTACTGTCATTGTGGGAGAGGAGGGGGGAAAGCTTATTTAGATTGAGGAAAAAAACAATCACTGGTTTTGACACAGAATAGTTACACAACCACAATGCTAATGCTCTTGAGCCTGTGCTTGTCTTCCCCTCAACATAAGAAGTCCTGCTTTCATAAGAACGGAGAGCATTGTTAAAAACTGACCAAGAAAGGAGGAAATAGAGAGATAGAAAAAATGGTAAGAGGTAGATTTGCAATCATAGATGCAGATGGGAGCGGAACAGACAAACTGGTTGAGGGGAACAGAACCAAAGGGTTGATCATGTGATCCGAGGCATTTCTGTAGAAAGTGCTGGGGGAGAGGTGGGTGGGGAAGGGTGGTTGTGTGTCATCTGCTACATGATTCTGTTGGGGTATTGCTGAAAGTGTGTGTGTGTGTGTGTGTCAGTGTGTGTGTGTCAGATTTGGGCAAGGATTGGCATGGTGGAGTTGGTCAGAGTCTCATTAGACCTTTGTGCCGCCCATAGGCAGAGTCGGTGTCCTGTGTGGATGAATAGAGCAACAGAGCACTGAGCTGTTCCTTGGCCCTTGTTTGTTTGACTCATAATGTGTACTCACAAACATTCTCACACACAACGTACATACAAGTGTGCGCCTAGTTCGGAGACTCAATCCACTCCCGCTGACCACCACCCATGAACAGAAAGGCGGTGCTACTTCCGGAGGAAGCGCTGGGCCAGTATTGCAGCATCCAGAGGACTGATGGGCTGTGCATCATGGCCGAGGCGCCTCACTGGAGGCCCGTTACCGAAATGCCGCTTGCTGAGGAAGTTCTTGGTCTCGTGTATAGTGTTCTTCTCTTCAGCCAACAAGAGCTGTTGCCTCATGTAGTTCTCAAATTCGTACTGAGACGACTCCTCTGTCACTTTCGCCTGAGGATATAATAAAAGACTGAGAACCACATCATAGTAATGCTAGTTAAAGAGTAAATTCCCAATATTCTCAATTCCAGCTTAATAAGCTGCTAGTTGGTTGGTTAAAACACTGGCACTTTCAAAACATTGTCAGGTTGGCAGGATTCTCAAGCAAAGCAAACTAACCAATGGTGTGAGTTTAAGATGGGACTATCAGTTAACCCGGTTTGAAAATATATTTTTACAATTTCGTTCAGAGCTACGAGAGGCACTACACAATTTTGGCCCTTATTTATAAGACACAAGTAAAACAAACACATACAATATTAAAAAAAATCAGTTCATACATAAATTGTCCCATTCATTTAAATGCAACAGGGTTTAAGGAGTGGTTCTATATAATTTAAGTTAACCTGTGCCCCTTGTGTTTCAGAAAAAAGGTCCTTCACCCTTAAACTTTCATATAATTGTAATTCCTACGAGTAGTACTGACCTCCTGAGGATGTTCGGGGTGGTTAAGCTGATCATCTATGTCTGGCACCACTTGAAGAGGGCCACTCAGCGAGGACACAGATTGCCTGTTTAAAAAAAAAAAAATCTTTCAATGACAAATAGGAATTTTTATCTGTATAGCCAAGGGAGCTTTAAATGCATCCTTGAAAACTGCAATGGATTGCAAAATTTGTGGTGAGACAACGTCGCTGACATCACCCTATTACATTAACTCCCAAGTTGTGTAAACTCTGACAAGAACTTTTGGCTAAAAATGGAACTATAAAGCTGATTTAATATCAGATGAGACGCACCAGGATGCGATGATGGCGCTCAGAGACTCAAGCACCTCGGTGGCAGTGAGCCTCTGCTGGGGGTCAAGCACCAGAAGCTTCCGGATCAAACACACCGTACTTTCTGATACCCGCCCATCCCTGCACAAACAAAAGACAAAGACGCATAAGCATTTACATTAACATTTCACAGACTTCATTGAAAGTAATAGCTCACCATAAATAAATAAATAAAAATAAAAGTTCTAAGTTGTGCAATTATTTTCAGGGAAAGGCATGGCAAAAGTAGTTCCAGAAAATTGTTGTCAGTGCCGCTCTGACGATTTTATCAGTACAAATGTTTAGCAACTTAAAAGCTACATGACATTTCTCACTAGCGAGATAATAATGGCTCAGTTCTTGAAGCAGATACACATACAGTTTCACTATTAGATATGCTGCTGACAGAAGGCTGTTGAGAAACGCACAGACTCAGGTAATTCACACACACTTAATCTCTCTCTTTCTCTCTCTAATATCTGCATTAGTCTGTTATCAATGGCTCAAGCCTCCGTTCTTAGCAGTAAAATTGCATTTTGCAATTAGCAACGGAGGCATGGCAAGTACGGTTGCCACCTTCACCGACTTGCAACAATACATTATTATATTACATTTTATTTTTTATTTTTTAATTTCTAAATAACTCAATATATGTTTAATATATGTTGGTGAGCCTTAATCAGACATTCTGAACCGGCAATCATGTTTAACAATTATACCAGGATGGGATGATTTTTCCATTTAAAATTCACTTAAATTACATAACTAATTAAATTATGACTACATTATTATGTAATTATTTGTCACATTTTTATTGAAATAATTTAGTACTTTTTCAAACTTTTTTTAAATGCCATAAATTGTGTTTGACAGATAGAATCATCAATTATTATGCATATGATTAATATTCAAAACGCTAAATTAATTATCATCGATTAATTAATCTGTCTAATAATATCTACAAATATACTAGTTACCTGTCTACCAAACTCTGACAATCTATGAAATATTATATTAAGAGATTCTCCAAATTTAAAAACAAAAAAAACAATAGGCTTATACTTTTAAAAGCACAGATTTGTCGGTCACGGAATCCTTCTCACATGACACCATGTGAGCAAATGAAACAAGTTCGCCTTACGTTCATCATTATTTACTGGACAGACCCATTAATAACTTTTTAGAGGACATGAGCTCGACATGGTTTTAAAAAAGCCATGCATTACGCCCGTTTACGGCACATCACGTTCTCTAGACTCTGTCGCTATGGAAACAAAGACGTTAACATGCAATCACCGGCAAATGAACTTCTCCACCACTTCTTGTGAAATTGATTTCATTATAATTACAAATTGCAAAATCCTTATTTGTTTATTCAACTATGTGTGGGTTTATGTACCACCTCGGGTGTGCATTATTTTCTAAACATTCAACAGCCCATAATCAATTATTCCTTACTACGGGAAATGTCATATGACAATTTGTGTGGAACAGAAGAATATTTTAGTGTCAACTTAATGAAAATCTTGACACACGATGTGAAAAAGTGTTTTTTTTATTTTTTTATTATCGAGTGGTCTATCCTTTTAAACAAGGGCCAACACAATAGTTGCTAATTAACATAACATTTGAACACATTTGAACATTTTTAAACACATTTGATTAAAATCAAAGCACAGCGATAATGGAGAGACTCACTCAGGGATGGAGTACTCTGCTGCTTTGATCTTGCGGAAGAGCTCTTGAGGTATACTGTCATAGAACGGGAACTGGCCGTAGAGCATGGTAAAAAGCACCACTCCGAGTGCCCACATATCGCTGGGTTTACCGCGGTACGGTCGACCTACATGGAAACACAAAGTGCAATTTCAGCAGGCAGCTCTAGTACAGATTGCTTATTCAATCAGACTCGAACTTTCTCTTGGCACAGTACCAACACAAGTACGTACATAAGTACGTTATAAGTTTTTTACTCCAATCTGCAGTTACATGACCCTTCTGAAATCATTCCAATATGCTAATTTGATAATAAATGAAATCTTTTTTAGCACCAATGTTGAAAACAGTTGTTTTCTTTGATGCATTTATTTTAAATAGAAACATTTGTAATCATAACATTGTAAATGTATTTACTGTCAAAATTGTTTAATCAATTTAATGCACCCGTGAAAAAAAAAAAATCGAATTGACCCCAAACTTATGAATGGTGTGTTTAAAAGATGACACTCTTAGTAGCATATGTTATATAGTCCCCCAAAACCTATTCACACTCACCATACAGGTTTGTTTACCACCATAAATGGGCAACAGAACACAACAGAAGAGTACAAATGAGTCATGGGAGCTTGTTTTAAACGAGGGGTTAATTGGGTAGGTTTCTGTTTGGTAAACAGCTTGATTTGCATGGTATGTTTTCTGTAATGTACACATTCTCTCTTTTTCTCTTTACTTTGACCCAACGCATGAGAAAGCGAAAGAGAGGTAGAGGAGAGAGAGTGAGCGATGGAAAACAGTGAGTGGAAGAGAGAGAGAGAGAGAGAGAGAGTGAGAGAGATAGGGAGAGAGAGCAGGAAGAGTAGTTCCTCTCTGCATGACTCATTGTGATGACTCACTGAAGCAGCTCTCCCTTTGTTCTGCTGTCATTTTCGGCTGATTTACTCCCGGTTACTTTCTGTCATTTTACTGTGAATGGAGACCACAAAGAGCTTGACTGCACCTCTATTTAACATGCATGCTCGGAATGCACCATCTAACCAGAGCCTACATCCACAGAGGTCTCGGAAAACCCCAGAAAACACATGAAAGTCAGTTTTGGAAAGGTTGTGTTGTCGGATATTTTGGCTAGTGCATCAACTAAATGAAAAAGATTTGAAACTACAGGGTTTTTTAACCATTTCAAACAAATAGCACTCTGCACGCAAAGTTCATGACACATTAAGATACATAGTGCACACACATATTGATTTTGGATAAAAGTCAATTTAAAATCATTTTGAATGAATCATACTTGTAATTATTAATGCCAATACGCTTTATTTCTTCACTAAACTGATGCCGCCTCTGAATTAAGCAAAACAAAAAATGGGTATCTCAGGAGGCAACCTTCCTTTTGGAATAGACTTGTGTCAGACAGAAGCCTGTGATGCCTTAATGCACAGGTTTTTGAAACTATATGAATAGATTTACATGCTTTGTAAATGTGCTTTGCAATGTAAAAAACAAAAACAAGAGTCAAAAAAATCCATTTCATTTTAATAGACCTATGGCTAAACCACACCCCCCCCCACTCACTCAGACAAACGGTCAACATTTGGGGACAGGCGCTATGGCAGCTGTCAAAGTAGGAGACATTTCACAGGAGGCAATTGGTGATTTTTGGAGACAGAAAGATTATATGTAATCCCGACACCTAAAGGGCCTTAACTATGCATTGAAGGGTTATATTAATAATTTTATTGTTGAGAAGGTCGATGAAAAGCTTCAGCTCCTGGCAAAAATGTACAGGTCACAGTGTAAACGTGATAAACCACATATCATTGCCATCACCGTTTGGTGCAACAGTTTTTACTCGAATCATTCAACACAACTTTGTTAACATTTGTTATCTCGGTTATTTACAGATACGTTAATGAAGCTAAGTGACATGATGTACAACGCCGATAGCAAACGTTAACGTTTTCTAATGTTAGGCTTATGTTACAGATTTTAAAGATAACGTTCTAATACGTTGTTGACTTAACTTAGAACAGATATAGACATCCTTGTTTGATTAATTTTTTTATTTATAAGGTCCAAATATTTATTCTTTTGACTACATAAATATACATATACCTCTTTCGACTATATAAATGTTTGACAAGATTAACAGTGAGTCTCATGTACTGAAACTACATCACTTGTGTGAACTTCAGTGCCACAAAGAAAGAGATTGTTTGGAAAGATAAACCGCGTGATCCAACCGCTGTTAATTTTATCTGTAGCACTGCTGAGATCTGCCCGAGGCCATGACAACAAGCTTAAGGGAAGAGTTTTGGTATCGAGTCGTTGATGAGCTAACAGGTCAATCATGCGGCACACAACACAAATAATGACTTCAATAAAAGTGACTATTGCTCATCCATGCCGACGGTTTGTGACTGCTGTCCTGATTAGGGCCGGGTAGGTGGTTAGGTTTATGAGCTTTGATTACAGTGGTGACATGAAGGGTGAGTCATGTGAGTCACACACATAAACACACACAGAAGACAAGCTGGATTCTCACCACTTAGGACATCTGGGCTGATGTAGGCTGGACTGCCTCGCTGGTCCTTTAACAGATCTTCTTCACTCACCAAATGCTTGCCAAGGCAAAAGTTTGTGATGGTGATCCGATGGGTCCTGGTGTACACAAACACAACATGCCGATGACGTCAAAAAACAACCATGAATTCCCGCATCAAGTCGCACTGTTTATTAAAAAGACACCTTGTGAAATAAAGATCATAATTTACCACTAAAACAATATGACAAAAAAAATTATAAATTATATGTTACATAAATAAATCTGAAATGGGACAGTTCACCCAAAATAATTGATTGTCATTTAATCACCCTTAAGTTGTTCCAAACCTGTATTACTTTCCGTATTTTTGAATTTCATTGTTCAGCTGAACACATGTATTCAGATATTTTGAAAAATATAGGTAACCAAACAATTGAAGGGCCTCATTGACTTCCATAAGCCAGAGATTCCGGAAAATCCACGGATAATGTGACCCGGCATTTGTCCCGGGATTGTTTGATTTCGGTTCATTCACACTGCCACTGATTTGCCGGGATCTGTGTCTGAACTCTTTCTTCTAAGAGCAACAGAGTTGCGCGATGGCACAAGCGTCCTCACTATAACACACCCCATACAGTATTGGTCCTGGCGCTCGTTCCAGGACTGATTCCAGCAATGTTAAGCCTAGTTCACACTACGTGATTTTAAGCCCGATTTAAGCCCGATTTGCAAATCGTTGAGTCGCCGACAAGTCAGGGTGTTATCGCGTGCAAATCGCGGGCGATTAGCGGACGATTAACGCTCGCCAATCCGTTAGTGTGAAAGAGCCAACAACGCATCAAAGACAGCTCGCAAGACACCTCGCAGACAGGTCACCGAGCTCAGAAAAATATCTAGCCTGCTAGATATCTCGAGCAGTCGCGCGACTCAATCTCAGTGATGTCATGAGTACAGCCAATCATAGCAACGCATGGGTTGAGGACACCAGGTAAATCTTACTTTTTCTTTTTTGCATTTTTTTTCTCAGAGCAGATCGTCGAGCAAACAGTGTGCAGCACTAGTTTCTGTCTGACGTCCATATTCGCGTGTTATGTTCTTCTCTGTAGTTTCGCGTCATTTCTGGTTCGTTTTATTGCGTGGTTTTTCGTTACAAAACATGGTTTCTAGACCAGATAGAATAGTGTTGTTGTCAACTCGTTATTTGTTTGATTATTTTCAGGATTTAGACCGTACTATAGTACTGAAACAGCTCTCATTGAGTCACAAATGATATGCTCTTATCATCCGATCGTGGTTGTATCTCTATGCAGTGCGTTGTTAACTCGTGTAAAGAGTTACCTCCTGTTGTGGATCAATCACGTTGTGTTGTGTGGTGTGAACAGCTAAACAACTTGAACACTCATGATTTCACTGAGAGCAAGTCATGTAATGTGAACTGCACAGTTCAGCCCAACATTTTAAAATCATGTAGTGTGAACTAGGCTTTACTAGGTCCCCAACCCGGCATCGATGCCGGTATCAATCCCGGGTCGTGTTTGCGTTCACACAGAAGGCGTTCCGGCAATTTCCCAGAATCGACGCGCAGTGTAAAAGGGGCTATAGAATGGGGGGGGGGGGGGGGGGGGGTCAATTGGGCCCATCAGTTTTTTGGTTATTAAATGATGACAATTTAAATTTTTGGGTGAACTAGCCCTTCCTTTACAGCGTAACATTATTTTCATTACATGTCAATCTATCTTGTCTAAAGAAAAGGCATAAATTCTCTTTAAATAAAATACAAATAAATAATAATAAAATAAAATTCTTGAATTTTGTATTGTAATCCGATTCAGAAACTTGTTTTGAAAATTTGTTTTTGTTAGATTCACCCTCAAAGAGGCAGTCTAAAATTCTGTATTCGATTAATTTTTACAGCATAAATGCTATATATATATATATATATATATATATATATATATATACACACACATACATGCATATCAAAATGAAACTAACTGTTGTTAGGTGAGTCGTGTTTCTATCTGTGCAAACATGCCTTTGATATTTTTGTCTCTGTCATTAAATCTAATCTATGGCAGACAGCCATTCTGCCTTTCCAGAAAGCAGAACCCAACATGACAGAACACACTGCGACTGCACTTGACAAACAAGTGAGTCACCTGTGGCTTCTCACAAGCTTGGTGATGACTAATCTTTGCACCTCAGAAAGGAAAGAACAGCACTTTTTCAATGACAGGCATGCAATGAAAACAAGCACACCAACACAGAGAACCATGTAAAAAAAAAATACAATCACATTTACAATGAGGAAAACTAACGCGTCAGCTGACTGAGCTGAACTGGGGGACCTCCAATGTGAGAATTCACACAGTCAAGAGCTGTAATCTCCCTTCAATCAAAAAAAAAAAAAAAAATACACCACAACAGCTACATCTCTCAGCTACATCCTCTTTCCCATGCTTCCTCAGTTACGCTCTCACTTTCACACCCTGAAAGTGACTGTCACACTTACGCCTAACAGTTACAAACAGGCTCGTTCCAGAAGCTTTGTTTTCCCAGAATCATTTCTTACTGGTTTAAGGCTCATTACCATCTTCATTTAAAAAGGAGGGTCATGATTAAATTAGATTAAGTGAAAACAGAGTTGAGATTAGTCACAATGGACTATGTGAAAAAAACAATATCAGCATCTGTACCAGTTATTCAATTTCAGCTTACTTTTAATGGTACACACTCAGACAATTTGCTTAAGTTTATGCGTCTCAAGGCATTTGAATACATAATTTATTCAAAAGTTTTGTGTTGAATGGAGATGACCGTGTCATTTTTACACGGCAATTTCACACGGTGGCAATATTTTCAAATGACATGCTCCTAAATGTCACAAACTGGTTGGATGTCTTCCATGACGTTACTTACATGCAGCATATAATGAAAAATCCTAATAGTTTTAATCTTCATAATAGTTTTGCTCTAAATGGAAGCTTTTATCTGACTTCATCATGACTGTTTGAGCTTTGGTTCTCGAACGAAAAAAAAAAAGTCAGCAAGTGTTTCTCCTCAGGACATTCTCATTGCTCACTCTCCTCTTCCTGCTCAAGTGAAGAGACCAGAAGCCTCCCAGTCTCAGTGCTGCTAAAATTAGCCCCCGTTGATGGGAAAAGTTAAATGGTTTGAACGCAAGAGGAAGTCTCGATGTTGAAATCCGGTCAGAACTGCCTCTGCAGGGTGAGGTTAATGTGGGATTTTGAAGCAATTGTTTAGTATTGGAGTTCCTTCGCTTGGGCAATCTGTGCTGTACGAGGAACAAAGCTAACAGTGAAAGCAAATGTGCAGATCAGGCAATTTGTTCACTTTTATAGAGCCTTGACGGTGACAGCCATATGGTGCTCCCTGAAGAGCGGAGTGTGTAAGCTGTGAAGGAGGGAAAGGAGGTATGAAATGATGGCACCAATGCTTGTGAAATGTGAGAGAAGCTTCCGCACAACATGGCAGTTATTGACAAAATCACCGGTCGATTCTGCAGCTTGCAGAAAGCTCCATAGATATTACATGTCAGAATCACATTCAGCAGTCATTTTCGAAGGCCCAAGTATCATGTCATGGACCACTTATGACTAATACCAAGCACTTTCCATTCCACCCAAATCCAACAGTCTGCCGGCTGGGCAGGGTCACACAGACAGTCGGATCAGAAGGGTATTTGGAGAGTGAAAAAGCGAGAGGGTGAGGGTCTGCCAGCATTACATGAGTGTGACTCAGCTCTGAGCTATGAATCCTTTGGCAGAGGGCTGTATTATCTCCAGCTGGGACACAGTGTTCTGCTCTCTTGCTGAACTGAAGCAGACAGACCAGACTGCTCGGTTTCATCACCATAGGGTCCAGTGACAAGTGTGCATACGTGTGGATGTTTTCTTTTGTTGTTCATCAATGCAACACCAGTCTTTTTAATTGACTCCCATGGAACAAGTGTAAAATGCTTGCCTCAACAATGGCACATGCAAGAAATTAAAAAAAAAAAAAAAAAACGCTACACCAAGCAAAAATAAATGCACTGAAACTCACGTGTTACTCAATGTTCATATTTCATAACTGGACAAATCTTTTCTGGGAAAATTTAGAATTGAATATGGGTAAGTTTTACCAAGCAATATTAATTTTGGGTTTATTTGTTTTTTAATGTTTATAAAGAAACATATTTTAAGCACACCAAGGCTGCATTTACTTGATTAAAAATACAGTAAAAACAGTAACAATACAATTTAAGCAGCCATTCTTCAGTGTATTTGAAGAAACAGTGATACTATTTTTTTCACAATGTCAAAGTTTTTACTCTCAAGTTTAAACAATTTAATGCATCCTTGCTTATTTCTTTCAACAACAAAAAAAGCTGACCCCAAAATTTTGAAGGGTATATAGTGTAAGTTAGAAGCATTTTTAGATAAAACAATAGGCTTTGTTTTCCTGTGGACTCGAAGGGGTTAACGCAAAAAATGCTGCATAATGCATACCATCTATTCAACCAGCCAAAACGCCAAACTAAACTAGACCCACTCCTTCTCTCTCTACACATGCCACTGAGCTTATATGGTGTGACGGGTTTCATAATTAGACAAGCTGGGCACTTATGTGACCAAACTACAATATGTGAGAACTCAGTGGCGAGCAACACATGCTGGCAAATGTGACAGGCAGAACTGAGGATTTTCAATTAGTCAGTAACTCTCTCATTCCTCAGGACAGTTGAAAAGGCAGAGAGAAAAAACAAGTTTTTAGAAGCATTCCTATTCCACACACGGCAGAAACACATGCACACGGCACATATGGTGTTTGGAGAGGGACTTTATGGATGAGGGATTGGGAATTCCACTAGACCTATCTGATTCACAGTGCTAGCCGACATCAGATGCCTTCAAGCTAGCATGTGCGGTTTTACCAGCCCCCCCTCCCGTCCCTCTTCCCTGGCTCTATCGCCCTCTCCTTTTTTCCAAGGAATGAACCAGGGGCACGTTCCACGCCTGTTCGTTTTAACTGGGATAGTTTCCCGCTGCTCCCTCCCCTCCCTCTTCAGCCTGTGGGGATGAATCACACTCACACTAAGAGCTCAAGAGGAGAGGGGTCAATGAGGCCAGACGGTGCTCCATGAAACCTCAACAGAGACCTGAGCGCACAGAAAACTCCACTAGCACAGCGTCAGCAGGTAAAAGGAAGAGGAAAGACGTCTTACCTTTTATTGAGCACCATGTTTCCAAGCTTCAAGTCTCTATGCACGATGTTTTTCTACAATGGTAAGAACAGTGAAGAGTTACAATACACACCCAGCAGGGTCTAAATGCTGCCTGCATATTAGTTTTGGCAGTTTAAAGCAGTGTTGCAAACATTAAAATCAACAAACAAAAAAACATTTGCAATCATTTTACTTCTGCAATATGACAAACTTCGGAAAAAACAAACTAATTCAACAAGAAAAAAAATTGCAGGACGTTTAATCCATCAGTAACCATAGTACAAAACATAAATAGTAGCTAAAAAATAAATAAAAATAAAGCGAATCCAATGTGACTGGCATTGCAATCAAGTTATGAACTAATACTGAAACTAAAATAATTTTTGCTAATCAAAAAGGCTGATATATATATATATATATATATATATATATATAAAATTAGATAGAAATGTCCGGTTTTGATTTGGTCTTGGCTTTAAAACCAGATCACCATGGCAACCCACCTTATGTAACGCCTCCACCACTCTCACCACATCGTAGAAGATAACGATGGCCTCGCGCTCGCTCAATCGCTTCTCTTTGATGACATAATGCTGCAGGTTGATGAGGTCGGCCGTCTTGTCGCTGAAGTCGTGGGCACAGAGGCAGTCGAGCACCAGACAGATTCGTCTCTTCATCTTCCGCACTTTGTTGGCCTCCATGTCCTCGACAATCTCATAGGATCGGTCCTAAGACAGAAAAGTGAAAGAGATAATGCGTTATAAAAGTTTTTCGCAGACAATAATTGCAGGGACAGCATAAAAGACTTTGCGTCGGCCAACCCAGCAGTGCATTTAACAGTGTCTAACAAAGAAAACGGATAAATAACCGCACCACTAAACTTTTGAATGGCACGGAAAAGAAAATACTGCGTTTCATGGGCAAGATGACGCTAATGGACTGGTGGTAGAAAAAGGAAAGCAGCGATTCTCCTGTATGACTCGCCATGTGCAACAGTTTGAATGATAAAAGCCCTCCTTCGGTCACCTGAGACCGAGGTCAAACGAGGGCCACAAATCGATCGGCAGTGTGGTTTGTGTTTGCAATGACTGCGCCTCCGAACACAAGAGGCGATCCATAATTAACTGGCCCACTCTAGAGACAAGCTATAATAAACCAATCAATACTGCAAGCTTCAATGAATGGCCCTGACAGAACAGAACAGCTTGTTCTGCAGCCGGGGAAGAAAGGAGAGGCCTATGATATAGTTAAAAGCCGACGCAAGAGAGGGAGGAGAAAAAGCATCTCAAAGAGAAAGTAAGTGGTGAGTCACTGCTACCACTGTGATGAAAATGAAAACAACTGAAGGAACACATTAAGCTGTGAGACTGAGGACGTGCACAAGGGGAGGGACTATCTTTAGGCGTCTCAAATCGATTCAATTTTGATACAAAGAGTCAAGACAGATTTCAAAACAAGTTGGTGCATTTCGAATTTCAAAAGACAAATCTTTAGTGAATCAAAGCAGATTGTGTACTCTCATTCAACAATAGATCAATACATAAATATATAAATAAAATAGAAGAGGTGGTTCAGCTCTGAAAAAAACAGTACATTTTGAGATCAATCAGCATCTCCGAAAAATGGATGATCAATTTTCAATTGTGTCCTGTGTAAATGCATGATACTAAATTCACAATGATTTATAGTTAATAAATACTATTTGTGAGGCTCAAACCAGAACCAAAATCATGACGCAATTAATTACTTTTTCCCACTCCTGATGTACAAGATGCCAAACAATTCCAGCAGCCGCACAAATAATGCATCTTGACAAGTTATTAAAAAAAATAATAATGACACTTTCTACACAAGCTAATTGGTCTTACCTGGAAGAGGCCGTGATGGTGAACCACTCCTTCTTGGTTGGAGAGCAGTGACAGTAAAGAATATTCTGTATGCAGGAGCATTTTGCCTTGCCTTTCTTCCTGTGTCTCTCCCACCATGTCCCCACGTTCTTCCAGGGTCAGAATCTACAACAAAGGTCAAAGGTAAGAAGACACCACCACACCACTAGATCCTGTTCTAAACCTTCCTGGGGGTCTCTTATCTTCAATGTGATGGAATACTAAGCTATCAACTATCTTGAGGCAATACAGAGGGTCCATTAAAGGCTTTATCTTCAGAGAAGACAAAGATAAGTCCCTCACATGTCCTTCAACAATCTGCACAACGATCTGAAAGACACTAGACTCATGGGCATGGAAGAGTAGGGTCAAAAGGTTACAATCACCTTTCAGTCAAGCCCCTCCAGTAACAGGCTGGTTCATAAACAAAAAGGTTTTAATGGTCATCTATGAACCAGAGTCGGTCATCAATTGGGCAGGATTGTAGAGATTTGTTGAGGCAGGTCAAAGGTTCATGCCAACATTTAGACACACAGGGGCTTTTGTGTTCAGAAGCGGTCTCACTTCCCTGGTCAGGACACGTTTGAATCACGTGGAGGGTTTTTGTGAAGTGATACAGAATGAGAATGTCAAAAAAAAAGCCATTTTTGCTGATCTAATTTCCAATAAAGAAAGTGAACAGGGATCCCCAATAAATCAAGATCTCCACAAAGATGTCTGATTGATCCTCCACTGAATGAACTTACTGAATTACTGAATAAATAATTACATTTCACTTAAACACACACACACACACACACTACCATTCAAACGTTTATGGTCAGACAATAAAAAAGGTAAGAAATGTATCAAAAGGGGCAGCAAAAGCTTTAAATAAAATGCAAATAAATGCTGTTAATGTCCAGAAAGGTTTATTTCAACAAAAATATTAAGCAACTGTTCAACATTGACAATAAGAAGAATATTAGAACAATTTCTGAAGGATCACCTGACCACTTAATGTTAATACTCACTTTTAGCTGGTAGAAATCATCCGTCCCATCTTTTCTGGCTAAACACTGCACTATACTCTGCACAGGAGAGTTTCCCAACCGTGGGCCTGTTGAGATGGGGAGGGATAGAGAAAAGGAGTGTGAAAAGATGCAAAAGGTAGTGTCAGTGCAGAGCACAGCAATCCCCCTTGAAGCCAATCATAAACACTCTCATTACAGTGCCCTGCGCTACCACGTCACACTGCTATTTCCAACTGTGACGGGTGCATTTCAAAGGCAAGACTGTAGTGTGATAGCGACATACAGGGAAAGACCTGCGGATTCAGAAGTGAAGCAGTCAATCCAAAACATTCCTGCAATTCTTTTCAAACACAGCCTTTCCGAATGGAGTCATCCCTCCTCCTCCTCCTCCTCTTGCTTGAATAGAAACACAAAAAGATAGGGCTGGGCTAGTGTTGAAGATTCACTTGTATTACCCTAGGTGGCTTACCTAAAACAAAGGGACCGGCTCTCTTAGCATTGTTGCCCGAGATCCCAGGACAAAGGAGCTTGCTAGGTCTGCCGGATGACTCTCCGGCCCCTCGTTCCGAAGCACGGCGTTTGGACATTCTGCAGATCTGAAAGGGCCAAAAACATCGAGTCGGCGTCAATACTCAATAGTTAAAAACAACCTGCCAGCTTCTTGACTAAAAACAAAACTCAAGCGCACCAAAACAATGAAACCCTAGGACACTAATTCATTGCATTCTTGCCTTGAGGGCCAATAGCCAACCCAATGAGGTCTTTCAGTACACTGTCAAAAAAGTGTGAGTTATAAAGAGGGCAAATAACAGGTGGGGGAAGGAAATCTAGCAAAAGCCATGCCCTCCCTGACACCTCAAAACAGCGAGACGCCATTAACAGCTCTGCCCCTATATGAATGACAACCCATCAGAGCCACATACATTTGCATGAGCAGCAGCAGGTGTGAACTGTTTATGTGACTTCCATAATAGACAATAGAAGCCCATTTACAAAGACCACAACCTGCTCAAACGTTGAGCACTGGTGGAGCTCAAATGAAGTAAAATAAAGGGGAACTCTGAGATTCATGTTTTCTCCCTTTCACTATTTGTAATCCTTCCGTTCCTTAATCTGCATGGGTTTATCTGCAAATCTCTGTGGCGTAATCTGCATATTACAAGATTTTCATACTGACCGGTCTGTAACAGGGAACATTTCGAAAGCAAAAATGTTCAGAGATCACATGACGAAATGGACAAACATTTATGATAAAGAGTTATTTATTTCAGAGGACGCCTGCTTGTTTTGTTGTATAAAGGGTTCTTGTATATAGTCTGATGACTGTTTCTGTGGTCCTACAGAATGTCAAGTGGTGCTATGGATGGATATAGTGTGAATCACACAAGCCCTGGGGTTTGCACTGGTAGCAATTTGTCAGAAATATGAAATCCTGCTGTTTGACACCAATGGTAGCATGACACACGCAGCCTCCAGACATCATTCACGATGCAAACAGGGGGTGGGGGAGCGCATTTAGCATCACGGGCAGTTCTGCACCCCTTGGGCTCTTCAAAATCAATCTCAACTCTTTTTAAATTAAGGGACAATTCAGAGACTGGACTTGAAATCCCAGTGATACAATATTAATCAATGTGTTCTAATAGCGAATCCATGCAAAGCAGAGCTAAAAAGTCACCCACATTTTGAATTTAGAGTTATAACAGACAGTTGTGATTCACATTTACGCTCCAAGCTTGGTTGAATTGTAATTTTGAATGAAAAAGACATTCAAATGTAATTCTGCAAGAGAGCACACAGCTTGTCTCGAGGACGTAGGAGGAGGTACAGTTGGCTGTTATCGCAGATCATTTTACACGCTTACAGCTTTTTGTCTTTCTGGACCCAGACTGTTGACAATGTGACAGACGGGGGTGAGAGACGTGATTGCTTTCTCATCGACTCTTTTGACATGCATTATTGGAGAGCTGACATCTTAAAAAACACCAAGACTGAAAATCTGACCTGCAACCTGAAAGGAAAAGAATTCATCTATGGGTTGGTATTAAACCATCTGTAATAAATTTAGGTCATGCCAAACATGAATGTGATGGAAATTCTCTCACTGACACTAAGATGCACATATGCATTCAAAAGACACAATATTGAATCCATTTCAGAGCTAGTAAATACAATTCTCAGAAAGGATGTCAATTACTCACCCTCATGTTGTTTCAAATCCAGATGACGTTCTTCTGTGGTACAAAAAAAGGAGACACTAGACAATCTCAGTCAACATTCACTTTAATTGAATGAAAAAAAAAAAAAAAACATAATGAAAATGAATGGTGACCAAGGTTGTCAGTGCCTAATATTCAGCTTAACATCTCCTTTTGTGTTCCACTGAAGAAATAAAAAAAAAAAAAAATCATACATGTTTGAAACAACATGTCAGCACGTAAAAGATGACCGAATCTATTTTTTTTTTAGGTGAACTGTCCCTTTAACAACAGCATGCTGATGATGAAACCATGCTATATGAAAGAGATTACTCATACTGCATTACATTCTACAAAATGAATGGATGGAGTGTGGTCATCTAATGGCATTATGCACACATCACAGTCATTGGAGAGGTGAAATATCATCCCTGCATGATTTAAACGCTCTGATCCACGGTGTAGCAATACATCTTAATATTTTATAAGATCTAAATATACTAGCTGTCACTGCATGCAAACTTCAGAACCTGGCACCGGCTGACAGCTTGATGCAACCCGTATCAGATGCGCATTTAGCACACGTTTTGTTTGATACTTGGAAGTCAGATTTGTGGTGTGTAAAGACTAACTTAATGTGTCCATTTCTAGTTAAACAACAGCAGAGGGAATAGAATAGCAGAATAGCACTGCAGTGTGATCACAACAAAGTACACGGCGTACACTTACGGACGCTGTCAACCAGCTACACGAAAATTGATAACAATAACCACTAACGTTAGTATAAATGACTTAGTGAGTGTGTATAAGAAAACAAAAGATCGTGCACTTATTTAAAATAACGAACCTATTTGACTCCCCTTAGCATTTGCGAGCGGAACTTAACATAACGTTAATTATTTGTATTCTTGCTTGTATAGTCAATATCTCAACATATTTGACCGGACGACAATTGAACCGTTGCAAAAGCGTGCATTTCAAGACGAAATTAAAAACCACAAAGCCAGTGAGTTCATCGTGTCCCTTTAACAGACTGTGAAAATCTCCTCAACCGACCGACGGGCCATTTAACAACTTACCAAAACCGCCGAGGGAATCCTCTGTCGTAGACTAATTCTCACTCATTTCTGGCCGACTAAATGTTCAGCAGGGACGCACCGACATTTACACTCCACCACAAAGCGGTTTGTTTCACGAGAACTGGAGAAATTTCACGATTACCGACAGAGGTTTTGAGGGAAAAGCCTTCTTAGGACAACTGATCGCATCTTTCCATAGCAGCACCACCTGACAACGGAAATGACGCACATGCTGTGAATGACGGAGCGGCGCAGCCAATAGAAAATGTTCTTTGGAGTTCACGCCCCCTTACGTGCGTTCTTGAGATTGGCATTCTTCGCTTGGCGTGGAATAAACGTACACTAGCTATGTAAACGAGCAGTAGAGTACTACTGCATAACTCTAATCAAGTTTTGATAAATGTCCAGTTTTTTTTTTTGTAATAAAATAATAATTTGAACTCACTCAGACACGTATGAAGCAGTATACTAACGTACTAGATCCATTTATTCTTGAGTGGAACAAAGCAAGTTACAAAACGACAGTTTATGTAAGAAATTATTTTAGATATTAACATGCTCAGATCCCTATCATATCTAAATATGCACTGCAGACAGGTGGTTTTAAAGGTTATGAGTCATTAATTCTTTTGCAAAATAAAATAAGAAAATAAATAAATAAAATGTTGCATTTTTGTAAATAACATTCTAGTGACTTTGCTTAATATAAAAGTGGAAATGTTGTCACTTTAGCGTATCTCAGACATCAGAGCCCTAAACATGACACATGAATTTCAGGACTAAAGGTTAAATTAATACATAAATAATACTTTATCACTGTTCACATGAACACAGCAAACCTCCGGGGGTTTCTTGCATGCACAAGACCCTCGAGATCGTATCCAATTTTAGATCCCCCAAAACAGCTGCACCCACAACATTAAGTTTCAATTTAGTGGGTTGCTGCAGCGCTGCATGTCAAACAGAGAGTGTTTTTAAAGGGCAGTAACTGATTTAAGGCTGTGCTGTCTTCCTGTCTTGACTCAGCATGGCCTTTGCCTTAAACCACATGAAACACTTTTATAAGCCTGTGGCTAAACATTGGCCAACCCACGGTGTGTGGGGTGGAAACTGTGAATCATACTTTACTAGTGCCCATGCTTGATAAAGAAAAAGTGGTATTGAAAAAGATTGCAAGGACAATTTCACAAGGACATGAACCTAATGTCTGGACTTTGCTTGATTACCTCTAGTTCTTTACTTCCCTTCAAATAACCGTAGGCTATCTTGTCATACTGGAATAACAAAACATCTAAAATGTTTAGATTATAGTTATTTGTGCCATTATTAAAATATTACTCTGCAAAATAGCAAATCCTGAAGCAAATTTCAATTGTGCTTTAATATAGCCTACACTCACCTAAAGGATTATTGGGAACACCATACTAATTCTGTGTTTGACCCCCTTTCGCCTTCAGAACTGTCTTAATTCTACGTGGCATTGATTCAACAAGGTGCTGAAAGCATTCTTTAGAAATGTTGGCCCATATTGATAGGATAGCATCTTGCAGTTGATGGAGATTTGTGGGATGCACATCCAGGGCATGAAGCTACCGTTCCACCACATCCCAAAGATGCTCTATTGGGTTGAGATCTGGTGACTGTGGGGGCCATTTTTGTACAGTGAACTCATAGTGAAATGTTTCGAGCTTTGTGACATGGTGCATTATCCAGCTGGAAGTAGCCATCAGAGGATGGGTACATGGTGGCCATAAAGGGATGAACATGGTCAGAAACAATGCTCAGGTAGGCCATGGCATTTAAACTATGCCCAAATGGCACTAAGGGCCCTAAAGTGTGCCAAGAAAACATCCCCCACACCATTACACCACCACCAGCAGCCTGCACAGTGGTAACAAGGCATGATGGATCCATGTTCTCTTTCTGTTTAAAGAACAGAAATTCTGACTCTACCATCTGAATGTCTCAACAGAAATCGAGACTCATCAGACCAGGCAAAATTTTACCAGTCTTCAACTGTCCAAATTTTGCTGAGCTCTTGCTATTTGTAGCCTCTTTTTTCCTATTTGTAGTGGAGATGAGTGGTACCCAGTGGGGTCTTCTGCTATTGTAACCCATCCGCCTCAAGGTTGTGCGTGTTGTGGCTTCACAAATGCTTTGCTGCATACCTCTGTTGTAGCGAGTGGTTATTTCAGTCAAAGTTGCTCTTCTATCAGCTTGAATCAGTCGGCCCATTCTTCTCTGACCTCTAGCATCAACAAGGCATTTTCGCCCACAGGACTGCCGCATACTGGATGTTTTTCCCTTTTCACACCATTCTTTGTAAACCCTAGAAATGGTTGTGCGTGGAAATCCCAGTAACTGAGCAGATTGTGAAATACTCAGATTGGCCCGTCTGGCACCAACAACCATGTCATGCTCAAAATTGCATAAATCACATTTCTTTCCCATTCTGACATTCAGTTTGGAGTTTAGGAGATTGTCTTGACCAGGACCACAAAATTAACATTTTGTCGTCATATAACTCACCACCAATGAGATTCTTTCTTCTGCTGAACACATAAGAAGATGTTTTTTTTTTTTTTCATTCTTTAAAATATCTTCTTTTGTGTTCAGCAGAAGAAAGAAACTCATACAGGTTTGGAATAACTTGAAGATTTTTTCAAAGTTTAAAAAAACACAGGTATTGAAAATCAGAAACGCTTTCCCATGGAGGATCAAGTGTCAGACATTCATTCATAACTGTGTGGGTGAAAGAGACGTCTCCCACGACTATTCAAATGAATGCAGGGGTTTTCAGTATTGCTAGTCTGGAAAAATAGATCAAGTGCTTAAAACAGCATGTGCCAGAGAGACACTTGCAGAGTTAAGGGGGAAAATGCAACAACAGAGCTTCTTTTCACATGAAATGACTGTCAGAGTTATTACAAAATGCTGTTCTGGGTGTTCAAAATGTTTTAAAACTGTTGTGTATTAAACTGCACAAGCTAACAATGAAGTGACAACTCATTTTATTAATTTCTCTAGCTATTCCAAATATATTTGTGATACCTAAAATGATCTTTCTGCTGTTAGGTGTCAACAACAATGCTGAATTATTCTATTGCGCCATCTAGTGTTCACAAAGAAGCCCTAACATACTCGATTTTGTGACTTTATGTTTTAATTCATGACCTATTGATTTTTATTTGACTTTTTGTGTCTCTCCACAAAAAAGTATTTATGCTTTGCTGATAAAAAACAGTCATTATTTGCAAAAAGTTATACTTTATTTCACATTCAAATCTATTTCAATAAAATGAAACAGTAAACAGACAAAAATGAACATTCATATACAGTACATTAACTTCAATAAATAAGCTCTATTTTGCTTATGAAAAAATAAACCATTTCATCCACCACACCTATTGCATTGCTTTCTTTCCATGGAAGGTGGTTTCACGTATACACATTGTCATGTAACATATAATGCAACAATTGTACACTCTAAGACATTTTATTTGAATTTCTTGAAATACCTGACTTTGTTGCATTCCCTTTGAGTAAAGGCAAAACAAACATACACCAATTGTCCTAGGGCTTCCTGTAAACCAGTTTTAGGATCTGTGCTCAACATTTACCACAAGTGCACTTCGGTTTCCTCCATTACCCTGTCTTAAGCAGCGCATGTTTTGTACATATCCCACACCTTTTGGTTGCACATCAAATGAATTTAAATGAATTCCATGTGTGCATATTGTCCTCTTAGACAACTAAGATAGTCTAGGAAAGGCGTTTTATTCGGTCCACTGATCTAAATGTCAGTGTCTGCGGCATCAAAGCCCACACTGCCAGCAGACCCTACTGTGAAGACTGATTTCAAACCATTGGCTGAAGTATGTGATGGCATGGAGTGTGCCGCCTCAGTAGGTCCAAACTAACTTCACAGAAAGAATATGGAAAAGTAAATATGGTCCCACAGTAAGACACATATCACATTTCTACACCTGCTATTTGCATTTCTCGCATTTAGTGGGTGGCAGGAGACAAAAATTGCACGAAATTCTCAAAGAAAGAATTTCTCGTCGAGCTAAGCTGTTGTTCTGAATATATATATATATATATATGGTTGTCACTGTAGCTCCAGACAAAAGGCCTCTTTGCTGAGTAAAACATTGTAGCACTTTATCCTGTTTTACAGCTCAGTCGCTCTCATCAGTCAAAGGGAACACCAAGTTTAAGTCACAGTCCATCCATCATGGCCAGGAGGTCATCACCCTTGCTGCTGGAACTGGGGGAAGGTTCTCCCGTCTCTCCGAACTCTCCCATGATCTTAGCCAGCTCAGCATTGGTCTGTTTGTCCTGAAATGAGCCAGAGGTATATTGTTACTCCCATGGTACACTTTGGCAGTTTAAAGTTAATCTAAGACTCAAAAACCAATTAGACAAGCTGAGAGCTTTGTCTCAGAGTGGGTGGATCACGGATAATCAGGCATTACAATGTTTTCTGAGGCCAAGAGTCCCATGGCACTGTGCTGGAACAACCTAAGTGTATTACTTTACAAGCGTACAAACATTAATCATTACCTTTGTTGCCTGGATATTAATAACTTCATACGAAAGCTCATCCGGTCTTGATATCAAAGCCTCCCTGTGGGGAAAATCTGTATTTCAATTTTTGTATGAAATCTCATCATCCATTTCATTGACATTTCAAGCTGCACTCTCATATTTGAAACCACATGTGACACATTTTACCCCACAATAAAGAGTAATGCATCATTTATTTGCTTTTTATACATATCTATATGCTCACTAAGGCTACATCTATTTGATAAAAAAAACAGTAATTATTTATATGCTGTGAATTATTTTTACAATTTTTGAAAAAAAGCTGAATTTTTGTTTTTATTTTGGGGTAAAATACCACCTCCTAGACATGTTTCATTGAGATCATCTTTAAACCTATTTGTGACAGTCTAGTCAAATTCAATTTAGACTATAACTCAAATAAAAACTCACTCTTCCTCCTCGTCAGTGGCAAAGAGGTTAACACGGAAGCCAGAGTCAGTGCCGGCTGGATTCTGCACCTCCAGACCTCCCATCAGTCTAGCAAGCAGGTTCAACTCTTCTTTTGCCAAAGGGTTCGGAGTTGTGTTGACCTTCAGGATTGTGTGAATTCAGTCAAATAATGCATTCTAATCACATTACACATTTTTCTCAAAATTGTTTTAGAAAAGGCAAGTGCTATTATTAATTGGTCAGGTGCTGACGAAAAAGATTTATTTATGAAAATGGCTAAAGACTCATCTGCTCGAACTAAGACATATATATATATATATATATATATATATATATATATATACTTGATGTCGCCGATCATTAGAATGAAAGCATCAAGTGCTGCCATCTTGAAACAGGGGAGCTTTAATGCATCAGCGTCAATGTAGACAAAGGTCTATCGGAAATAAAATCACCATAAATCATCATGAATGCGATTTTCTCATTTTTTTTTTTTTGGTTCGTTCCAACGGTCAGACATGTATTTAGCATTGATTCCAGAAATTTGTTTAAAAAATTTAAACATTCTTCCTAGTTCAGATTTCATTCGTGTGAACATCATACACAGCACAAAAGTCCACCACCATCAATTAATTCGAAGTACAGGCAGAGATAGCAGCGTTACCTAGTTACTTCCCATGACAACTCCCCTGTTCCAAGATGGCGACGGTTTTGACGCATGCTTAAAACCCCGAGGTGACGTCTAGTGTATATGTCTATGGAACTGAGATAGGCAGGTCATGGTTAATGTTGTAGACATAATGAGAAGACACCGCTTTCTGATCCGGTAAAACCGACACAATTATCACTGTTTGTATCACTGTGTATTAAGCTAGTATCTATTAAGATATGGTAAGGGTTCATTTCCTTCATGCACTGCAGACTGGGCTACCTGACCAATCAGAGCAGGCTCTCAAAAAAGGCGAGGTTTAGAAAGACTGAACTCTTTCTGGCACTATGAGAAAAAAAATGTGATGATGCAATTTATATTATGAGAAAAAAAGAGAACGTTTTTTGACCTTGGATCCATGTAAACGTATTATAGGATACCTCAAAACCCAAATTAGGACTTTAAAAGAGTCCTAAGAAAGTATAATTTATTTATAATCTTACCTTGGTGTGTTGTGAAGAGTTTTTTGAGGTTCCAGACATGTGTGTTTCAACAGGACGGCTCACACTGTACCTGGAAGTAAAAATAGGACAATTGTACAGCTGATGTGCTAGTGAAAGGCTACCTGTCTCAGGTTTACAGCTAAATTATTCACAAATCAATTAGAAATAACGCTTTGCTACAGAATGATAAAACCTAACACTGATGAATTACACCCCTGTATCTGAAGATCCACAGAAGTGTGAGTCATATGATTCCTTTTTGAATATTAGTAGGAGTATTATTAGAAAGTGGTTGATGCTCACATGTTTGTGCCCAGTTTGATGACTCGATCTCCATACATTTCAAAAGATCCCTCACGGAGAGCGGCGTTGTAGTTGCCCCCATCGCGGAACTGCATCCTTCTCACCTCCTCACCACTACAGCTAAACATCCTGGGAATTAAAAATTATTGATAAATAATAAAATAAATCTAAAATAACTTTAAACTGCATTTCTTATTAAAAATGACCTAATTATTTCAGAAAATTTAAAGTAATATTTTATTCATGCCATTTTATGACCTTATATTAATTGAAAGACGTGATGATTTATAAATTAGTGATGTCAAATCAATTATTTATGATTAATCACATCTAACATATAATATATATATATATATATATATATCAATTTAATAGCACTAGTATATGAATATATTAAATATATTAATTTCTCCCATCACAGATGACACAAGTAAAATGGTGCCTAAAAGAAATGTCAGTGTCAATGTCAGTGTCAACAACTGGTCATATTATAAATTCATAAAAATGTTAAGCTAAATCTTGATGTTGATAAAAGAGCTCACAGACATGTTATATGTCAGCTACCCCTAAGCGCTATTAGAATAACTGCTTTTAGTCACAGTCTCCTGCTATACTTAGAATAGCTCTCTTATACTGTATGTCCAAGTCTGTTGTTAATGCAATTAACAATAAACCCTCACCATCAGACTCGGCTCGAAATGACGGAGGTGATTTTAGAGCAAACATATGTACAACTTCAGCTATAAATTTAGAGGCTATTTATTTATAATGTTTAAATCAAATCAAATCCTGCTGTTCTCAGCCTTTTAATGCCTTGGTCATGTCAATACTGTTTTTGTTTTTTTTTTGCTTTGGATGTTCTCCTATGAAGCTAACCTCATGAGTCCTGGGGTGTGCGTCCCATACGGAACAGGGCCTGATGTGGGAAGAACGAATCGTCCATTGGAGTTCTGTACCTTGTCTTTCAGGAAAATTGATACCTAAAAAAACAAGTTCATATATGTTTAAAATATATTTGGACTATTATTAGTTGAATATTATGCACCTTCATAAACATGGACAATATTTTTGGTAAATTCTCAGATTGGGTTTCTCAGAGTATTCTGTATTCATGTACATAAATCAAAATAAAATAAAGGACTTACTCTTATATGCATATCTTGAAAGAAGATGAGGAGCGTTTGTCTAATTAGTTGAAACTCTCCACCAGATAAAGGGGTATATATCTAAAAATTTCAAGCAAGAGAATAAAATATTTCAAAGCAAAAATCAGTGTGTAGTTGACAATGATAGCAAAATAATTGCCCAATAATAATAAGCATAATAATAAGCTTTCATATTAAATAAAAATATGGAAAATGTATAATAATATTAAATTAACAGATATTACAAATGAAAAAAATACTTATTACATTTAATAATTGAAAACAATCTTAAAATGTATAATTCTGAGCAGTAACGCTATTACCTCTACGAGTTGTTTGTTTGTTTCATCCACTTGGCTGAGGATGCTGGGAGTGTCTTTCACAAAGTCCCTGATGGCATCCATATGATTGAAGGACACAAGGAGGATGTCTTTAGGCCGAGGACACAGCAGGACTTGATACTTGAACGCCATGGTCATCAAGTCATAGAGCTGTTCATGGGAAAAGCACAACAAAGGAGCCATTACATATTTCAGCATATTACTCACCAGAGGGAGCCATTTATCACTATTATGCTTAATAAAATGTAATGATATTTATATAAATTAGAAGTATCTGTTCTAACTATCTGAATTTAAAACTGAAAAAAAGGTTCATAAGAGCTGATTTGTTTACTGAGAATACAAAGAGTTTTGTAGAAAGTTCTCACTAGGAAAACATGCAACACCAATAAAAATAAAGCAAACAATCTGTTATCAGAATTCAAGAAAATGACAATGTGTCCTTGAGTTTAGTTTTCACCTTGTCCATACTAGCTTGGTTGAGTCTCATGATGGAGGCATGAGCCAGTCGGTCAAACACCGTCCTGAGAGCCTTCTTGGAGTACAGCTCTTGTGGCTTGAACAGCTCTTCCAGGAACTTCTTATTGAACATGGTGGTAATGATATCATTCATAACTACCACAACACAAACACAAAGACAGAGTTGCAGTGAGTCAAAAGCAATTCTGTGCAAACATGAAGCGGACAACAAAGCCAACACAATGCAGTCTGTACTGTAGAAAGCCGTTTTGCCAAGAAAGACAGATAAACAAAAATAATGTAAATTAAAATTGGCAGATGTTTTCACAGAGATGCGAGCTGGAAACTGTCATCACATGTTGACTGAGGAAAACACCAATGCTAGAAACAGATACTGTCAAATGGAGGATTTCATTTATATCTCAGTACTAAAGATAACTGTATAAGCTTCCTGAATCTTTGGGGTTCATATTCTACAATAGTATATTTCTCACGCGAAAACATTCAAAATATGAAATTACAATTAAAGGGTTAGTTCACTCAAAAATGAAAATGATCCTATAATTTACTCACATTCAAGCCATCCTAGATACATACCTTTCGCCTTTCAGCCGAACACAATAGGAGTTATATTAAAACGATACTGGCTATTTGAAGAGCCTTTATATATATATATATATATATATATATATATATATATATCCTTATATATAGTATACCCTAGATTTTGAAGCTCCAAAAAAGCGCATCCATCCATCATAAAAGTAATCCATACAGCTCCCAGAGGTTGATAAAGGCTTGGTTGAGTCTCATGATGGGTGTGTTAAATGTAAAGGCCTTCTGAAGCGAAGCGATGTGTTTTTGTAAAAAAAATAAAAAAAAATCTCTATCTTTATAGCTTTTGCCAGTATGCGAGTCTAGTTCCAGGTGGAAGGTGGAAGAGTGAAAACCCAATGCATGAGGATTAGGGCTGCCCTCAATTAAAGATTTTTCTAGTCAACTATTAGTCGTTCATTTAAGCGAATAGTCGACTAATCACACATGTATATTAATAAGAAAAATCCTAATAATGAGCCTTTAATTGCCTATACATAGCCTAATCAGTGCTCAAGCATGCATAAAGCTTGCCACAGCGCACCGGATTGTGGAATAACCTGCCACTACGTGTCAGAACTGCTTCTACATTAGCTGGATTTTGCTTAAAACTTGTCTTTTTCAATTCTTTGTAATTCTACTGCATTTTTTTTTTCTTAGAATTAAAATTTTCTGTCCATTTGAGCTTTTTGTGTTTCTTTCATGTGGGCCCTATAGCACTTTTAAATTTGCTTTATAAATAACATTTGATTTGAATTGATTTGATTTGATTATGATGGATGGATGCACTTTTATGGGCTTCAAAATCAAAGGTACCATTCACTCCCATTATAAATCTAGGATGCCTAGAGGGTGAGTTAATTACGGGATAATTTTCATTTTTGGGTGAACTAACCCTTTAAAGTAGTGCAAAACCGCTACACAGCAAGTGCCTATAAGAGCTGGCACTACTTTGCTCTATGGCCAGCAGCAAAGCAAGCAGAATGTTAACAATACCTCTTTTTCTGTCCTCCTCTAGCCAATCTGCTACAGTGGCTACAAAGATTACAAATCAAAAGGACATATTTAAAATGATCCTCCAAGGAGGTTAACTAAATACCAGGTACGGCATCGGCTACATTTGTTGTGTATAGGCCTATCCATTACATATATATGCAAGCAACAAGCAACTAATTCACACCATTTTGTGACTTCTGTGGCACATTTTGATACCAAAAGGCAATGTCAGCACAACTGCAAATTTCATTATTAATATTTAAGTATGAAAAATGAGATGAAACCCTGAACATATATTAGACAGGAAACCATGATACTGGCATAAACTGTTGTTGAGGAAATGTAATTGCCACAAGCCACAGAGTTGCATGCAACAAAAGTAACGCATTAAAATAAATAAATAAATAAACTTAACATACTACGTCATTACCTCCAACTATCAAAACTTCTGATGGACATTCTTGATTTTTTAGATAATACTATTTAGATGGCCGCAAAAATATGTATATATATATAGTTTTTCTATTATTAGTTTAATACACAATATGACTTGTGTAATGATTTGTCAGAAAAGTGTGACATTTGTGCTGACACTTATTATATTTGTTTTGTAATATAATGTCGATCACATTTTTAGGGGCCACTGCATATTTACAACCTTTTCCATAATTAAATTTGACAAGGGATGCTACCAATGCAAAAACATGTTTCCTGCATGTCAGTTAACAGAAGGGATCTCACTGTAGCCTATTCAAAAACAGGCTAACTGGCTAATTATGTAAAAGCAATAGCAGAAGATCCAACAACTACATTCCTTTGCAAAGATCACAAACGATGATCATAAATACGACGTTAACATCATAACCCGGGACTCCAGAACAGACTTGCTTTATTAGCTCCCAGGCATATTAGCTGCCATCTACCTTTCTTCGCTTTATCTGCTGGGATATTCTGAGCCCGCAGGCGCTGATCCAGGATGTACAGCATTTCTCCACCCAGATTAATGAAGAGAAGAGGCAACGTTCGCGTCGACATCCCCACTGAAGATGGATAAAGAGCAGCTAGTATCGGTAAGCAGTCACTGGTTGTCAATAAAAAGTCGCGACCTGCGCTCTGCGTGTTTGTAGCTGAAGATCCTGCAGAATAATAAGCGTCTGTAAACCCTCTCTCGGTTGCCAGGTCACCGCCAACAACAGCCAATCAGAGGCGCTCGTACTGCTGTGCGATGATGACGCAATACGTCTCTCCAATTTCGCATTGACGTGAAGTTATATATAATTTGTATGGTCGTTTATAAAGCAAAAAATAAATAAAAAAATATTACAATCAACAGCAAAAGAGTTCAAATTGTAAATAAATTTAAAAATACTGTGTTGATTTAATTTTAATTTTTTATTGTGTTTGAGGTGAATAGGCCTAGGCCTATTAAATATATGAGACACCTGTAGTAACATTAATGCTGCAGGTTGGTACATTTTAAGCATTATAGCAAATTTGTCAGCTCGTACAATGTAATAATGAACATAATTGCAAGCATTCACACAATATTAAATTCACTCATATTCAAGACTTAACTGCAATAATATATTGTAACACAATTTACTTTGCTTATCAAATAAACAGAATTTGTCACCTTTTTTATTTAAAATAAAACGTTTTTACAGATTCTATCGTTTTAATTATCCTGCCGCCGCATACTACTCAAATTCAAAGAATTTGAAAACTGAAAAGGTAATGACTAGGTTTAAGTCTCTCCATTCCTGATACGAATTTCTCTGGTCATTCTGCATGTTTCAAATACTCCACAGCAACAGGTCATCAAAGCATCATTGCATATTGTGCCCTGCAGGGGGAAAAAAATAAAGAATGGCACTGAGTAACACATAAGTGGACAGAAATAAATCCATGGATAACAGGATATATGGGCTATAATGGGATATCTGATCCTTAATCTTCAGCATACCTGTATTCCATAGGTTAGACGCATGTGTGTCCTCATTGCAGCCATTCCTCCAGGTACACATGAGAGACATACATTCTCACCATACTTGTGTGCTGTGTAACAGCTGAGGGCTATTGGACAGACACAACCAAGTCCACCTAGCCAATGAAAATGAAAAAAGCAGACAATTGCTCAAAGATCATGCGCTTTTTGTTAACAATGTGCCACTGATAAAAGCAGTAAAGTGACTAACACAGAGTTCTCATTGGCTAAATATTAAACCACCTAAAATATACCAATAAAATCTTTAGTTTGAATACAATTTGGATGGTTTGCCTGCTGATCTCAACACTTACAGACAAGTAGGTCACTGCAGCAAGAACAAAGACCAGTGCTCCACTCTCCAGTCTGCACATTTGTACCATAAGAGCCAGCACCAGGCTGAGTGATGACTGGGTTTGACATGTCAATCAAAACAAGCAGTCCAGCAAGGAAGCCGAGAGAATGGCTCGAGATGTTTTCTTCCTAGGTAATTTGTAAAAAGAGTGACACATTTATATCCATCAATTCTTAGGGGGAAAAAAAGTACATAATTGCAAACTAAACACCATTTTAGAAAGAAAAAATATGGATTTTATAACATATTTTTTTTTATTTTTTGAGCGATTTGTGCTATTAAAAAGATAGTTCACCCCAAAATGAAATACCCGTCATTATTTACTCACCCTCAAGTCATTCCAAATTTGTATGAAGTTATTTCTTTTGTGTAACATGAGAAGATATTTATAAAAATACTTATTTTCTTTCTTTTTAGTCAATACAACGAAATGCTATTTTGGTCCCCATTGACTTTCATTGTATGGTCAAAAACAATTGAAAAGCTTTTTAAAATATAATCTTTTGTGTTGCACTGAAAAGTCATAAAGGATGGTTGAGGGTTAGTAAATGATAAGTCTGATGATATAACTGTTTTACAGGATCAAATATTTTACATTCAAAACTGTTTAATATGCAAGAAATTACTTTAGAAAACAAATATATCTGGAGCAGCTCTTATTACACTGCTAAATCTTTATATTTCTCATCTAAATCCCACCAATATTAAACAAATGAAATGAAATAATTTATCTTAAAAGTTGATACAAGAAACAAATAGCTGTGAGTTTAAGTCTATAAAATGATTTTTATTTTAAATCGATAAAAAAGTTCTATAATATAAAGTAAGTTAAAGACTACAAAAAAGTACCTCGTGTTCTTCTGAGCCTCTTGATCAGCTTGCAGTTGAAAAGGAAGTTGTGACACAAACCAACACACCACGCTTGCTACTCTCGTATGCATCGTTTCCGATTCACGCATATAAGCTTTACACAAGCAGATCACGATCACGGGGGAGGTCTGAGTTGCAATAGGAAATGTGACCAACAAGAATTCTTTACAATCAATGGATAATCTCACACGAGTAAAGCATTGATAGTTTGACCTCAGATCATGTACCTGATTGTCATGCATTTCTTGTAAAATTATAGAGTTCAGGGAACTGAGAGAAGCCAAACCATTTGTACTAGCCACACAACCACAATGCATCAGTCTTGCATATGACACAGGTCTTCAATCAGGTGCTGATCCAAAACTCTTGAGTGTGCAAAACTAACATGTCATCAAAGGATTTCTATGAAGTTATTCTGATATAATCATCATTAGTGAGGAATGATAACAAAACAATACATTTTAAGATCTTTTATTTGGCGCAACTAGAATACACTTCAGGGAAATTAGTATGTTTTACCATTGACAAATAAATGACAGCACACAGATCTTTTGATGTCAATCATGTTTCGGTTTGGTTTTTCTTTGAACGTCACATGAATCAAAAGAGGACATATCAGATTGTTCTTCTGAACTTGTCAGCACACAGTGACAGTTCATGTCTGAACACTGCAGTTCTTTGTGGTTATTTCGAGGATGTTAGCTCTTTTTCTTTAGCCTCTGTTGCTTTTTGTTTCTCTCTCTGCTCTGCTTTTTGTTTCTGGACCTCTTTAAAGACCTGGGAGGAAGAAAACCACAGGTCAAACACAAAACCTGAACTCCACAAAGAATATAGGGACATTTTAGTAAGAGCTGAGAACTTACCTTATTGCAGAAGGCTTTTTTGGCAAGCCAACGTCGGGTGACCCGCCGATAGTATTCAGGAGGGAATGTGTACGTGATTCCGAGCTCTTGACACACCTTCACAAAGGATTCATAACGGGTCCTTCTCAGAAACTTCAACTTTTTCTTCCTGCTGTCGATGGTCATGAGCATCCATCTTTTGTTGGCTTTGTCCTAATGTCACATGACAAAAGAGGTTTTGATGCTGTTGTGCAATAATTTGACTCATTTGCTGCATGCATCCTAATTCGCCTATTCATAATATGCTTTAAAAGTATGTACTGTTTTTGTAAATGACCACACATATCTTTTCACAATGTTGTTGCAGATGAACTATAATGTGGATAACATTGAATAAATATATTTTAGATACTTTGTTAGATACTGATTCTTAACCCCCTTTATCTAAAGCTCTCTACTTAACTTCTCGCATATCCGCCATGTTTGTAGTTAAGAACTTTTTATTTGTGTTTGTAGTTCTAATAGAATTCTTGTCCAATGGGCAATGGGCAATATTAGCCATTCGATCGAGTGTGCAAGGATTAGAAGACAATCCAGATATCTTCTGAAAACTCATTTCAACACACTACGATTTGGGACAAACTAATTCTAATTTTGAATATTATTTAGCAGTGGAGACGGGGACATCAATATATAAATATATTTTAAATTTTGATCGAAATTATTGCTAGGGAAATTATTGCTAGCTTCCATACTAAATGCTACGTCCCTGCTATTTAGGACGGATAGTATCTGAATTGGGATGCATCAATTGTTTCCACATTTTCTTAAAGGCATAGTTCACCCAAAATGAAAATTCTGTCATTAATTATTACTCACCCTCATGTTGTTAAACCAATAAGACTTTCAATCATTTTTGGAGCTCAAATAAAGTTTTTTTTTAATATATATTCTCTTATTGTTTGTCCATCAATTGAAAGTCCATACAACCAAAACTTTCATGAATCAAAGAGTTTGATGCAAGTCTTCTGAACGCATTAAAATTTATTAAATAAATATATTAAAAATATCTTCATTTGTACTTTGAAGATGAACAAATGTATTACGGTTTTGGAACAACATGAAGGTGAGTAGATTAAGAGAGAACTTTCATTTTTGGGTGTCAGGGACAGAAAACTATGCTTAATGATATAAATGTTTAAAATGATTATAAACTAGCATATAAAATAATTCATACATATCAAATCAAGTGACATCAGCCCGAAATCATGCGAGTTTCTCCCAAAACTAACTTCCTTATTTCAGGCTTTTTTGCAATAACGTTTAACCACCTAGTAAAAAGTTGATTTTTTGCAGAGATGAAGTAATTTCCTCTCAAGTCCACACAGTTAAACCACAGGGGCAGATCATCACTTTAACTAAGAACATTTTCACTAAAAATAGACAATCAGAAAGAGTCATGATTTTATCTTTATTAAGAATATATATTTTTAACTTTTTTTTCAACAAAAAAAGCTGTTGTGCAGCTTAATAATTTTGTGCAAACTGTGAAACCCATTTAAGGATTCTTTATTGAATAAAAGATTCAAAAGATATATTTTTTGGAACAATATGAGTATTTAAAGTAATTTTTGATCAATTTAATGTATCCTTGCTAAATAAATGTATTCATTTCTTCCAAAATAAAATCATACGCATCCCAAACTTTCAAATGGTAGTGTATATACTTTCATTACTACTGAACACATGAGCATATGCACAGGATTTCCTGTTTCTTTGTGAGTGTTAATCAAATGGAGTGGGAACAAATGTTCTCACACCTCTGCTGAAAGCTGAAAAAAAGTCACACTACTGAAGCTTTTTGTTTACCTTGGGGTGTTTGTGCAAGTGCTCCTGGAAGTTGCGAATACGTGCTGTCATAATCGCTACTGTAATGCAAACAAGGACATTTCACATGATTGTGTCATGTTCTGAGATTCCAGCTTGGTTAAAGCAGTGGTTTAGTCAAGTTTTTTAAGAAAGAAAAAAAAGAGAACTTGCCCTTGACTTCTGTTGAGGTGCGGTCATTCTCATCCCTCTGAACCTTGGCAATGAGCTGTTCCTCTTTCAAACGCAGTTTTTCACTCTAAAGAAAGACATATATATATATATTATAGACACACAGATATTTGAGTTAAAACCCTTTTAGTTTCCTGAAGTCCCACTCCCTAATATTTTGAAATAGGAAAGTATTCAATACTGAACTAAAAGGAAATAAAAACCCGTACATGATTTGCAAACTCCAGCGTAAGCAGTTTCTTCACCACATCGTCAACCCTGCAAAGATATGACATAATAATGCAACCGTTCTGCATTCAAGAACATTAAGGAAGTCTGAAGTAATCATGTACTTTTTATACATGCAATTATACACAATATATAATAAATATACAATCATAGTGTTTATACAATAATGAGTGGATTAATGCAACAATGGAGAATACAAAAAAAAAAAAAACCCATACGATTGTGCAAGTGGGACAGACGCATATTCATGCTTCAGCAAAGATGGATGCAGGTCTTGAAGCTGACTTGGGAATTCTGGAAAGAAAATAAAGCAAAAAGGCAATGACTCAAATCAAAACTGATTAAAGAGCTTGTTCACCCCAAAATGAAAATTCTGTCAGTAATGACTCACCCTGATGTTGTTCCAACCCCGTTACGCTTTCGTTCATCTTCAGAACACAAATTAAGATATTTTTTGATTAAATCTGAGAGCTCTTTTTGGAGCTGGATCACTCCTCCATTGGATTCTTAAGGGATCGAAACTTGCCGGCCCAGAAAAGTTGTTAAAGACATCGTAAAAATAGTCCAAGTGACTACAGTGGCTCAATCTTAAGTTTATCAAACGATGGGAAAACTTTTTTGTGCACAAAAAAACAAACAAAAATAACAACTTTATTCAATTAATTTCCTTCTCTGTGGGCCTAATTTGTATTCTGAAGATGAACGAAAGTCTAACGGGGATGGAACAAGTAATTACTGACAGAATTTTCATTTTGCAGTGAACTAACCCTTTAAGGTCCATTCACAATAAGAACAATAACTTTTAGGGCTGTCAGTTAAAAGCGTTAATGGTTATAATTAGGGATGGGGCCGATCCGATCCAGTATCGGTATCGGGACCGATACCAGCGTAATTCACGTATCGGATTTTTCCGATCCAACCTGCGGAGAAATCCGATATTTATGATCCATGTCTGCGCTTTAACGTTGGCTGCTGAAATGACTCCAAAAGGGATTCCCCGGGGCTGCTAGTCTGCTAGCTGGCTGCAAACTGTGGAATGGATATCCTGAACGGAGGTGCAGCTCAATCATAGACTGTAAAAAATAGGGCTCAATGAGACACACAGACGCCCGCTCAAGAAATCCATTCCGCAGTTTGCAGCCAGCTAGCAGGATAGCATTGAGCTACCAATATGTTCGCTGTGTGGAAATCCTATGGTGGAAATACTTCACACTGGAAACACCGCAGCAGAGCAAGACAGCAAAATGCAATGTTTGCAAAGCCGTATAAATTAAACTATTTGTCAGTGATGCATGTTTGCAATTCGCAGTCCAGAAGAGAAAGAGAGAGAGATCTCTCACGCGGTGCCACAGCACGCACAACACGGCAGCCCTGCTTAATGAGTGACGACAGAGAAAACATAGCCTGGTTACACTTTAGATCTGTGATATTAGTCTGATTTCCAAAGATTAAAGAATATATTGAGGTAAAAAAAAATAAATAAAACAATAGCCGCATTCTGTGTAGCCAACTTCCTTCCCATCGCGGCGGTGCACTGTCATTTCTCCGTAAAACTCAAACTTTAAGACAGAATCAGCACGATCGGTAATTGTTGTAAAATGCCGTCTCTGCTGTTGCTAAATTGCGGGACGCTTTTAATAATAAAAAGAGCTATTAAAAGCACAAAATTTGCGCAAGAGGGCGGCGCGCGCTCCGAAACAGACAAGCAAATTATACTTTGGGCTTCATATGCGCGTCTAAACGATCAAATGTAGCCTGCACAAAAATGTCAAAACGAGCGGCTTGGAGATTATCATTTAACTACGTTCATTTTAGACATAAACGGTTTATGGAAATAGTTGGGAGAAAATATGGTGCATCAGTAGACTATGAAATCCGCACTAGTTCTTAAAGGGGCAGCAGTATAAATGTGACGATTGCGACATTACTGAGAATAAAACAACCAAAGGCAAAGAGAAAATCACTCACAGCTCTTGAATGAATAACTTCAGCTTTAATAAGCATAAATCTATCTATGATAAACTTTGCAGTGCTATTTTACTTTTGATTACTTTATTATAATTCTTTTTAGACGATATACCTGAATAATGTTAGTAGACCTTCCTGAAATTAAAGCACTGTGTAGGCCTGTATAATGCGTATATCTTTGTTTAATTGTCTATCTATTGTTTAATATATCTATTATATATATATATATATATATATATATATATATATATATTGACATAGGCTACATACGTACGTATCATCCTTGCTTGTAGAGAGGTGTTTATTTCAGCATCATATAAAATCAACAATAATGATAAATAATGTTAAAGCAAACACAGGCCTGGTATCGGAAAAGTATCGGTATCGGCCGATATCCAAAGTCAGGTATCGGGATCGGATCGGAAGTGAAAAAATGTGGATCGGTGCATCCCTAGTTATAATATAATAAAAGTGTCAATGGTAGAGGAAAGTTCTGTGGGTGATCTACTGAGAATGGAAATTCACAGAGTCATGTCAGGTGCAAAATCGGTTTAGACATGCTTTTGAGCATGAAATAATGGCGCAAATACCACTAAATTGACAAAGTAAATATAATCGCATGATTCACTTAAAGCTACACTGTGTAACTCTTTTAGTTTATTCTTAGCTAAAAACACTTAGTTCTTTCAAAAATATATATGCTCATTAATGTATATTTACTTCGTTCAAGTAATAAAGTATTCTTGTGAGTATATAATATGCCATTGAAAATACATACGGGTAAGGGGTTCTAATGTCGGTCGCCATGTTGCCCCTCCATCTTGAATGTACATTAGCCAAAGAGGGACATAACCGTTAATTCAAGCTTCGCCTTTCGCATTTACATTTGAGTTAACACTCATGGACGAGGTCGAACTGGAAGCCACGTTAATCTTGGACTACATTGGCCACCGTAGGAGTTAAAACGAAATCGGAATTGAGAGGAACAGAAACTTATATTCACTGGATGGTCATATACCTTTTCACCACTAGATGGGGGTAAAAATCACACAATGTAGCTGCAATTGCATTTGAAATAAGGTCAGGCGTAAAAACAACAGTGACCACGCCTTTTCAACAGTCTCACTCAAGGTCTTTAGTATGAGTAAGAGGGTTTGCGCTGGCGCAAGCTGTTAGTAAATCTGGCTTTTACTGTGTAGTGGCACAATTGTTTTCTCTTACCTTGTTTCTTCCTAGAGGGCCGAGCATACTGCCTCACTGGTTGGTTTGGAAGGGTTTCATCACCTGAAACAAACCGTAAAGTCATATATATTGCCTTAGTCACTTTAAAATTGCTTACAAAAAAATGTATAATGCACAATTGCAGAAACTATAGAATTCTTTAAAAAAAACATATGTAGGAGAAGACTTTATTTGGTGTCTGACTGTTGTATCACTTCAAGTCTACTTTAACAATTGTAAGTATTTATGATAAAAACCCCTTTAACTAGGATGGCAGGCATTTAAAAACATTTGTAAGTCAAAGCTTTTTACTCTCCTCTGGAAGTAAAAAGCTGAAGAAAGTCTATTTGAGACACGTCAATGGTGATAAAGTGTCACTAAGGGTGGGGGTGATTTGGTTGGCCACATCCTTCCCGCACACCCACTCAAGGAAAAGACACGTCGGGGAGACTGTCATGAAAAAGCCAGGTAACTTGAGACAAATTTGTGCGAAAAAACAACAACTTGTTTTTACGCCATTTACTTTGAGCTGTTGCATTGACATCTCATTTAACTTTAGAATGTCAAACACTGGATACTAGGGACAAAATTTTACATTTAATTAAGATTTTAAGCAAATAATTTTGAGGTTAAACTAAAAAAAAGTTTTAAAAATAAAAATTCTGTCATTATTTACTCACCCTTAAGTATTTAAAACCTGGATTACTTTCTTCTATGGAACACAAATGAAGATATTTTGTGGAATCAATGTTGGTAACCAAACTGTTTTGGTTACCATTGAAAAAAGTCATACAGGTTTGGAACAACAAACCTTGCTTGGTGAGTAAATAACAGAATCTTCATTTTTTTGGGTGACGTATTCCATTATGTACATCGTACTGGTTATCTGAAGGAAATGGGCCAAAGATGGCTAAACCAGTGACCTAGTTATTTTTGATTACCTAGTAAAAGACTTTCAGAAAACTGGTAAGCATTTTGCTGATGCTGATGCTTGATCCTGTTGTATTACTATGCAAATGGGAGCATTTGAGAAAATCGCATAAGTATGGCAAATAAGCCATACATTCTTTCTTTTTAAATAACCTATACACCCACTCTTTCATAGTTCACAAGCCTTGCGGGAACTAGTAATTCAACACATTTCCCCCACACACATTATTTTTTGCCCCAAGAACAAGAAAACACGAGCAAGAACAGAACTGCAAATAAAAAAAACTTTATTTTTTATAAAGTTAACGTCTCGTAAAGCTCAGGTCGGTTGCCAGTCTGACAGCAACACAATATGGGCCACGATCAACTTACCACCACATTCTGAAGGACTGTTCCTGTACTACAAGCATATGATTAATAACTTACAACAACCGTTCCAAAGTTTGGGGTCGTTAAGATTTTACTCAGCATCATTACTTACTTCAGTGTCACATGACATGATTCTTCAGAAATCATTCTAATATCCTGATTTGGTGCTCAAGAAACATTTCGTATTGTCAATGGAATAGAAAGTTCAAATGATCAGCATTTTTTATTGTGTAAAAATATCTATCTCTGTAACATGATGCACATTTAAATCACAGGATGAAAAGAAAAATGTATGGATATTGCTCCTTAGTGACCCCTGTTTGCTTCAGAGGGACTTTCCCTGTAGTAAGCGTACACTTTAAATAAGAAAGCATCGGCAAAAGGACAATTAATAGTAACAACCTACAACGGATAGGCCCACATAGATCACAATATGTGAATAGTATGGCTACTTCATAACCTGTCTGGCCTCCTACACAATACATGCTGCCTTAAAGGATGTACAGTAAAGTGCACTGTATGTAGTAATAATAAGTAGGCCTACTAGCACTTAACCATGGTTGTAACGGTATGAGGTTTTTAAATTATGATAACCATCTCTAAAAATATTACAGTCTCACAGTATTAAAGCTGCACTACAGGAACACATATGCAACTTCGCCCGTAAAGGTAATGGGCGTGAATTTTCCGGACAACCCACTACACAGTTTAGCCAATCACAACACACCAGCCCAAACTAACCAATCTGAGCCCATTGCCTGTTTCTGAGGGAGTGGTTTCATAGACTCAGGAAGTCAACCGGTCAAATGACAGAGGAGAAAGCGGCTTACAATAAAGGTGAAATTTATGAAAAATAAGACTTTTAAAAAAAGAAAAACCACGAACACAAGTTATATTGCACCCCATAAACAAAATCATGCAAAGAAAAAAAGCAGTAAACCACCCCTATAATAAGTTTAAATACATCAAGTGCTGTGAGAAAAGGCTATAAATCTCCAACATCCTCACATGCAATATAGCCTACTAGTCAAAACTCCTTTAGATGTGACGTAATGACGCAAAGACATCATCGAATCTCATGTGGAAATCCACCAGTACCACAGGAGTAATAAATATTATTACAAGCTTACCGTTTTGAATCGAGCTAAGGCAAGCAGATTGAATTTAGAAAAGAGAAACAGATGTTTTAGTAGCAGATTGTGATAATATTTTTATAACATTAATGTGGGGGAGGATTCAAACCATAACCCCCCAACCCCCCCCCCCCCCCCCCCCCCCAAAACCCACAACCCACAACCATTAATTTTCACACATTGCTGGGACATGACAAGTCACACTTAGTCATTTTGGTACTCGCACACATATATGACAACCATCTTGTGCTCTTTTTCTCACCTCACTATCTTTGTCTTAGTCACCATTTTATTGTATTAACCCTCTGGTGGTCTTCAGTCATTTCAGATCAAAAAAATGTTTAGAAATTTTAAAATGTTTCACTCCATTAAATGTTATGTGGCCTAAGATCCTGCGGCCGGGCACTCCTGCTAGTCCCTCGCTTTAGACTCAAGTGTGTAGAGCCGAGCGTGCATTTGTGGTGGCAGGGCCAAGAGATTAGAACGCCCCCTTATCGGCCCCTTTCAAGTCTCTTTAAACCCTCAATCGGGTCATGGGGTCTATACGACCCCAATTGACTATTACTTAATAAACAAAAAGGTTAACTTCATCTTAGTGGAATAAGATTTTGTGACTTTTCAAACATTATCTATCTATAAACACAAAAAAACTGGGCTTGATTCGGTTGTTCTGAAGGCATGTAAAAAAATAAATGTTTACACTTCTGGTCTTTGGGGTTAATATGACCCCACATTGAAATGAATGGGAAATGTGAAATATATTTTATAATAAATATATTTTATTCATGTGTCAAAAAAAACAAAAAAAAAATCCGGCATAAATCTGAAAATGTTTACACAGAAATGAATACCTGGTACTAGAGCATAAATGCAATGTATCATAAAAAACAATATTTCATATGCAAGCTAATTGTGTAGTTTTTTTTGTGGTATATGGATAGAAAACACAGCATCAATGAATAGATGAAAAGTAAACAAAACAACAAATTATATATTATTTGTATTATTAAAAATGTATATTTTTGTACAATTACTCAAACAATTGTTGGGGTTGTATAGACGCCGAAGCCCAGAAATGTAAACAGGAAACAAAGACCATATGAAGGTTAAGAAACCTACCTGTTTTTCTTTAGTATATTGTTTTTTTTGAGTCTGATACTATTTTGCTACTCCTGTTTTAAGGTTACTCTTTGCTCTTATTTTTTGTTTTGTTTATTGTTATGCATGTTAAATCTTATTTTTAATCTTGTTGTTCTGTAAAGCACTTTGGTCAGCCTAGTGGCTGTTGTAAATGTGCGCTATAAATAAAATTGAACTTATGACACTTGGTGACCTTTGTGACACTTGCTAAGTGAACAGTCAACACAGAGACCAAAAATGGACATGATTTGAAAAATAAACAAATAGTCACACTTATCTTCTTTACAGTCAAAATTGTTCACCATAAGAAATGAATATGGAATACGAAACTACATAGAACAATTCTAAACAGTCTTTGACAAAGTTTTAAAGTCTTGATGCAAATACAAAACCTAATAATGGTAGGTAATTTATGTCTAAAAACAGTCAGGAACTAGGAATTGCACAACCCTGTATGAGCCAAAACATACTGACCAGTCAAAGATAAAGTGAATATCATTGATCGTCTCCTGACATGGCCACATATTAAGGTCTGGGTAGATCAGATGGCAAACAATCAGTTCTCGTATTCAACGTGTTGGATCCCGGAGAAATGGGAAGGAATAAAGTGACTTTGACAAGGGCTAAATTGTAATGGCAAAGCGACTGAGTCAGAGTATCTCTGAAATGGCAAGGCTTGTGGGTTGCTCCTGGTCAGCAGTGATGAGAATTTACCAACAGTGGTCCGAGGAGGGACAAACCGGCGACATGTCTTCCCACGGCTCATTGATGCACAAGGGCAACGAAGGCTATCCCATCTGGTCCGAGCCAACAGAAAGTGGCACACAAAATTTTAATGACTGTTATGGGAGAAATATATTACGACACGCGCTGCGTATGGGGATGAGTAGCCACAGACCAATCAGAGTGCCTATGACCAGTCTTCTGTTGACAGCACCAACAATAGGTAAACGAGAGATGGAACTGGACCAGTGGAAGAAGGTTGCTTGGTCCAATTAGTCCAGTTTTCTTTTACATCACGTGGTAAAATATTAAAGTAAAAAAAAAAAAAACATTGAAATAAAATATAGTATTCGTTTGATTAAAAAAGAAAAATAAATGTTACTGTTTTAGTCTTCTGTTTTTTTTTTTGATTGCCGATGACCACCAGTGTGACCCTCAAGAAAGTTGGCTTATTTATTTTATTTTATTTATTCTACAAATAGTGATATATCACTAAGCTCACAAATAGTATATAAAAAGTGATTATATTAGTTAGTAAAGTAAAAATAGTCTTTTCCAAATAACAAGGCTTGCTATTTGCAACGATGACGCATGATTAGATAGGTATTATAGGATACAGATCTAGATCATAGTATGTGGACTTGAATAAACATCAATGTCATATGACAAAACGCTGACGATATGATGCCAATTTAATTAGAAAATGCAGTGACTGAGATTTTAGAGCCCCCTAGAGGTTAATACCCTAACTGCATGCTGCCAATAATACGTTTCTAAGCCAAAATATACTAAACTAAACATACACAACGAACGATAGTAACTTACACCCATCCTGGCTAACATAAATAAGACGCCACCTTAAAGGGGCACGAAATGCTTAATGTGTCGAACTTAAAAAATAAAAAATGTATTTAATTATTGATTTAAACGATATCTAAATTATTGTAAGTCTCTCAAGTGTGTATGTGTGTGTGAATGCATATAGGCCAGCATGTTGAAGCCGTCTAAAGTATTAGTCGTTGACTCGGAGCTTGGATGTCAAAAATATACATACCTTTAAAATTACGGGTTAACGTCCAGTACGAAAAAGAGCTGCATGTAGACTGCCTGAGGGCAGCAGAGACGGCAATGCTGGCCTGCCTCGCGCCTGAGAATACACTCCATGTCTGTAAACCCAACGCCGTAGTTCGCAAAATATTTTTTAAAACCATTATGATTCCCGTATATAAATAAGTCGACTCAAGTTTGTATATGCTCTTGCAGAACGCATTTGCCCCTTCAGTTCAAGTAAGTCGCCATCTTTAAACAGACATTAGTAATCTACGCAGAAAATGTAATGTAAAGACAAGCAATCGAGCACCGATTGAATCGATGTAGCCTTTGTTTCCTTCCTATGACATTGCATTGTGAACATACTGTAGTTAACGTAGATACGTTTTGTTTATGACATAAAAAAGAGAATAAAACAGCGATTGTACTGTTCTATCATTATCTAATATTATCTGGCCTTCTGTCATTTGAAGGTCAGGACACACTTGTCCTTTCAGAGATCATTCACGGAAGTTAAAATAGCCTAGTGATAATTTTTCAACCTTAATGTTCTGTTGTAATTTACTTTCTTGCTGTATATTGCCTTTTCAAAATCTGTTTAAGCTTAATTTTTTCACTTTGTTCACGTTTCTGAAGATGATCAATAGTAGCTAAATTTGTTTGTAAGGTTTCTGAGGTAGCTAATTTGACCCTATAGCAAAAATACATAGATAGATACGATGGAGGCTTTATCATTACAGTATGATAGCAGATAGCACACGTACGTCTACAAGATGTCAGTTAAAGATCACTTAATCTAGAAAGCGTTCTGTTTACTAAAATCTGATAGATGTATTAAAGATTTCAGTTTTACATTCTAAATCATAAACACCTAGACATTTCTTAAACATTTGACTCCTGACTGTAAATGTCCTATAGACGTGTTAGCAGATGAGCAAACATGGTAAAAAATCAGTCTTACAGATGTAAACACGTACATCAAGACGTCTCTGTGATGTACCTGCCTGTGCTATATGTAGGGCCTAATCCAAAATTAATGAAATTATTAAGCACATGTGTCTGTCTCAACAACATAAGTCCATTTTTTAAAAACAAATCTGTTTGTTTAAAACAAATTTGTTATTTACTTAGCCAAATAAGCAATCAATAGCCTATGCAATCCATTAATTATTCTAATGATTTTATTATAATATGATATGTCAACACAGATGAAGCCTACGGGATATCATAATTATCTCATCATCAGCCGCCCTCTTGTGGTGTAAAAGTTTCATATCACAAATTCCATGTCACAAAACTAGGCATGAGTGATATCAAATCACATATCAAAACCTAAAGAGAGTTGTTCTACAAATAAAGTTCAGTTGACCTTTAATCACAAGTCAAACCATCCTTTGACTTGATAGGCCTATGTTTTGATGTCATCAATGTCAGTTTTGGGAAGGTTAACAGATCTGTCTAGCACATGTTATCTCAAATACTGGTAATGTAACCCACAGCCTTGAGAACATTTTGGCATTGGAGATATAATGAATAAAATTAAGATAATGATGAATGTTTTTGCCTTAAGGACTTCAAGTGCACTTAGCCTAATAAATTGTATGGAGATGCCTATTGACATTTAGCTCTATGCTCAAGGATAGACTAGGCCTACATGTTTACTGTGCACATCTTGGTAACATTTAAAGATCCCAGACTGACAAACAACACAGAGTGAAAAAATTGGAAATATTTTATGCCTGTAAATAAAAAATATATATCATAATGACATTATCTTATAAGATATTTTATTGATGGAATTGTTGATCGTTTTAATAACATGGAGTTATGATGATGAACATGGACACATGGGGACGAAAATAATTAAAAAAAAATTAAAAGGAATATGATCAATTGTTTAAACGTGCATCTCCTGGACATGAATAAAGAAAACAAACGCAGTAAAGTTGGATTGTTTGCTAATTGCGGAAAATTGGCTATAGTTTGGTCAGTCGGCTCATTAATTTTTATATAGGCCTACCGGTTTTATATTCATGTAGGCTACACAACAGGCAACATATTTCGTGGAATGAAACCTGCACCTACACTTATCTGGTCCAACCTATGGGTCCAACACAGGAGCCTATGCTTTTTCTTTAGACAAAGCGTTTTTGTCACTGCAAACAATTTGACACTGATTGCCGATAAGTGTTGAGCTGGAGAGAGATAGACAGTCAAGTGTGAAAGCGATGGGGGCGGAGACAGACTTCACCTTGTCTTCACCATAGATTTCACGGCTCCCATTCAGCACAGCTGGGTTTATGTGTGTGTGTGTGTGTGGGGGGGATCCAGACACGCGCGTGGGTCTCTTTAAATGAGGAATCCGTACAGTGCGGGGAATGATATCGGCGATTGGAGTGTATAGTCTCTAACGGGCGCATAATCACCTCACTGGAGGGAATCTCTTTCTTTGTTTGTTTTTTGCAAGACAATAAAATAAGATGGACAGCTCGGACAAGGAGAACAGGTCGGATGAAGAATTTGAATCACCCGAAGATGAAGAGGTAGACCCAAGAATTCAGGTAGATTGTCGTTTATTTTTGTGATTAAATGTCAATGTAGCCAAATGAGATGAAAAGAGTGATCGTTTCAAACACACTTACACATTAAGTTAGTCTAATTGATTGGTTTCATATCACATTTTGCTTATCGGTGACACTGCATGTTATTGACTTCTTGACACTGAGGGGGAATTATTGATTAATTCGCCGCAACTTGATTTTTATTGTCGGCTCGTCTGCGGCACTGAGAGTGCACTGGTGCCTCTATTGAATGAGTGTTGCCAGATCCCGCTCAATAAACAAGCCAATCTGATCTGACAAAACACACAAATACGCAAAGAAGCGACGCTAGGGTTTTTTTCTATCGCAAAGATAATAGGTATGCAGATCCATTTGATTTGATGTATAGGCCTACAGTAGCATAGACCGGAGAATCACCGGGAAAAGTCAAGAAAAGGGGTGGAAACTATAGCGAATTAAATTGACAACTGTTAGGCTGTTCTTGATCATGCTTATAGGTATCAAGCACTCGCAGTTATGAAATAATAATTGCAATCCGATACTCTACATAATTGTATCTGCTTTGATTTGTATTGTTGATTATGATTAGCCGGTCTAAATGTGCATGTAGCATCAACCAAGTTTTCTTTCACTCCTTTGTTTGCGCTACTGCAATCTATGAGATCCAAATGAAAGTGAATCACTCAATGGGATATCTGTCTATTTTACATTTCTGACTCTTGAGTTTTCTTTACAGGGAGAGCTTGAGAAGCTGAATCAGTCCACAGATGACATCAATAGATGTGAAACTGAGCTTGAGGTATGATTGCAAGATCCAAAAATTGTCAAATAATATTCATAGAATAGATATAATTTTATTTAATTTTTAAATGAAAGCCAAAGCCCATTTGGGCTGCTTATTGGTGGTGGTATTTTTTTTTCTTCATTTGTGTGCATACGAATTTCAATTTTTCTTTTCTAATATGATGCCATATTCTTGCTTCTTAAACTGTATCAGTTGGCAAATTGTTAATAGAAGTCACCTGTTTTAAGTTTGGATTTTGTACCATGGCACACCAAGGAACAGAATGTGTTATGATATGAGGATTTTGCAATAGATGGTGTTCCTGGAGCACCATAAATGACTGGAATCTTGTATCCAGTAATGAATGTGCTTCACTCACTGTAAAAAGTTAATGAAAGATCAAAGCCAAAAAAAAAAAAAAAAAAAAAAGTCAAGGAATATGATGGGCCTATTTTTGTTGATATTTGGCATTCATATATCATTTTTTTTAATTCAGACCATTATTTAAGAGTCCAGCACAGATCTCAGTGATGCAGCATGCAGAAAACAAGGACATTTTTAGACAAAAACACACTCAGCTCTTCAGAATCATGTCATGTGGGCACTTTGGTCACACTGAATTGTCCCGATGCCACTGAGTTCATTGTTTAGGCATGTCCTAATTTAATAATTTAATAAAATGACTTAGCTAGTCTGTAGTCTGATTGTGAGTCAAAAAGAGGCCGAAAGAGAAATACTTTCTCAAAATGTCTTAAAATCGCCTGTTTGCCGATTTCTCTGGCAGCCCAGCTCCGGAAGCAAAAACACTCTGAACATAGCATTAGCAAGTTGTTTCCTGCAGATAATGAAGTAGGCTAGGCTAGGGCACATGCTAACTGTATAGTAAGTTGGAAGAGCCGTGAAGATTTATATAGATCTTTATTGATTGGGACATCTCTAAACTTCTTATAATCCAATGGAAAGCTTCTGGCTTGTTTTGTTTTTTGAAGTCGACTTTTGATGATGTCATTAATAAAAACGCAAGAGAATGGAATACTTTGCAACATGCCACAATTTGCAATTTATTAGCACAAAATTATACAGATGCTGACAGACAACAGCAACATTGCAATGCGTTTTTGTGTAATAGATTATTGATGCACATGTCGGCATAACATAATTACATTTACGCAAGATATAAGCCTACTCACTGTCACAGTTTTTACTTTTCGACCCTGGTTTGCATGTAAGAAGATGAGGGGATTGATGTGGGCTGGATGGAGGCTCGAACAGCCAAGAATCTTTTGCAAAGCTTGGCCAAACGAGGAAAATTGTTGTGCCTCGAGCACCTCCTCTAATGGTCACACACAACTACATCACATTGCTTAATCACATGATCAGCGCGATTAGTCGACGTCAAGCTTTAAGCGTCATAGAAGAGCATTATTTATAATTGAATTGTCTGTACAACCCCTATTTTATACATACAAAAAATTAAGAAAGTTCAAGTTGTCACTGTTTATGCAGACTTTCATGACACTGCAGTCCAACTCTGTGATTGTTCTGAGAATCCTGTAGCCTAATTGAGCTATTTGTCTGTCAACTAAATTAGTGTTGCTTTTGCGTCACTGGCCATGTTGTACTTCAAAGAGCCTAAAGATTTAACTCTTGGTCTTCTCTTTTTCCTGGAATGCAAGTGCTGCACATAATCAATCTGTGTTGATGGGGGATTTATGGGATTTAACTGAATTGCTTAGGCTTGGGCAATAAATGGAAAATAATGATTTAACTACACGGAAAAAGCTTGTTTACAACTCAGGCGAAAAGCATATTTTTCCATGTCCTTCAGACATATTCACAAATCTTCTTGAAAATCTGATTACAGATAAACTAATTTTGCTCCCTTTTTATCTATAGTACATTTTGTACATTCTACATGTGCAAAGTAGGCTAGTTGACCATAATGCCATGGCAAGTTGGAATCTTAAAAGTATCCAAATGGTCATGTCATTTCACTGTATAATTTTTGTTTTTTAATATTTATTATATATAATATAATTATACATAGCATTACTTGTGCTTCCAATTACTCAATTGATTTCAGATGTTGTCAGCATAAATCAATGTGGTCATTTCTATAAAGTTTGTTTGTGCCATCTCAACTCTGCATGTTTGTTTTGGTTAGCATGATGTGTTACAATGCATCACCTTTGATCCAGAGCTATGTTCATAAAAGAAATAACTCAAAAACTGCACATAATTATGGTTGGTATCAGTAAGCTAAATTAGCTCATATTTATTTTCATGTAATGGCCATTATTAAATTGATATATTTTGTTTAAATAAATATACAATTAATTAAATAAAATGAAATGCTACAAATTCAAAAATGGAAATTAATTTTGAGATTTGCTGAATTTTATTTAACAAATAAAGTTTTATTGTTTTTTTTTTTAGTGTTGTTTGATGTAAATTTTTTATGCCATTTGATATCATCATTAATAATATAAATATATATATATTTTAAGATTAACGTTGAGTTTGTGTTTAAATTACAAATAGTCTCTGATATTTGCTGGTATCGATATATTGTGCATCCCTAAACATCCCATTTGATTGTTCATGTTTGGTCCGTGTCTAGGATGCCAGGCAAAAGTTTCGTTCTGTGCTGGTGGAAGCCACTTTAAAGCTGGACGAGCTGGTGAAGAAGATTGGAAAAGCGGTCGAGGAATCGAAGCCGTACTGGGAGGCCCGGCGGGTGGCACGGCAGGTGAGGCCAAGAAAATCAAAACAAGGACCCAATATTTTCTTCCTAAAGCCAACTTCACCCACACAGCGTCTGTTTTTAGTTGGCACTCCACCATTTTGTCTGCGGTGTGTTTTCTTTTATCCCTCTCTGGAGATTGCTGTGCTATCAGCTTGTTATCTGAGCTGGATGGCACAGTAGCATTAACTCTAGATCTGTCACAGGTGGTTGGCTTCATTCAACAAGGCGACTTTGCAGAGAAAGAGAGAGAATTTTTAAATGCTCAATTCTCATTTCCCCTTTCTCAAAGGCCTGTGCTATTCTAAGAGCAGATTATCAGTTTATTTCAGTTAGTGAATTGCAGCTGGGGTGTTGAAGGGGGGGGAAATGGCTGTAAAATTTCTCAGCTTTGACTTGTAAAAGCAAAGTTCCTCTGATTTTATAGTTTACAACATTTGGTGAACTTTATTTGACTGAATCAGTAACAACAGGAGAGTTGACCTAATCTGAAACTAGGGCAAGATATTGTTATGCTTTTCACTCCATGAAGGAAGAATTTTTGGTGGCCTATTTAATTTCACTGTTTCCTTGGTGGTGAAGGAGAGCGATGTGCCCTTTAAAGTTATTTTCTTCAGGGACAAACAAAAGTGTTTTTATGGAAACAGTCCCGTTTGGGTTGTCAAGCTCCTTTATAATGAAAAATGTGGAGATGATTAATTTAAACTGGTTTAAATTGTCTTCACTCTTCTGAAGGATGAGCTTTTATACTGACAGTTTATCCTAATTTGAAACACCGTTGCCTTTTAGCGAGTGTTCTGTCTTGAATAATGCTACATTGTCAATGATAAACTTGGGGGGAAAACCCCTCAAAATTGCACAAACAAAAGGGTGAGAGATGTTGATGGTTTTTACTATTATTAAAGAGTTAGCTCAACCCAAAATGAAAATGATGTCATTCCACACCCGTAAGACTTTCGTTCATCTTCTGAACACAAATCTTTTTGATGAAATCTGAGAGCTTTAAGTACTCTTCATTGACAGCTACGTAACTACCCCTTTGACGCTTCAAAAAGTTCATAAAGAGATCGTAAAACGAATCCATATTAATCGAGGCATTTAGACCAAATTTTCTGATGGGATTTGTTCACTTTATATATGAACAGGTTTAATTTAGGCTCGAAGATGATTTACAACTTTGGGGTGAACTGACCCTTTTATTTATTTATTTTTTACTACTACTACTAATATAAAAATAATATTAATATTTATAATGAATCTTAGCTTCATTTATTATTAATCTTTGCTTAATACACAAATATGCCATTTATTTATACAATAATAATATTCATTATCATAATTATCTTAAATTAATATTTGCTTACTGTACTAATTTTTATGCCATTTGATGATGACTATGATCTTTATTAGTAGTATTAATAATACCTCAACTCTTTATAATTGGTCTTTGCTTGATACACCATTTGTATTTAATATCTGTTTTTGTCTACGTGGACAGGATGACCCAAATTCCCAAACGAGTGAGACCGTGACAATTATGGTTTTCATATGTGTAACAGATATGTCAGGATTTACACTGCATGATCAGTCTCTCTCTCTCTCTCCTCTGTGCTATCTCTCTGCAGTGAACACTTGACTGCAGTGAAGCTTTAACTGTTTCATGTCTCTCTCCCCCCACCTCCATCTCTGTCTGAACATCTCCCCCTGAATTTCCATCAATATATTTAGAAAAGCATTTCAGACAACCACTTATGACCTCTTCTGCCAGTTTTATTTTTCGCACGCATCAGTGGAAATCCCCCCCTAATTCAATTGTTACCTTATTTAGAGCGAACCCCTCCTCCCCCCTCTGAGCTTTTTCTTGGTTTGAAATCACTTCTGCAACAGACAACATCCTTTTTCTTTATATATGTGTATTTGCTATATTCAGAGAAGCAGCTGGCTGTTCTGGTGCATTCCAATGTCTCTCTAAATAAAAGGCCTTGTCTCGTTTTTAAAAGGGGTCAGTTTGCTGTCCCATGACAGCTTGTTTATCTAGCAGTATATTTTCTCATACAAATGTGATTTCTTATTCGTGTCCATCACAATCCTTTGAAAATATGCATGGCTCACAAGGCTTCAGCAGCAGTTGTCAGAATCTTTTAGCTCTGAACTGAAGGCTGTTGAAGGTTCTTGAGTTTAAATGGAATGCGTGATGAGGTATAATGAATGCAGGAAACTGTATAAGCACCACGTATGACTGGTTTGCTGATTCGTGGATCGAAGTTTTTTTCAGAACCTTTCTCAAATTAATAATTCAGAACACATTTCTCATTAAGAGCTCCTCTGAATAATGCACACACAACATGCTCATTCTCATACATACATTGGTTTTCCGGCTACTGTACTTCCAGTATGCTTGTAAAAAAATGATTTTGCTGGGATGGATTCGTGAAGACTTCAACATCGTCATTCCTTACTAAGAGCCGTGAAATGTATTTTAAAGGCAAATTAAATTAATGAAGTTGCGTATTTTGACGCAATTATTTCGGTAGCATTAGAGGGATAGTTCACACAGAAAGGAACATTTTCATAACTGAGTCACCATCATGTCATTCCAAATCTGTACGGGTCTCTTCTGCAGGATACGAAAGAAGATATTTTGAGAGTCAATTTGGTCCAATGTTCTTTTGGCCATTTACACTGCTAGTATTATGTTCTTAAAATTTTTGAAAGGATGCTCTGATGAACAATACAGTAATAAAAACAGTTATATTGTGAAATATTATTTCAATTTAAAAGAGCTATTTTCTATTTGAATACATTTTAAAATGTAATTTATTCCTGTGGACATTACTTCAGTTTTCAGTCACATGATCCTTCTCAAATCATTGAAAACAGTTGTGCTGACTCATATTTTTATGGACACCAGGATCAGGATTCTTTTATGAATAGAAAGTTTAATAGAACAACATTTTTATTTTGTGACAATAAAAAAGTTTACAAAATTTACATACTTGCCAAATAAAAGCAAGTCTGTTTATTTCTCTGATCCTAAGAATTAAACAGGCTGTTTTTGCTGTTGTACCTTTGAGACTTCTGAATGTAAATAACTAGCATAATGATTTGCTAGCCATGTGTTTAGCTAATCAGTATATAACCACAATGTAGAGTGTGGAAATGAGTGCCAGTGCTTAAGTGCTGTGAACGTTAGACTCTGTCTAGATACAACACTGAACTGCTCTGTTTTAGAAGAGCAAGGGAAATCATTTGAACTCAGGGAAGGCTCTTTCTGCTGTCCATTTGTCATGTCCAATGATGATTTCAATGGTCTCACTCAGCACTTGGGTTTGAGAAGCGGGTCCCACTCTTGTCAGATGTCCCGCCAGCAGAGCTAAAACACCTGCAGCTATGTGTGGGTGTCATGAAACTCTCTCAGAATGCCACTGCAGTCTTCTCATAAAAATACGAGTAGCTTGCTTGAATATAAATTCTTTCGCTTTATGACTACCTCAGATGTCCTCAATGCGAACTTGTGTTTTCTTAAAGCCTGGATTATCGCAATGTTTTTGCTTTTCCTGGTTGTACGCTGTCATGGGATAATTAAAAATAATGTGGTTTGTTTTTAGAAAATGCTCAGTTTACAGCTTTGACATTTAGCCTTAAATATTGTTGACGTTCATAGCAAATTAGCCGTGATTATTACTATGACGCATACATTTGACTATTGAGTTGGATACAATTAGACTAATAGTACACAAAGGCCAATGTTGCTTGGTAAGTCAAAAGCATTATGATAAGATTTTTTCCTCAAACACTATAAGACATAATGTAATATTGTGAAGCATTCCCAGCTCACAAAAATATGTTCTTAAAACAATTTGAAGTGTTATTTATTTTTTAAAAGTTTAAAAAACTTTTTTGGTTATGGAAATATTACATTTTGCAAACATTATGCTGTCTTGGTGGTAAATTGCTATAGATGTTTAATGGTGACTGCATGGCACCAAAGCAGATTTATTGGCATCAGTATATGAGTCATAACCCCTCTGCTGCCTTCCACCTTCAGTCAATAAGCTTTAAAGAATAAGCTGGAGAATTGTATAATGGCTATATTTATCAGAGATGCACTTTTTTTTTGTTTTTTTTGTTTTTCGTAATGAGAATATTTCATTGTGTAGAAACCCATTTTGGCCCCGAATCAGCTCATGGTTTATTTTCTGTCACAGAAAATTTTGATAAGATGAACTCTATATTAGTCTCACGTTTTAGCTTGAAGTCCCAGTAGGCCATGTTCGTTGAAGTAATGAAAGCATTAGTCTTGAGAGGGGTGATCTCCAGGTCAAAAAGAGCCACAAATGATCTTGTTTTTATGCCAGTCAAATGAGATGTACAAAAGCATTGCAAATGACTTGAACAAATTGTCCTGGTTCTGGCATAATGACATCAAAACAGCATGTCAACTGGGTCACTATCGACCCAGAACATCTCATTATGAGGTTGTCGTCTCTGTGTAATTTTTGGGATGAAGGATGGAGCTTTGATGTAATACCCAAAGACTTTTCCATAAACAAAGAAGTACTTTTTCTGTCCATTTAATGGCAGTAAAGTTAATAATCCTCTTCGGCTATCGCTTTTTCCTGGAATGAAATCCAATTCTTTTTGTGCTGCTTGTTAAATATTAAATGTGATTTATTGCAATGCCTCTCTTTGCTGTGAAACTGATTTGAAGCTGTTCGTATTAACACGCTACTGCTCTGGAAATAACTTTAGACCTCAAGAGTACCTCTGAGCGCAATTTGAATGAATATTTTAACAAGTTTTTCCCTGCATAAACACAAAAGCTTCTAAAGTTTTGGCATCTGCTGAATTCTTAAGAGTACTGGCCATTTTAAAGACTTCGTCTTTTTATGGTTATGTTCACACACTAGTGCTGTCAATCAGTTAAAAAAGTTATTAATTAATTTTTTTGTAATTAATCACAATCACAGGTTTTTAATGCATGTAATCATTTCACATTTCCAAATGAATTTTGAAACAACATAATGATTGTATAGGTTTAATATTTGTTAACTTTTTTTTTTTTTACAAATAAAGGCCAGTGTCTCGAATACCAATACTGCTAGTCTCAATGAAATTGATTCTTTTTCTCAGTTTTAGCAATTAATTGTAGCCATTCAACATTGCAATTTTGAATTTTAACATTTATTAGGCTTTTTAATAATCACATTATAATGTCACATTTATTTGTGGCTTTAATACATTTTATTTTATTTCATTTCACAACTTTCTACACTTCTTTCTAGCCCTTGATCTTTCTGTGTCCTTTCCTGGGTGAACTGGAGATCTGTGCTGCCATCTGCAGTGGTCGCCTGTTGTCAGCTCTCTGTGGCAATGCGGCAGCATCATGTCAACTGTAAAGCCTGAGCTAAAAATAGCCTGTGTGTGAGTGAAGAAGGGATGGAGGAAAAGGAAAGAAAAAGTAAATGAATTGAGCTGGTTTAAATGAAGAATGAAAGGCTATAATTAGACAGATTGGATGAAAGGTAGAGGATTATCCCTGGGATTATTACGTATCCATTGGACTGCCAGTGTTCGATACAGTGCACATTCAGTTTTGAATCTCATAGCATGTAAGGTCTTATAGTAGATATATGTTTTACTTTCCCTGGGTGACAGACATAACAAGAATGTTGTTTTATTGTGAAGATTCACATTGCTCTTTACCTGTATAACAAATGTAACTGACATTTCAAACATAACCATAATGTTTTACAAGAAGTAGTTTTATTTATATAGCGCCTTTCCAGAAGCTCAAGGTCACTTTACATTGTACATACAATACATTTAGACACCCACATATACGTTAGTCACATAGGATTATATATATATATATATATATATATCACATTATCCAAAACGGAGATGAATGAATGTCGTGGACCACCCAAAGAAGGGCAGTTTCAATGCTGTGTGATGGGCGAAATCCAGATTGGACCATTAGCATCCAAATGTGTTCGTAAATGTGAAGCAACAACCCCTTCAAGGACTTTGCTCAAGAATGTTAAATTGGATATTGGTCTGTAGTTGTCCATATTAAGGTGGTCCAGGCCTGTTTTTTTTTTTTTTTTTTTTTAACGAATCGGGGTCACCGCAGCCATTTTTAATTCGGCTGGAACAATGCCAGATGCCAAAATACAGTTTATCATATGTAGGGATGCACGATATATCGGCCAGCATATCGGTATCTGCCGATATATGTTAATTTTTAATGTTATCGTTATCGGCCTGGTAAGAAAATGTGGCAGATATATTCAAGCCGATAAATAATGTGTTATTCCCTTCAGCTGAGACGCTTTTTTGAGCACTGTTTATGTTTTTGATTTTCTTGAAATATTATTGAAATCTCTTTAAAAAAAAAAAAAATATTGTTCGGTACAACATGTGCAACGCAAATCTGTCATATCGTCTGTACAACACGATAACATCATTATAATCGTGCGCTTGGGACATGGATTTAATTGTGAGACTTTTGTTTTTGTAATCAGGCTCTCAAAAATTAGATAAAAATTTGGATTTAAATTTATCGGCCGCTATATCGGTTATCGGCTTTCAAATATAAAGAATTATCGGTTATCGGTATCGGCCAAAATTTTCATATCGGTGCATCCCTATATGTTTACCCGCTACCTTCTCGATGACATCACGCTCGCTATGACTGGTCAGGAAGCAACGTGTAGTCTGACATGTGTCTTGTCCACGACACGACAAGATTTTAGGAGTCAAAATTGCGTAATCTGACACAGTGACTATCGTAACAGACCAAAAAATTCGTGTAATCTGAACCAGGCATAACATTCTCACACCGGAAGTGAACGAAAGTCACATTGTGAACGCATTACGGTGCCTGCATAACAAATGTAACTGTCATTTCATAAATAACCATATAATGTTTTAAACTTGTTTGTGCTTATGTGTGTAGATAGATATGTAGATTGAGTAATATTGATGCATAATGCAGATCATAAACTTTGAATGAATTACTGGCATAATGAATTATGATTTTCTTCAAATTTCTGAGCTGGTTTATATGATCTCTCCCTATGCTTTAAATCTCTTCAAAGTAAATGTGAAACTGCCTCATTGCCATTGGTTGGTTTAAAAACCCATCCTGTTTTGTTAGGCTTAGTCGGTAAGAGGTTTCCGCTGAGGTTTTCTGTCAGTGGGAGTTACGTGGAGATTAGAGTTAAAAAGTGATGGAATAGGAAAGGATTACGTTTTCCACGACTTTAGCATGGCTTGCTGTAATTCACCATAAAGGAAGTCCAAGGGTGACTTTTAATATGTCACCATACAGGAAGTTCTGTGCATTTGTATAGTTTCTCCATCTCTTACACTGATTGCGTCATGGATTATCCACATTGTTGTTTACTGTGGCATTGCATTGTTTATGTAAATCCCTTCTGCCTGTTTCCTAGACTCAGCTGGAAGCACAGAGATCCACGCAAGACTTCCACAGGGCCACGGAGGTACTGCGGGCGGCCAAAGAGACCATCGCCCTGGCTGAACAGAGGCTGCTGGAGGACGACAAGAAGCAGTTTGACTCAGCCTGGCAGGAGATGCTCAACCACGCAACACAGCGAGTGAGTAATGCAAAGGTGTGGGATGGTAGGATGAGGTAAACCAGGAAGTACTCTAACATCCCTGTTATGGTTTATAGGTGATGGAGGCAGAGCAGATAAAAACACGCAGTGAGCTTCTGCACAAGGAGACCGCTGCCAAATACACTGCCGCCATGAGCCGAATGAAACAGCTGGAGAAGAAGCTCAAACGCACCATCAACAAGTCTAAGTATGCACCCAATCAAGCATTCAGTCAAACCATTTTGGATATCGACCGATATGAAACACTGAGATCGTGATAAAGTTTTCAGCCATATGTCCCAGCCCTAACTCCAAGGCCCGAAACAATTCCAAGTATGAAAACAAGTCAGTATGAAATATGTTCGGCAATTTGTAATGCACCACCGTACATCGTTTTGCATTGTTATTGTTTCTACGTAGGCAGTTTTTGCTGAGAGTCAGCCATCTGTGTCTATGAGACTAGGCTCATGTTAAACCCTTAACTATCAGTTTAGGGAGGTTTCTCACACGTGTTGGTGATTCAGCAGGCTCAACTCTGTCACTGAACTTTATTAATCCTCTCACTCATCATTAGATAGCATGTGAACGGTTGCCATGGTAATATGCACAATTATATTTATAGGCCTTTACAGTAGCTCTAATCACTTTTTCTCACTCTCTTTTTCAGGCCCTACTTTGAAATGAAGGCAAAGTATTACTTGCAACTTGAGGTACTTATGGATGTTTCATGATAAGTGCTACATGATAAATCTTTTTTTAAATGCATAATTAGTCATTTTATTATAATTTCAAAATCTACAAATCTATTAAAGATTTACTTAACATTTAAAAATAACATTCAAAGAAAAAAATAAGAACTTTTGATAGGGGTTTGCTTAAAACGAGAAAAAACTATTTACATTTGCTAATTTTACATATTCTCCAAAAACAATCTTCTCAAATATTGAATACAAAAATTATAAATGCATATTAGTATTAATTAGTAATTGTATTATAATTTCAAAATCTACAAATCTATTAAAGATTTACTTAACATTTAAAAATAACATTTAAAAAATGTAATTTAAAATTAGTTTTGAGAAAAAATTAAGAACTTTTGATAGGGGGTTGCTTAAAACGACAAAAAACGATTTACATTTGCTAATTTTACATATTTTCCAAAAACAATCTTCTCAAATATTTAATACAGAAATTATAAATGCATATTTTTAATTATTTAATAATGTTTTCATAATTGAATCTATTTACATGTATGTGTTGGCCCTTACTTCCTTTATCTTGTTTAATGTCAACTCAGTCTTTTGTCCTTCCCTTTTAAGCAACTGAAGAAGAATGTGGATGACCTCCAGGCCAAGCTGACGCAGGCTAAAGGGGAATATAAGTCAGCCCTCAGGAACCTGGAGATGATCTCAGATGAGATCCATGAGCGGAGACGTTCTTCAGCCATAGGCCCGCGGGAGAGAGGTGTGGGTGCAGAGGGCGACGGTGTCATTGGTGAAGACTTGTCTGGCTTTAAGATGGAGTCTGATGGAATATCAAGTGAGTCTCTAGACAGCACTCTAGGCATCATATCATTTCCCACAATGATTTTTAAAAGGCAGCCTAAGGCCCCGACCTGATTAAGATAATGTGATTTGTTGGTTTTAAAAACCTTTGGATATAAAGGTTTATGTCTACATAAAATGTCTATTTATATAAAAATTCCAAACTATAGCCTGACCATCTACATTTTTTCAGAATCTGATTTTTCCTTTGTCTTCCTGCAGTGGCGTCTGGGTCCTTCGAGGATGAAAACTGCAGCACGAGTGCCATGTCAGAGGAGGACTCTGAGACTCAGTCCAACAGTAGCTTCAGTTCTGGGACGAACAGCCCTCTGGACTTGCCTTACCCTTTCTCCTCCTCATCCTCCTTTTCCTCTGCCTCTCCAACCTCCACCTCCCCCTCCTCTCGCCCCTGCAGTCTGGACCTGCCCAGCACCATCTCTCTGTCTGATTTTAACCTGTTGTCCCCCATCCTCGGCCCACGCAGCGAATGCAGTGGCGCATCCTCCCCCGAGTGCGACCTAGAGAGAGGTGAGATATTCTTAGATGCGTTTTGCGTTGATGGATGGAACCCAAATAACGCTGCACTAGCACGTGAGGGATTGAATTAAGGCTTGTTCTTGTTTCTCCTGTGAGACGATGCCATTTTTCTTTGTTTCCTGCCTGCTTGCACCTGTGCCCTCTAGGGGGGGTTCATTAATCTTACTGAGCGATAACTGTGTGGCTTTTCAGCGCCTAAATAACTTCAAAACCATATCTGCTAAAATGTAATGTTTTTAAAGCAGGGCTGTACATTTTCACATGAATAGAAATATCTAGAATAATTTTAAAATGATGTATATTTATTATTTTTCTAAAAATATTTAGTTTTACATTTATATCACAAGTACATTTAGTACAATTATTGTAAAAAATGTATAATATCCTTATTATAATAATTTCTATAATTAACATTTTATTATAATAATAATTTAATACACGAGTATAATTAGTTTAATTATTGAAAAATATATAATGTCCTTATCATTATTATATTTTATCATTAACATTTTATTATTTATAACTTATTATAAAGCTTTTAAATAAACAGTACAATTTATATATACACTCACCTAAAGGATTATTAGGAACACCAGGACCACACCCCTAAATGCTTTGAAACAACTGCCATGTGATTGGTTGATTAGATAATTGCATTAATGTGAAATTGAACAGGTGTTCCTAATAATCCTTTAGGCGCGTGTATATGTGTGCATGTGTGTTTTTATATATATATATATATATATATATATATTCCAGGAAATACATGAACTGAACAAATGTATATTTTGAATGAAATGTAGGTCGTTTTGTATAAAAGCGTTTGACAAATACATACATGTTAATTATAATTATACTAATATTTTGCTCTTTAATTACTGTAGTTGACTAATCAGCTTCATTGTGTACAGGTGACAGAGCAGAAGGTGCCGAAACCGTACTGGACAACGCTCTCAATAACAATCGTATAAGCAACACTAAAACAACCTTTGGCCTGGATAGCCGTTTCCGCCTGCTATCTCTAAAACTTAGCCGAAATGAAAGCAGTAAAAATGCTCAGAAATCCACAATCCTGCTTGATGGCATGTGACTGCAGGATTCCCACGGCGTTGATGTTTTCATTCACATTCTGTGTGCTATGGAATGGCACTGGCAGCCACTCGTCCTTCACTTCAGTGTCATCCCAGCCCATTACCGATCCTCCAACTTTCAGACTGAACTTTCACTCGATCTCACATGTGCGAGAAAAGCAACCCATGACACGATGTGCTGACTGCTGAGGAGACAAATATCCCATTAGAAGGGTAATGGAACTGGGTAAAGCTTTGAAAAGACAACAAATCAATCAATTGTGAGATCAGCATTCCCACACGTTCCAGTTAAGGTCTAAAGAGTCTGAAGACACTTACGGATGACGTTAGCACTTGTTAATTAAGATGCATAAGAGATTAGTTATGCTGTAGATTTATGCCACTTGTTGTCTTTTTAAAATTTGTGTAACTGTCATGGAAAATATACAGTCAGATTTGTGTGGCAGTATAATGTTACATCTGTGCATGAACAGACTCTCCTGCATGCCCTTCATAAACTCTCTTAAAAAAGGACTCAAAATCATCTGAGGAACCTCTTCGCTGCATCGGTGACTCTCGAGGAAGTGAAGCCAAGCGACTGCATCACCTTCTCAATGTCATCCGGAGACCTGCAGCAGAACCAGGCTGATCCGTACAGGTCACTTCCACCTTCCTTCACAAGCCAAAAGTGTGAGCTTCCCTACACGGGTGGACAGTGTGCAATGCATGCCGCTCCATTTTTGTCTCTCTACGTAAAGAACAATCTTCATTTTCAATATAATAGAAAAAAAAGCAATAGAAACAATAGTTTTGTGGAAGAATGGTTCAGAAAGTAGCGTACTAAGCTGGATCTACTGTACTTGCACTGTTCTGAAGGGGGCAGAGGGCTTATGGGAATCCTTTTGATGGGTCTCGGTGGGGAACGTACATCACTGATTAAGACGACGATTACGGAGCGTTTCATCCAGCTTGGGTGGTGCAGTAGGCACTGATTTCGACACCAATGGCAAAGCTTCAGGTCTAGTCATTAGGCTTTGTGTGACCTTGTCTCAGTTTTTTTTTTCTTCTCAAATGTTAGTTCTTTTGATCTGTTGCCGTTTTGAGAAACGATGGTAAGAAAAGAAACCCTGTAACAGTATTTAAGTGATTTGTGGCGTCTAGTCTTTTGTTGTTTACAAAGCTTGTGTAATTGTTTTCAGACTGAAATAAAATGATAGCTGCAGCACAATTATTAGTCAAGTAAGTCAAATAATCACTGCTTACTGCCATGTCTGAGTCGATAACCCTGTGTGCTATGCCACTCCGGCCTCAGTTTGAGTACCGGCTTGCAGTCTTTTTGTGCTCTCTACTTAATAAAAAAATATTGGGCAGTCTTCAGTGTCATACGATCCTTCAGAAATCATACTCATATGCTGATTTATTGCTCTAGAAACATTACCAATGATGAAAACAGCTGTGCTGCTTAATATTTTTGATGACACGGTGCCAAATTTTTCAGTTTTTTTTTTTTTTAGGAATAAAAAAGATAAAAAGAGCAGCATTTTCTTTTTGAATTTGTAATTTTATAAATGTCTTTACTGATTACTTTTGATCCATTTAATGCATACATGCAGAAAAAACATTATTTTCTTTCCAAAAAAACACTTACTAACCCCAAACTTTTGAATGGTATTGTGTATCTACGAAATATAGGCCTATGGTAGAGAATGGCGCTACCAAGCTCATGGGTTTAATTCCCAGAGATCACACATACAGCCGATATATAAACCTTAAACAATATAAAACTTGCCCAGTGTCAAATGTGAGTAAAAATAGGCCCTGGCGGGTATATGAAATGGTGTCAATTGCCAGTTGACCGGTATCTTTTTTATGAATTCTAACAATGCAACGTTGTGAGAACAACGTGAACTCCACTCGGGACAGTTGACAGACCAGTGCTTCATCTTCACAAGTGTTTAAGCCTTGGAAATTTAAATATTCAGACACAAGAAGACGTGAAAGGGAACTCAATTTGTTGCACATTGTCTGGAAAGTTTTGTGAATATGCAAATATTGAATTGTGAATTGAGCTCTCTTTTGCGTCTTCTTGCGCGTGAATGGACAAATTCACAAAAGTAAACACAGTCTGTTATGAAACATCAGTGAACGTAAACAGAAGAGAAAGAAGAGTCGGTATCAGTGTATTGGATCAGTGCATTAGATCTTAAAGTGACAGCAGCCTAACAAGGACAAAGAAAACAAATTCACTGCTCTTGACTGAATAACTTTTAAATAAATTCATCTGTTTAATTTATTATTATTATTTTAATATTCAATTCAATGTCTCTACCTGAAAACTTAAATTACTTGTATTTACTTATTTTAAGTTTATATTCGTTAGGCTAGGACTTTTAGCTGTGGTATTGAAATATGAATAGAGAATTATGAATGTTCACCAGTAGGCTGGTGTCTAACCGATTGTTTTTGCAAAAGTAGTAGTAATTTTTCAAAAGTCACCCGCCATTGGAAGGCGTGGTAAAAGGTTACGTTTTAGACACAAAATGTAAATATCTAAAAATTAACCATGAAGAATAAATGCAGTAAAAAGTAGTTGTTATATAATAAATACTTGTTTTTGTAGAGTCACCAACGTAATTCTGTTATAAAAAGTGGGATAATGTCTGATGACATGTACACAATTTTAATCTCTGCAAATAAATACATCAGAGCAGATGAACATAAATCAAAAAGCATGTTAGACAGAAGTTCTTTAAGCATTTGTACGCCCAATACGGAACATCATCCTCAATCATGCGTGTCCCTTTATGACGCAAGAACATCCAGGTCATTGTAATAATGTTCTGTAAACATTCAGTACTGTGCAGGTACATAATGTCTAAACTGACAATTGATGTGCATGATGGCCGGTGGGGGAAGCAAAAAAAACAAAAACAAATAATTATGCTTTAATTATATGCTTTTAAGATGCATATCTCACTCTCTTCCTTTTTTTGATAAAAGTGCATTCATTCTCTTCCCACTAAAGAGAGAAGTGACTGTGTTCCCTGCAACAGTCTTTCTACCTTCACATAAGCAAAGACCAGAGGAAGAGCCCTTAGTATGAACACAAAACATATCCCTCTGATCTATCATCAGACATCATTACTATACAGCAAGTCTCCTGAGTTAAAAACAGTCATTTCAGTTCAAGTGTACACATTATTTTTGAATGAAACTTTGGACTGCAGAACTACTGTTAGAGGAGTGTATTTTTGGCTGATTGAACACACTTCCTCTGAGCATGGCACTGTCATGATCAGTCCTACGCTATCAATCACACACTAACATGATGACAAACATGGCACTATGTGAGAGACCGTCTGTGGGTGGGGATTATTTCATTTTGGTAAGCGAGAGTGTTTGTGCCCTCGGGAGCAATGAGCACTGGCTAAAGCACCTTCAGTGTCTGCAGAACAATCCGGTGGGCCGATGACCTCGAGCCATTATTGCAGCTGAGATACGCGCAGTGGAATGACACTGCTGAAGTCCAGGAAGAATGGGCCTTCTTGCTTGGGCAGGAAGGTAGTGGGGATGACATTGTATATCCCAGCAGGGAAGTTCTCAACATCCATATAACAGAAACCGCATCTGAGGATAAAGAGATCAGATTCTGACATATAAGGAAGGATAATGAACCGTTTTGAATCGATTTTAAAAGCGCCTCAATCTTTGAACTACTTGTGCAGATCATCAACAAAGCTAACAACCATGCTATCTATCAAGATGAGATGGTGGATAAACCATTAAACATTTTCCTCAGTCACAAGACTGTTTTAGAAAATGATCAACTACTGAAAGTCTGACCTAGATTTTCAAGCATTTGCATGCTGATGCTAAAGTGGAACGATCTATGCACGAATGGGGATATAAACAGGCCAGCTGCCTGTTAGTATACTGAAATATATATATATATATACCAGCCTGTATTCATAATAGCATGCTATTTCTGCAGTAGCTAATACATACCAAAATATACCAAGGGAGTGCCAACTGGGTCAAGGGTCTTATGAGGGTATGGAAAAATGTCTAAATTACCATTCAAAAGTTTGGGGTCAGTAAGATTTTTTTTTATTTATTCAAGATATTAATACTTTTATTCAAGAAGAATACAAGACTTTCACATTGTTACAAAAAGTTATATATTTTAAGAATCCTAAAATCAGCATAACAAAATGATTTCTGAAGGATCATGTGACACTGGAGTAATGGCTACTGAAAATTCAGCTATTGCCATCATAGATATTATATTATATACATGTATTATTATAATAATATTTCCCAATTTCTGTTTCACTGTATTTTTTTTTTTTAAATAAAAACACAGCCTTGGTGAAACTTTCGAAAAATCTTACCAACCTCAAATTTGAAAATGATCAATTTTAAGGGAGGCTCCTCAAAAGGGAATCATCATATTTGAGGGTCTTGGCATCTAAAATCTGTATTACACAATCAAGAACAACTAAGATTCAGTCTAAACCCAGGAAATGAAATGGCTATTGCCACATTCTGAATTTCATCTCCGACAACACAAATCAAACCCTGCCAGGCCTCAGCTGCAGCGTTTGAGGGTCAAAGAAGAAGATGTTCGCGGGTAGCCATTATTCAGATTTGTTAGACACCTACGTAGGTTCGTGCTAACTGACGACTCGTTTCAGGAATTTCAGAATCGGTTCTTTCTATTGGGAGAACTTGGATCGTTGAAACAGCTATACTTCACACTACATACAAAAGTATTATCTGAAAAACCATAATCTACTGATTGAGATGTATTGCATATAATGCCCATTGTTTCACACTAATGCAAAACGCAGTACACTAGCACTACATCCCAAACATAGCCCATGTGCCTAAGTTGGGAAAATGGAAATGGACACAGGATTTCAGACAATGTAATTATTTTTAAAGCAATAAAATAGACATCTAGTTTTCTTCATCACAAAGAGAGTATTTCTTTACCGGTAATCTCCACTGCCCCGCTTTTGAGAGCCTGATGATCCAGAATCCGCTGCAGTAGAAACAGTCACCACCTCAAAGCCCACACTGTACTGCCTGCAGTGAGAAAGCCAAACTCGTTTATATTCACAGACATCACGCTACATCATACATCCTCACATCACTGAGAACACACTCAATGACAGAAGGGTTCTGAAAATGCGTAGGTGTTTCTTCCATGAAGGAGTGATTACAGAGGATGGCCCTGTCAATCCTGGTGTCAAGGGAAATCTGACGGCCCTTGAAATCTTACACCCTTCTTATGGCTGAAATAACTTTTTTAGGTCATGTTATAGCAATTTATATTTATTTTCATCTTATTTATCAAAATACAGCAATTAATAACTTTCATATTATCACATATTACATTAAATACACTATGCATTAAAAAGTTTGGGGTCAGTAAGATTTTGAAAGAAGTCTTTGATGCTCACCAAGGCTGCATTTATGTTATACAGTAAAAAGAGTCATGTGAAATATAATTACAATTTAAATATGTTTGAATATATTTTCAAATGTAATTTATTCGTGTGATGGTAAAGCTGAATTTTCATCAGTCATCCCTCCAGTCTTCCGTGTCACATGACCCTTCAGAAATCATCCTAATATGCTCAAAAACATATTATTTTCAATGCTGAAAACAGTTGAGCTACTTAATATTTTTGTGGATTCTTAGATTAAAAGAATCAGCATTTATTTGAAACATTATACTGTCGCTTTCAATCAATGTAATGCATCACTGCTAAATAAAAGCATTAAACTCTTACTGACCCCAAAATTTTGAATGGTAGCGTACCAAAAAATGTTTATGGATAATACATCTAATCAAAGCAAACCTTATATTTAAAAATACCAATTTTTCTTACATGATAAAGGCCTTCAGATCATATTTTGATGTCAAGGGACATACATATCACGATTATTTCAGGGGTAGCACTGTTACTTTGTTAATTGTGTCCTCTGGTGGTGTGGAATAAAATAACAAGCAGTCTGACCTTGAGCCACGGAGTTCGATGAGCAGAGGGCCTGTTTTCTCCATGTTGAACTGGTATATGGGGTTGTTCTTGAAGCTATCTTTGTAGTTTCCACAACCTCCTGCACTGGCCCCCTTCCACTGCCCATTTATCTATACATAACAGCAAAAAATAGAGAGATATGTTAAAAACAATCTGGAAATAGCTTCCAACCATAACCACCACAAACATTATAAAAAGTGATAGTAGAAGTTTGAACTCACTCTTTTGGTGTGGGTGAAGGGTGTTGGGATTTTGAAGAAATTAAACTTGCATACCGAGTATACCTAAAAAGGGCATATTCATGACAGTATTTAATAATAGGATTCGATTAATATGAAAATAAAAAACATCACACTTGAATGTGTCTTACCCTTAGTGTGTAGTTGATGGTGTTTTGTTTCTCATACTGAGAGACCACCAGTGTAAAGGTGTGAGTTCCAGGACTAGTCAGTTTGATCTTGGTTAAGTAGTGAGGGCTGTTGATCCTGATGCCATCAATGTAGGGAGGAGGTTCAGCTTCGGAAAAACACAAACCAGGGCACACAAAATGTAAGTAATGAACTAAAAATAAATCAGATATACACAATTTCTTCAGTGTCGAATTTTACCTGGATAATAGACTTTCTTTCCATCAGTCTTGTAAACTACTAAAGTGATAAACTCCCGATTTTGAGCGAAGTCATCCTTGAGAGCGAATGAGAAAGTAAGAACATTGTAAGAACTAGTACTCTCAATCTGATTGTAGCGCACTGCACTTTTAACTGTGGTTTTACCTTGTCAGTGATGTGTCTGGTGAGTAGCACCCATACTGCAGCGCCCCCTTGAGGACACTGCACCTCCAGCTTGTACTGAGGGTTATTGGCCAAACTGTAGACGTCCTTCACAGGTCCCTGTTTGCAATCCCAGCTACTGCAATAGCATAATTTACATATATTCTCAGATCTAATTTTTGTTGTTGTTTGGCTGTTCACATGACCTTGTAAATGTGGTCAATATCAGATTTGTATGTAAGCTTGTTTCTGCCTTTCAATAAATAAAAATAAAGGTAATTGCGACTTATTGTTACAATTGCAAGTTTATATTTTACTATTCTGAGAAAAGAAGTCAGAATTGTGGTACATAAACTTGCACAATCCCAACTCTGCCTTTTTTCTCACAATTGTGAGATATAAACTTGTATATTGAGAAATATAAGGTCACAATTCTGAGATTAAAAAAAGAGATTTTTTTTCTTTCTTATTTTTGCATGGTCCTAAACTGACATACAAACAAAGAACAATAACAAAATGACACGCTCATATGGAAGGCCACTGAATAGTGTTTATGCCTTAATTTATAAGCTGATGTGCCGTGGAAGCCAGCGATTCTTGCACAGGCGATTGAGACGAAGAAAAAGACCATATTTAAATATTTACAATACAATTCCTCAAGATTTGCTTGTATAGAACTGCCGAAATAATACTTAGGACTTCTAAAACTTCACTGAGTCACATTATATGAGCAAACAAATGTGAACCACGGCACTTTTCCCCAGTCTACACATAGCCTTTCACCAAAAACTTTGACAGAATAAATACTATTGATGATGTAATATGAGTCGGACCTTTGTATACATGAGGATTCTTTGAACAGTGCCGGATTCCAGCTCAAGTAGATGACATCGTAATACTGGCACAAGTCTTCCCAGATGATCCAAAACACCCCTTAAAGAAAAACACACAGGTGTTAAGAACTTTTACAACATTTGTCTATGTGTCATTAGCTATGTTTCCATCTATACGTTTTTATCCGAATTAAGTGATATTGAATAAAAAATGCCTTATGGAAACACAAAAATTCGGTTGAATTTCATATCAACTCAAAAGAAATGCGTTTGGTCTCATCGGATTTTATCTCGATCGATATATGGCTTATGCGATAAACGCTCATGGAAACGTTATTTGCTGAATAAAGAATGAATTGCGATTTAAGTTTTAGATCTTTTTATGGTTGCAACCCACCAAAAACCATAGAAGAAGTTTTAGTTAATTTTCACCAAGTATTTCCGCTCTGTTTGCATTGCAATATTGATCATTTGTTGGTAGATGGCGCGATCCATTTTACCTTGCAACAGTCTGCTTGAATTTTGGGAGATTCAGTGCAAAAATGATTGGAATTGCCTTAAAATGTCTCAAATCAATTTGATATAACAATTTGATCGCAAAACAGCATGTGACGTCATTACACAGGTTTTTATTCGCTTTAAAGCCGTTGGATGAAAACAGTTTTATTCGCATGAGTTATTTTGACCAAACTTTAGATAACCCAATAGATAAGTGGATGGAAACTTGGCTATTGTTAGATAAGCACTGGCTTACCATTGTCAAACTTCTGTGCGGTTTTAGGGTCAAAATTTAGGTATTTGAGAAGATCTGGTGTCCAGTTCTTTTCGTCACGTTCGCAATAGCGACCTTTCCACCTGAGATGGCTCCATGGGTTCTTCAGCTGGAGGAAGCGTTTACCCTGTGAGAACAAGGAGGAGATGACAATGTTTTTTGCTGTCATGAAACCTCTCTAAGAAGAATATGTTTAACATTGACCAGGGGTCATGGGTGTCACCTTATATTCCCTGATGTCTAGAACAGCATAAGCATGTGTGGGCACTAAACCCCACTTCTCCCCCTCCTCCTCAGTCATCACCCCTGTTGCTGTGGTGACGAGAACATCTCCTCTGTGAAATCTGCCAGATAGATCAGAATTGTTATTGTTAACGAAAAGAGAAATGTTGCATTGGCAACTAACTCAAATAAAATAAGTAAAATATCTTTAAACTAAAACTAAAATAAAAATAAAGCTAAAGATACAATATGTCATTTTTTAACCGCTAGGGGTCACTAATCTCTTAAAATAATGAAGCCATAGGTTTATGACAGTGATAAGCAGAATGATGGGTCTGCTGTCATGCTGATGGATCTAATAATGTTTATGGATGAGTCTTTTTAGTTCTCATTTTGTCCCAAAGTCTGCTTGCCATGATCCATAATGTTTGAACGAAATAACAACAGCGTTAGCCGCTAGACGTTACGGACTATGCCACATTGTCCACCATGGTTACTATGGGAGTATAAGCGGAAACCAGGGGTAACGCGGATATTACGTCATTGACAAGTGAACAGGGACAGGCACTTTTTAAAATTCTGAATTTCTCTGAATTTACAAATTCTTGGAAACATTTAGTATAATGGAAGTACACAATTAAAAGAAATATATACCACTGTGCAAGTGTTTTTTGGATATTTTGATACAAAGTTCTTACATATTGAACCTATAAATAGACATATAAAATAAAATGTAAATTATTAAAAAATCTGAATATATACAATATTAATATATAATTAATATGAAAACAACACTGCAACATACAAACTATTTATGCACAGAATCAAGACAGGCAAGTTGAATAATGCCAGTAAAGTAATGAAGTAGCTACATACTACAGAATCTAAAGGAACATAAGACCTTACAGTGGCTAAAAATCAATCAACACCAGTGTACTGTGAGTGTGTGTGAGCTTACCTCTGGTAAAGCATGCGGAAAGTATCATCTTTGTTAAAGGATTGATTGTCTGAGTGCATAGCAATACGCTCTGGGATCCAGCCAGTGAGAGCGTGCAAATCGATATTCTACAAACAAAAACCATACACAAACAAACAAAAAACACGTGTCACCAAGCAGTATCATTCAGAATAATGCAGAATATAATTAAAAAAAAAATGTTGTGCTGCCTAAATTCACGTGTAGCATGTAAAAGGATTGATTTTAGTGTAAATTAGTGTTGTTAGTGTTTAATTATACAAAGCAGTATACACCAACGTTCAAAAGTTCGGGGTCAGTATGATTTGTTTTGACAGAAATAAACACTTTCAATCAGAAAGGACGCATTAAACATCAAAAATAACAGTAAATACATTTAGAATAACACAAAAGATTTCTATTTCAAATAAATGCTGTTCTTTTTAACCTTTTATTGATCATAGAATCCTAAAAAAAATGCAGCAGGGTTTTCCATCAAAATATTAAGGAGCCCAACTGTTTTCAACATTGAGAATAAGAAATTATTCTTGAGCACAAAATCAGCATATTTGAAATGATTTCTTAAGGATCATGTGACACTGAAGACTAGAGTAAATACTATAATCTATGAAATAAATATATGAAAATACTAGTACATATTTTAAGTTGTAATACTATTTCAAAATTACTGTTTTAACTGTATTTTTGATCCGATAAAAGCAGCCTTGATGAGTAATTAGAGAGAGACTGGGTGTTACGTTCCACGTGTGTGTGCGATGTTTTATTATCCTGTGTACATTGGTGCGTTTGTGTGTGGAACGTAACACTTGGTCAAATAAATGTTTTGCTTAGAGCAGCATCTAAATCTGAAGTGCAACTCACAGAGTTGGAGCCTGGGAAATCATATCCTCCCATGACCTTCATGTAGGCCTTCTCAATGAGTGACACCCAAAGTTCGTTGCGATTACTGGAATAGGAACAAAGCAGCTCGCCGTTGCGATCCACGGGTAGGAAATCATCAATGATCACCTGACAGAGAAACACACACCCGAACTATTACAATATTCTCAAGAACTTGTTCATCTTCAAACAACGATGAAGGCAACAGATAAAAGGTAGTTTATTTGAGGAGGCGGGGCTTAGAGAGGTTGAGTACCTTTCTCGGGACACCGTTAATGTGCAGCTTCACCATGTACTTCCCACACGGGTTATACTCTGGCTCTCCTTTCCTGTTCTGTGGGAAGATGATGCTACATACAAACACAAATAGACATTATATACTAATTAAACATTAGAGGTGCTTGTTCAGGACATTTTTTACATTTCAGCCAAAGGACACCAGACATTCTCAAGCCTGATTCAGTCCATGAGCCATCCAAAACACAGCCTGATAATCCAAGGATTACAGTAACACATGAGTCACACTATTAGTGTAAACATTGCTGTACCTTGTGATTAACTTTTTGTTGTAGCGTCTCTCATATGCTGCACTGATGGCCAATGAGGCAACGAAGGAACAGTCTGACACAACTGTCTGCAAGCATGAGCAAACAAAACAACATTACGAAAGTAAAAAGTTACAAAAAACAATTACCGGTTTTGCTTTAAACAATAGGCAAAATCATCACTGTTTAATTTGTTTCCAGTTTAAGGGTTAGTTCACCCAAAAATGAAAATTCTGTCAGTATTTACTCACACTCATGTTGTTCCAAACCTCTATGTGTTTATTTGTTCTGCTGAACACAAAGGAAGATATTTGGAAGAATGTTTTAATCAAACAGATCTCATTCCCCATTGACTACCATATTATGTATTTTTTTCCTACTATGGTAGTCAATGGGGAATGAGATCTGTTTGATTAAAACATTCTTCCAAATATCTTCCTTTGTGTTCAGCAGAACAAGTAAACACATAGAGGTTTGGAACAACATGAGGGTGAGTAAATACTGACAGAATTTTCATTTTTGGGTGAACTAGTTTTACTGAGAAGAAAACTTAAAGTGATACCTGCTTGATGCTGAAGCTGGACACAGTGAAGATCATGGTGGGGTTATTGCAGATGTCATCAGGACGAACCCAGCGTGAGAATATGGCTTTTTGCTTCGGCGACAGAGCCAGTTTCCCGCATTTGTCCCTATGTGTAAACACAAGCATGCTACTGAAATCTTTTTTGAAAATCAATTCCACATTTAATGTTGTCGGACTACTGCTCTTAAAAACACTAGCCCTCAAAAGATGGGATCAGTAAGACTTTAAGTATTTTGCTCTCACCAAGGCTGCATTTATTTGATTGAAAATACAGTAAAAATAGTCATTTTGTTAAATATTACTACAATATGTTGTATATTTTAATATATTTTAAAATGTAATTTATTCCTGAATTTTCTGCATCATTACTCCATCAGTGTCACATAATCCTTTGGAAATAATACTAATATGCTGTTTTGGTGTTCAATTAAACATTTCTTATTATGTATTATTAATGTTAATAGTTGTGCTGCTTATTATCTTTGTGGAAACTGTGATTAATTTTTATAGCATTCTTTGATGAATTGAATGTTCAAAAGAACAACATTTCTTTGAGATAGAAATCTTCTGTAACATTATGATTTATGAATGTCTTTCCTGACACTTTTGATCAATTTAACCCTCTGATACTGTTAGTGTGTCGGTCAAACATGACAGATTGTTTTTTTGATTAGTTTGATAATGTTTTTGAATTCATTTTTTTTGTATTTTTATGGAATCTTATGGTACTAGTACAGTACAGTAGTTATAATCCATTTATTTGCTTTTTGAGCATGGACCTAAACTGTCATAAATCTTTGAATTCTTTGGAGAATAGACGTAAACTTGGTCTCTTTTTAAAGACGAATGAAAAAAGCTATACATTTTTACATCTAATGTTATGAAAAATGCAAAAAAAATACCATTTAAATTATTATATGTAGTAAAGCATAAAGCTGTGTTCCAAATTTGAGGTTGACATCTCAAAAAATTAGCTTTCAGTAAGATTTTGTTTTGGCGCACTACCAAACTTTTCCAAGGATGAAATTCTCCTATTAATTTCAAACCTTTTCGAATCATGTCCATGATTTTTTTGTGTTCACATAGCAAGTGCCAAAACCCTTCCGATGAAGTAAAAACGTCTAAAAAAAAAACATGTCCAAACAGCACCAAAAAGGTTAACGTGTCCTTGTCAAATAAAAGTAATTTAAAAAAAAATAAAAATAAATAATCTTACTGACCCCATATTTTTGAGCCATAGTGTAAGTGTTAGTGCCAAGGAAAATACAGCTGTTGCAGGGTGTGTGAGTGAAGCAGCTGCACTTTTTGCACTAATTTTCATCTGTAGTCCCGAGGCAGGAAGACAACAACATATAAAATAATGCAATTTATTTATAAATTACACTGAAAGAATATAAATAAATACTCACGAGAACGGAACAGGAAAAGCAAAACGTTCCCTAAGGTCAACACTCATGAATGGAACATATTCAATTCCATTAATCTTGGAGGTCTTTCTAGAAAAAACACACACAAAAAAAGGAAAATAAAGAACTGATAATAATTTAGCCCACCACACATAAGCTGGTGTGTGGTGGGTGTTCTGGCGCGATATGGCTGCCGTCGCATCATCCAGGTGGATGCTTGGTGGTGGTTGAGGAGATTCCCCCCTTCTGTTTTGAGTGCAGAGAAAAGTGCTATATAAATGTAATAAATTATTATTATTTTTATTAAATTAAAAAAAGTCAACAAATGTATTTTCATACATTATGTTGAAATCAATTTCTATACTACTTTGTCCATATAACACTAAAATAAAACATTCTAAATGCCACAAGTGAATTTATCCATCACAACACTATAAATGTACAGTATGAAAAAAAAAAACAGATATTCATTTATTCATTTAACAGTGTAATTTCATTTGTAGTGCTTCTGTAAGATTAAATTTAGTGAGTTTTGGTTAGATGCCAGGTAAAGGTGATGGGGAAATGAGCCTCCGCTATTAAACATCTGACATCGTGTTTGCTCTGAGCCTACCTGAGCACCTCGATCTCCTCCGCTGTGTAACGCTGACCCTGAGGCTCGCTGGAGTGCACTGCTCGGACCGGCTGAGTTTTGTCATGGAGGGAGAAGTCAGGGCCTAGCGGGAAGAACTGCCTCACCTGAGGAGGGCCTTTGGATGCAGAGGAGACGGGCTTGTCCTGGTTTGCTGATTTACTAACAGAGTCTTTCAGTCCCTCTGCCCTGGATGAGGAAAAAGAGATAAAAACAAGGATTATAGCGATAGCAAATGTATATCATACTGATTGTACATCATTCTATTTCCAAATGTGTGAAGCACCTGTCCAGAGCCTGGCGAGCAAGCTGCTTCAGTTTTCCCTGTAGTGCCTGATCTGACGTCTCATTGGACTGTGTGGGAGAGAGAAAGAGTTCAAAGATTACAGGGCTGCGGCTCCGTTTCTAATTACCAGAGGAGACCATATAAGCACCAGTCAGAGATATGAAACCAGAACAACCAACTTAACACCACCACCTGTTGCAAAGACTGACTACGGTTACGTTAGAACTGCTGCTAGTATCTGAGTCAACACTTGTACAATTTTTAAACTACTGTTCAAAAGATTTCTTTAATGTTTTTAATGTTCACTGTCTCTTATGCTCACCAAGACCAAAAATCCAAAATCAGACCCAAATTAGTAATACTATTAATGCTATATTATTACAATTTTAAATAACTCTTTATTTGAATAGATTTTAAAAATGTAATTTATTCTTGTGATGTCAAAGCTCAGTTTTTAGCATCATTACTTCAGTCTTCAGTGTCACATGACCCTTCAGAAATGATTCTAATATGCTGATATGGTACTCAAGAAACATTTTATCCATGATAAAAACAGTTATTTTTTCCCTTAATAATTTTAAATATTTTTGAAGTTTTGATATTTTTTTTCAGGATCCTTAATGAATGGGAGGATCAAAAGGACATTTATTTGGCGTTTTTTAAAAGGACATTTATAAAACATATATATTTTGTTGCGTTATAAATGTATTTTACTGTCATTTTTTAACAAATGAATGTGTCCTTGCTGAATAAAAGTATTAATTTCTTTAACTTTTGAACACTAACGTAAGTGTTTTCTCCTAATGTGACGACTCACCGCTTGAATGCACAATTCCACAGCTTGAGTGTAGAGTTCAATGGCCTCATCTGCATTTTCCTTCTCATCCTCTTCAAAAGCCTGTGTCACCAGAAAGTACGCCCTCTCCAGATCCAACTGGTGCTTACTCTTCAGAGGGTCATTGCTCTGTGCTTGAACTGATCACAGATTCAGTCAGTTAACAACCGAGATAGGCCTAACAGGAATAGTTCATCCAAAAATCTTTATTTACTCAACCTCATGTTAATACAAGCCAATGTGAGCTCCCTTCTGTACAAGAACACTAAAGGAGAAATAACTGTGCTGGTCATTCTTTTCAAAGCAATTACAACGAATGGTGACTGTTTTTAATAAAATATCCAAAAATCACTTGCACAGTGTGATATATTTCCTGCAGTTGTGTACTTACAGTCTCCCCAAAGTCTCCAAAGATTCTTAATTTCAGAGAAATTCAATATTAAAAAACTATTTTAAATACGTGGCTGTCCCGGAAAAAAGCGTAGTGTGTAACGTTTAGTGGCACGCAGTTCTTGTTTCTTTCAAACATAGACCATGGCAAACAGATTTTGGGACAAACAAGGACAACTAAAATGAGGATCAATATCAGTTTGCCGTTTTTGAGATGCCGATCAAATCAAATCCTAAACTTCAAAACATATGGTTTCTGAAGACTTGTAATACATAGCATATATTGTTTAGGTCACTTTCATGACACTTTTATGGTGATTTTGCATTCATTTTGAAGCTTGTAAGCTCCAGTCCCCATTCATCATTCATAAACTGGAAAAGAGCACCAGTACAATTCCTCCTTTTTTGTTCCATTGAAGAAAGTCGGGGTTTTGGAACAACCTAAAAAAGTGAGTAATGAAAATGACTCACCTTTAGGTTGTAATGACCATTAATGTAGAAAAACATGTTGTTCTCAAATGACATATAACACAACAGAACAAGGAAGCAAATTACTTTTAGCTGTGAATTACGCATTCATTTGTGATTCCCAATTGCTGCATTAGTCATGCCACATTCAAATAAGGTATGTAAGCTTTCTAAAGGTTGGGTTGTGGAAAATATGAGCATCATTTTTTCTTTCTGCAATAGGGAGGAGGAGTAGGTTTCACTTTCTTGTTGACCACAGAGAACAGCAAACAAAAATCAGCCCTAGAGGATCAACTTAAAAGGTGTAAATCTTGACACTGAGAATTAATAGAGGAAAACAGCCTTTTGATGAGGTCATATTTGTATTAGTTAATAAACTGACCGGCACTGAGTAGAGTCTGTACTCTGTCCAGGTACTCGTTCACCTTGTCTTGAATATTCTCTAGTTTGGATCCAGCCATGCCTGCATAGATGAGAGCCTGGGCAGCCTCCTAAACAGAACCCAAAATACAAAATATGATCAATTATGAGTTTTATCCAAAAATGTATATCGAGCTCAAAGTAAAACATGTTTAATGACAGCTTTTATTGTCATAGCGTGGAATGCGTTGACATGTACATTAAAGGTTAAGGTAATTATTATATTAAATCAGCTCGCAATGTAAAAAAGGAGAGCATGAAGCTTAACGTTACCTTATAGTAGAAGACAGCTTCATTGTATTTCCCCTGCTGATCATTCAGTACAGCTGATTTAGCAAATTTAACAGCATCGAGTTCAAGAGCTGTAGAATCCATGATTGACGTTTAAAGACGTTAAAATGATAACGTTATATGACAAATCATTTTATCTTGTTCTTCATAATAGACTGCTGCTGTTCATCAGAGAATTTGCGCTTCTTTCTTTCTTGAGTTGTTCTCGTTATGTGAACTTCCCAACCTCCAACTCCGAAATAAAATGAGGCAAGACTGAAAAATATTGATTTCAATGAGCTATCAAACTTAGTTAATCTTAATAAGGTGTGAACACATAACGCTTTAACTTGCTATTATGACAGCAAAACAAATGCTTAAGCCTGCCGTACTTCCGGATGCGATGGGCGTGTCTTGCTGTTGTCACGACACGTCATTCGCTTTCAGCACGGCCGCCGTCCGACTCATTTCCGCGAATCGGTTCCTTAAAATAATTCATTTCAAAGAACAAGTTCGAAAAAGCTATTCTTATTTCATTCTGTCCTTATGGTCCTTAACCCCTGTACTATCTTAATTTTTGTAGACATTAGTTATATTTGGGGTCTGCAGGGAATATAATAACAGTCTCCAGAATCGTTTTTTTTTTTATTATTTGTTTTGATTTTTACAGTCTATGGTTTGATTTTGTTGTGTTTTTGGGGGGTTATTAAAAAAAAAACACACACACAAAAAAAAAACCCCACTGCATTTTATGTCAAATTCACTTTATAAAAGACCCAGATTTCCAACTTTCATTCATGTTGATAACATGGATAACTTTATTTGGTTGAATGTAAGATTTCTTGCCCATTTTTTTTAAAAAAATGCTGTTAAAAAAAAGCTATTTGCTATTTGACTAAACGAAGATATATTTTCACAAATTGGATTCAGTAACTCAACTTCAGTTGGATAATCCAAATTGGATTCATACCTAAATATTATAAAATCACAATTATTAAAAAAACAAACAAACAAAAAACTTTTTTTCAAATAAATACATTAAAAATTAACATTGAAATACTGTACTTTAATACGGTAAGAAATTACAGTAAAATGTTATTTAATTTTACAGTATGCTTAACAGTACTTTAGTTAGTGTTATAGTAATTCTACTGTTGAATGAAATAGCAAGTACTGGATAATTGTTGCCAGTAAGTTACTGTTAATTTGACAAGAAATTTTTTACATTTTTTTTTACATTTTTTCTCTTACAATTTGAATCGTTCAACACCAGTAGGCTAAGATATATATATATATATATATATATATATATATATTATAAAAGACAATTTTCCCGAGACTGGTACACATGTCCTAGCTATATTATTTTCAAGTTTGCAATATAATATTATAATAGAACTTTTATTTAGACCCAGTTTACACCTGGTTTTACTGTGTTCACCTGTGAGCACATACCCACACATAACAAACTCATCTGTGTACTTTGAACCTAAGCTTTTGATATGAAGGTGCTGTTGGCAATAAAATGTTGTTTAAAAGGAAGTAATGGACTTGTAAACCCTGACCCCATAGTGTTACAAAAATGTTAATTAACTCTGTCTGGACTAAATACTCCTCCCTCCATGAGGCTTTCATGATTTTATGAGAAATAAAAACAACAAAAATAAATAAATAAATAAATAAATAAATAAATAAACCCAGAAGGACTGTTTGACTTTATTACTTATGACAAAACGAAAATGAAACATAACCAAATCAAAATACTTTTCCAGATAACACATAGGCTAAACATTAATATCTCTAGATTTTTTAATATCCTGCTCATTGAAGGTGTCAGATATTTTTTTGTTCCATTTTTTATCTTTTCTTTTGCAAGGCACAGTATGACATCCACTGCAGATGGACTCACTTATCACTTGATGTCTATTTCAGACAAAACATTGGTTAACCATTAGAGCTGGACATTAAAGTCTACAGTGCATTAAATGCAGACAGTAAAAACTGTCTGTCCGGCCGTAAACATGTCACAGAGAAAAATGGTTTGTATATATTTTCCTCTGACAGACATAACAATGATTTGACATGTATTAAATGTCAAAACATCCAGACTTTTTGAAGAAAAAAGTTGCCCACTTTATGTAAACATGAAATTAAATCGCTTTTCACAATCCATTGTGCATTTGGTAAAAATAAGCTGTTTTGGTCTGTTTATCCTTAAAAATATCCGCAAAACAAAAAAAATATATATTTAACTGTGTGAAAAACATCATTGCCTTAAGTTGTTTGCACCACAAATTACAGCTTAGGCATGAAAATCACTTTGGCAACCCACTGGTTGACTTTCTCAGTAAAAACAGAAAGATAAAAAAGTGACTGAGACAGGGAGGATTATCTCCAGTCAGTCTCTCTCCTAATCTAGAACAGTTTACAGCACCAGATGGTCATCATCTTGGATCATTTCTGGGTGGCCTTTAAGTATGTTAGAAAAACACATCATTCATTTAACAAGAGTGAAAATCAGTTCAAATATAAAAAGTGGACACCTAAGAGGCACAATGAAAAAAAAGTTAAATGAATTGGATGCATTAAATTGATCAAAAGGGACAACCATAACATTTACATTGTTTACTATATGTATATTATACATATAATTTAAAAAAAAGCTGTTTAAAACTTTCTATTTAGCCTATCATCACAAAAAGTATCATGGTTTCCACAAAAATATTAAGCAGCACAACTCATTTCAACATTGATAATAATAAGAAATGCTGATCACCAAATCAGCATTTTCTTGATTTTTGAAGTGACACACTGCAGACAATTTTCTGCTTAAAATTTGTCTGGAAACCACATGAATAAATTACATTTTAACTTGCATTTTTAAATGACAGTTAGTTCAGCGTCCCCGACCTGTGACAAAAACATTTACGTCTTTAGTCTATTTGCTGTAAATAAAGGGGTGTTGCATTCAGTGTTTATCCCATGGGCAGTAAACAAAGGAAACTCATTTCCACATAATTGATGTAATTAAGCAACTTAATCAAAAGATCTCTGGGTCCAGGCCCGGATTGGCTAATTGGGAGCACCGGGAGAATTCCCGCTGGGCCTGTCTGTTTTCTTGGCCAGGAGGGCTGGTGTTGTCATGGCACTGATTTGAATACTTTCCCTATCCACAAGTTTCCTACGCCCCATGAGGCCTTGCTTCAAAAGTGGGCGCAACTTTTGGTTGGAAGTAAACAAAGCGCGACTTGACATGCTTGACACTCGTTCATTCAACAGTTGACAGTTTCAAGTTATAGCGATCCAAACTAGCTAACGATGTGGGAACACAACCTCAACGAAATTCAAAAGGGTGAAATAACAGTATCTTACCCTCCGCAGTAGTTGATTGGGAGTATTATAATAACATTATTAATAATCAATACTCATCAAGGCATGGTGACAGACAGTTGTGCGAGCTGACAAACAATTAAAGTAAAAAATACACACTTAGTCATTGTGCTTTGGAGTTTAAATTAATTTATAAAATTATAAATGAATGTTCTACTTGAAGACATTAATTGGCACATTTGGTGTTCTGTCAACACAGGCTTTGATCCTGAGTTTAGGTGTAAACTCACAGTTATCAGTAGCGAACAGCCAATCACATGCTGATAGAGTTTATAGAATATAAAGAATTTAAACAAATGTACACAGGAAGATTCGTCGTCTTTTGGGAGGTTATGGAAACTACAGTCATTGGCAGGATCAGAGACGGGCTCTGGCAGGATCACTCTGACTTCATTTTCAGCTTATGTTCAAAACAATCACGTTTAAGCCACTGAATTAGTTTAGTCCAGTTATACATACAACCGCGAACAGCATGTTATCCCTGAGCTCCGTAACGACATCTCTCATAAAGATTTACGTCTTTAAAAAGTAAAATAATTCTCAGAAAAACAGCTAGCCTTTTCGCTAACTAACACACAAAGTACCATTGGAATGCTACTTCCGTCGCCTCACCGGAAGTTTCACCCACTTTATTTTTTACAGGAACGCCCCTGAGGAACTTGTGATAGGCTCCAATCACAGCACAGCCCCACTATTTTTTATTATTTTCTTGCAGCCCCACAAAAAAAGTCAGTTGTTAGAGATGTGTGAACAAAAAATAAGATATACGAAACATGGATAATAGTAGTGCCTACAAGTCAGGGCCCCACCATATGGCAACGATAACCGACCTCATCATCAGCACTCAAAAAACGCTCATCGGCAATGGCAAAAATGTTTGAGGATGACCCATGACCGATCAAAGCAGGATTTATGTTTACAGAAGCGCAAGCCACACGTGAATCCCAAAAATAATAAGATGCAAGTGGTTAAACTAAACAGCTATTTTACTATAGAAGCTTTACACGACCAACATAAATAATCAGTTTGCAAAGACTATCAATAAAAGCTCAGCTTCGGGAAGGGGAGATTTACATGTAAAGATAGAGAACTGAGAGAAGAAGAATGAGAGTCAACAATGAACAGAACCATCAGTTTACCTCATTAAATATATATACTTGCATGGCATTTGCAGGAGACACATTTCTTGAAGATCTTGGAAAATGTTGATGTTTCCTTTGAGTGTCAAACATTGAAGTTGCAATTTTATTCTCCTTTGGATGAAGATATGAACTTGCATGGTTAGTTTGATTCTGTTCTGGATGAAGGTTTTCTCTCTCCATGAGAGCACATGGGTGGTTGTTTCTGGTTGTTGAAGTTTCTTCATGTTCATATAGATCAGTTTGTATATAATCAATGTAGCAAAGGCTGTATTAAAGGCTGTTTCTGTCTTCCCCATTGTCTCTGTCTTGAAGTGACCACAATTTTGAAAGAGATAAAACCAACTTATCTCATCGTAAGTCCTGCTAACCCAAAGACACTTCTTGCACTTTTGGGGGATGTTGAGCATTAAAAATTATTTGTTAACCATAACAAATAATTGTGTCTGATTGGTCTCAGTTGTTACACCACTGTGCTGTAACAGTACAGTAAATAATAGCACAATCTAGGCCAAGGAAGTTTGAAGGGAGTGTTATCCTTCAGCTGTCAAGTACATTTTGGCTGCAGACTCTAAGAGGGGAGAAGGGCTGCAGACTTTGGATGATTAACATTCTGATTCCCTTTCGAAGGAACTCGATGGCGGTGACGCTCTCACTTGTCACTCTTTGAGGAGGTTGTTCAAGTGAGCAAATGGTTTTCACAGCAGGGTTTGAGACAGGCCCTACCATTTCTCAGACTTAATCTATGGGATCCAGTGCTCTCTCTCCGGAGTTGGAAGCATCCCGTGGTTCCTTCTTCTCTGGAAGAGGCACAGGGGCTTCAGCTGTTCCGAGGAACTGGATGTGCTGAGCATCGAAATGGGGGAAGAAGAAACGCCAGCTTCTTCCCCAGAGTGTGAGGAGCTGGTGGAGGTATTACCTCACGCTGTATATAAATTAAATATTGAATGGCCAGTCGAGAAACAAGACTCTGGTCCCAACAGTCTGTTAGACAAGTGCTTTTTAACACCAAGCACTGTACAAAGAGATATCAAGGGCATGGAATAAACCAAACCTTATTCAGCCAGAGTATTAGCCCCCAGGTGAAAGTTTATTCTGATATAAGTGGGCTAAAAGAATATGGTAATGGGATGATACCTAAAGTTGAACAGCCACTAGCCAGTCATTTATCCCTGACATCGGCATCGTCCCTAAAGTCCCCTGCTGCCCACTAAGCTGTTAAAAACATCATCTATTGGCGCTTTTCCATTACTAGTACCAGCTCGACTCGACTCGGCTCGCCTCGACTCAGCTCGCTTTTCGCTCCATTTTCCATTGCAGACAGTACCGCCACAAATAGTACCCGGTCGTCATAGCGACGCCTTTCGTTCCTCATTTCCCCATCAAGCTCTCGCTGGATCCTCTCTTCGCCAACCAAACAAAGGAAATTCTGCACCTCAATGCAGTCAATGTACTAAGACACATTTTTGGCTTTGTCTGCGTTAAGGACTTTGCAATTTGATTAGGGAGTTCAAGAGTAAATTTCCAGGAATTGCTCAGCAAGAATTGGCAGAGAAAGAAAGCAGACCATTAATAACAATGAAAAACAAAACTATAATAGCAGAGAAAATATACATATTTAAAAATATTAGTGTAAAATGAATTAGCATTGTTCTCTGCATTCTTTTTCGTAATATTTCATTATTATGACATATTATAATAATACTTATTGACAAGTCATACTTATTAATTCTGGCCCTTTACCGCCTTGCAAGGCCTCATGCCAGACAGAGAAAACCTTCTTTGGAGGACACAAGTCATTTAATTTGAGTGATGTGTTTATAAGCTTTATGGCAGGGAGCTGGCGATGCAAGAAATTAAACACACTTGAATCATTATTTTTATAGTGACGTTTGCTAAAACAGAAACATAATAGGATCTTGTTCCTTCCACCTCTGTGTGAGAGCTACAGTACAATTCCCATTTTATGAAACTAGAGGAAATCTGCTGTCAGACATGTGGGTCTATTTTAAAACCGCAACAGCCAAGTAATACATTTCATGACAATGGTTAAGATCGTATTAATTTATTTCCAGTGGACCCGAACATCCTCTTTGTAATGAAATGTGTAGGGGGGTTGTACAGTGTGTTTTCTTTGAAAATGTGTTCTGATATACATTCTTCACAGAAAATGAGCCAAGGCCAATGAGTCTGAGTTTGAAAAAAAATATTAATCAAATAATTTTTCTTTTGATAAAAAAAATTAAAACGGGTCCAACAGACCGCGAACACCATACAAGGATTAAATCCAGTCACACAAGTGTTTGACTCATTACATTACTGCAAGATAACTCCAGGGCTGGGTTTGGGAGTTGATTAAACGCACAGCTTGTGGTGAAATCCATGTGTGGCTGTCTGGGATTATTCCAAAGATATATGACTTATGTTGGGAAGTGTGAGAGGCGAGGACTGCATGTCCTCATGTGACTAAAATTCATTATTGTGTCACCAGATATTATATTTATAACTTATACATCTGTGTGATTTATATTGTGGTAGCATGTTACATGATGCAAGACAAGATTTCAAGATGGCACAGGATCATTATACTAACAATGTAAACTATAGTTCCCTTTCAGTCGCTCATGTTTGGCATAGTCGACGTGTAGGGAGCCTGTCATCTTCGAGTATCATCTTCATCTTCGATTTGCCTCTCACACTCCACCCCGCGGGAATAAATGCGGAAGTGGATGCACGAACCAGTTGTCTTTCGCTTCAGAGCCGTTCGGTCTTCATGTTGGTGTCTCTGAAGAGTGTTGTTTATTACAACGAGCAAGTGTGTAGGCGCTTCTTCAGGAAAGTGAAAAAGAAGCGATGATGTTCTTTAACATCATCAAATTTCTGTTTGTGTGTTTGTTTGTCTGATGGCCGGTTGAGGGCAAAGAGAGTGAGTGATTCACTGGTACAGGCTGCACTATCTTCCGAGCCGGTTCCTGTCTTCCACGTCGCTTGTACGTTTGTGGTGCCTCTGGTTCCCCTGGCCCGGTTCGTGGAAGCCTGGAAAGTGCTTCCCAACCAGTCCAGCTGGCTTCTCGGTACCATCAGACTGGGCTAGACCTGGGACCTGCGAATTTTGAATCAGGCCCCTCACAAGCTTCCGTTCAAAATGCTAACGCAGAGACGCATTTTCGAATGCATCCATCTGATTGGTTTGCAGCGATCGACCTGAAGGACGCGTACTTTCATGTCTCCATCCTGCCGCAACACAGGCCATTCCTGCGATTCACGTTCGAGGGTCTTTATTTGTTTGTTTGTTTGTAAACTTTATTGTCCTTTTACAGGAAATTAGTCTTGGGTTCAAGCTACATTAGCTAATACACCCCATAATACACCCCGTATGGCCCCTGCGTCCAGACCACTGGAAACTCCATGTCTGGTCCCTGGGCTGGACGTGGAGGTTTTAGGTGGTCTACCTCAATCTTTTTATTGCAAACTTAAATTCAGACGAAGCAATGGGACAGTACAGAATGGTAACTTTTCTACATGGATTACAAGCTACAAAACTCCAATTCTGATGGGGTCTAAAATGAAGGTTGATGGGCTAATTAATCTTACTATATCATTAAATAATATACCTGATAGCACACGTATCATGAGTTTTTTCGTATTTTGAGACGTCTATTTGATGTGTGTGTGTTTACATCCGGAAGACTTATGTGTTTGCAACACATCTATAGGACGTTTCCTGTTAGATGTCAAATGCGTTTAGAAGATGTCTTTAAGATGTTATGATTTAGAATGTATGTTAAACTAAACTCTTAAAGATGTATATGTTAGTAAACAACAGATGCTTTCCAGATGAAATGATCTTTAACAGACCTCGTGCAGACGTGTGCTATCTGGGTTTACTATAAAGTAGCCTACAATTACAAATGTATTTTAATATCAATAGCTATGAAAATGCAACTGACTAAACAATAAAAGAACATGATGTTCTTTTATTGTTTAGTCAGTTGCATTTTCATAGCTCATAAAATGACACGTGAACATTAATAGGTTGTAATGTTCGTTCTGAGCCCTAAAAAAAAATTGATGCATGGGAGATGTTTTTTTTTTTTGTTTTTTTTTGTTTTTTTTAGATAGAAAATATCATTACACATGACATAGGCCTGTGTTTTAGAACTTCAGCTCAGTGTAGAACTTAACTAATGCATGAAAAAAATGAAGATATGGTGGGGGGAAGGCGTTCACTGAGGAGTGGTCGCACATAATTCAATGCACTGTGTGCTCGTGCAGTGGGATTCGTCTTTTTCTCCGACAGATGCACAGTGAGTACACGCGCTTCATTCTTGTAGGCTGAAGAATTAAGATACATCGCTGTGTTGTTTATTTTTTTTTTTAAAATTCACAGTTTTTAATATGAGTTGCTGGGTTGTGTTGTGTGTGAAAAAGGCTATATGACAGTTTAAGGAAACATTTTGGAAACGTTTTAGGTTAGCCTATTATGTTAAATCTCTGTTGGCATTTGTTTTTATTAAAAAAATATGTTTAAAAAGTGTCAATATGTTTATATAGTCGTATAATGAAAATTACAATCTTTTCAACAGTAGGCTAAATACTTAGCCTATATGTAAAGGTTATGACACATAACCAGTTTATAACCCTTGTCCGTTTTGATGGGTCCTAAAATATGATTTATGACGTAAAAGGCAGCAGTCAATGAAAATTATAGTCGAAAAAGATGGGAAATGATAAAAATATACGATAATGTAATGAAACATTTGCGTTCAATTATAAGAGGTCTACGGGGCAACTGGTTCAAATCAATGTTGTGAATTCGGGAAAATAGGCTATACTTCTGGAAATTATTAGCTCTGTTGAATTTGGATAAAATTGAAATCACACACACACACACACACACACACACACACACACACACACACACACACACACACACACACACACACACACACATATGTAAGATATTGTAAGCCCTCAATGTCCTCATCTTTTTATCCATTCTTGCATGAATATAATTTGCTTGTTCAGGAATGCTGTATAAGTAAGATAGGCTATTCCATTAGGAATTTGTCTTGAGTCTTGAAAGCTTGAATAGCAGTGACGCCCATCAGATAGGGGCCTGGTCTGATTTGGAAATGAGGGGGGAAATGAAATGTTGTTGCAACAATTCCTGAGGCAAACGACTCAAGCTCCTCTCATATGAAATATATATTTCATTTGTTAGGCTTGTTATTCATATCCTAACTAAGGTGTTCAGAGGGGCTTCTAAGTTGTCTGTTATAGTTAGTTAATTTGGTTGATGTAGGCCAAAAAAATTGCTCTTGGGTTTAAGGATTTTAAAACCAAACATAAATTAAATTAAATGTTGCAACAGTTCCTGAGGCAAACAACTCAAGCTCCTCGCATATGAAATATATATTTTTCATTTGTTATGCTTGTTATTCTGAGTGGTGACTATTTCCTCACTAAGGTGTTCAGAGGGGCTTCTAAGGTGTCTGTTAGTTAGTTACTTAGTTAATTTGGTTGCTGTAGGCCAAAAAAAATGCTCTTGGGTTTAAGGATTTTAGAATCCAACAGAAATGTACATCTGTGCATTTAGTTAGAGATAATCATATCCATATGCCATCATCCATCTGTCATCATGCTTGATAAAAAAAAAACAAAAAAACAAAAAAAACCCCAAAAAAACAGCACCATGGATGGTTTATATGTAACACACGTGGCTGTGATTCATGCATATGGGCCATTAGTAATTTGAAGAGAGCATCAAAGCCCATATGTTTACAATATAAGATGTGTTGTGCATTGCCACATGTCTGTCGGTAATTTAACGTTTGCCTTTGGGGAATACAATCATGGTCGATGTCCAGATTGCACAAGGTAACTGGTTGGATCAGAGTCAGATGCATGGAGTGCATGGAGTTGGCAAGTTTGGTTTTGACATACATTTTGCTTGGTATTCACATGTACCTTCATTTATATTGCTTGTATTATACAGCCGTATTGGCACAATATTCCTGTCTCTCCCTTACTTGTGTGCCAATGTTTATTTTTGACGCCTGATCTTGTGGCATCTTCGAAATAAATTTAGGACTTCAAATCAATCAATAGAAAATGCTTAATATATATTATAACATCATGATGGGAGGGACGTTCTCCTTTACAAAAAGAAAGAAGGAAAAAATGCTATAATGGGAGGTTCTACATCCAGTATTTTATCCATTTGATATGTTGTCCTTATAATATTTGTCAAACATGTCATGACTTCTGAGATCATACGGCAGGAAACAAGCTTAAAAATAAATGTGCACTCAAAGATTTGCCTCAGTGAAGTGACCTGCATGGCCTTTAACTTTGGTTTTCTCAATTTGTCAACCCTCCCTTCACAGTTTAATTACTTCCATGTGCACATTATTTGATCCCCCTTTCCTGTTAAACATATGGGCCATAGGTTTTTCACTCAATGTATTTGTTCTTTCTTTAGGGTTTAAAACTCCATAGAAAGTTTGGATAATACTTGTTTTTCTTTCCATATCTTTTTATCAAAACTGTTGGCTTGGCATAAAACACCCATGAAATGACATTTTCTTTTGATCACTGTGCCGTATTTCATCCTGGGGTGTGGTTTAGTGTGATTACCACAGTTTGCAGTGAATTCGAAACGAACTCTAAGACAAATTGATAAAAGACGAATTTGGAATCTAAACATGCTTGCTGCAGACCTCATTTTGCAGGTTTTATTACAATAAAAGTAAAATAAGTATGTTTACATCTAAGTTAAGTTACTTTTTTGCTTTGTGATAAAAAAAGAAAGATTTTTTTTTTCTTTTATCTAAAAAAAACAAAACAAAAAACAACGAAATCTGTCGAAAGTATTCTTAAATTTCCTCTTCTTTATACTCGGTCCAAGTTTTCCAAGAACAGCAAACCACATAAAAAAGCAACACCATCCCGCTTTACTGCAGCTCATAAATGAATTAAACAGGCAACGGCGTGATGCTAAAAGATTACGAAAGAAGTTGTTTGGCAGGCAAACAAACAACCAAAACTAAATACATATGCTATACCCCCTGTGTTTTTTTTCTAAGACACATTAATAAAAGCTACTTAAATGTCCTAATTACTGTAAACTAAAGCATAATCCTGGCTTAAACCAGGCCCTTAATACATAAAATAAATCTTTCTTAATCTTAATGCTCCATTTGCCTCGGTTGTCTAGTCCTGGAATCGGAAGTAATAACGTTGGGAAACAAGATATAAAAACTTGTCAAGGGCTGTATTTGGAAATACTGGAGGAAATTCTTAATGAAAGAGTTTTGTTAGAAAGAATTTATAAGCAAGTTGCTCCGTTAGAGTGACTGGAACTGCTATGGGGACCATGTGTCTCTCATGTGTGATTTAAAAAAAATAGAAGACTGTTTTATTTACTATGAGAGAAAAGGAGCAGAAAACAGATCAGACGTTATTTCCTTTGAGTTCCTACTTTGTGACAGCAGGCACATTTGTGGTTTTGTCTGCGTAGGATATATTTTGTACCACTCACAAACATGAAAAGATATGCACATTTGCAGATGTGTCCATTGCCTCACATATGGGAAAGAAAAATGTAACTGATTCTGAAAAAGATACAAATTATTGAGCTCTCTCTCTCTCTCTCTCTCTCTCTCTCTCTCTCTCTCTCTCTCTCTCTCTCTCTCTCTCTCTCTCTCTCTCTCTCTCTCTCTCTCTCTCGCTCTCTCTCTTTCTGGTTGGTCTATGGTTTGAGGTTGTGTTCATCATGCCATGAAAAGGTTGGAATTCCTTTCTTCTTCCACATTAAAGAGTGTGGGTCTTGGGCTGTGAGAGCTTAATGGTCTAGACAGGCTTGACCCTAAATTTCACAGTGGGTTTTTGTGTGAAACATCATCATGCTGTTAGTCCAACACAAATATTTCTTAACAGGAAAAAATAAACGCATTTGTTTACCTACATCATTTATATTTTGACGTTATGTTTTCAGTTCATTTGGGTCAAACTGACAGACATTTAATTTCAGCTCAGATGTTATATTTTTCTTGACATTGTTTTCTGAATATCTCCATTTGCGTATATATTTATTTAATCATAAGAATTTGTGAATAATGGATAACATTTTTTGACACTGTTTATTCGTGATCTGGGAACTTATATCACATAGAATTTATTAATTGAATTCTTTAATAATTCCATAAATAAAATGCAATTTTAAAGATATCTATTATTATTAATAATCTATAATTGATTGTGTATTCTTTATTAATACCTACTGTTCTATTACTAATAAGTATGCTGCCCTACAAAGTGTGACAATCTGCAGCTGTAGTGCCCTCGAGAGCCTCTGGAGGGCACTCTCTAGCCATGTTATGTTTCCCCGGACTCCTTATGTTTAATTATGTTCAGCTGTGTTTCATTATTGGTTATTGAGTTCCTGATTTAAATCCGTGTTTCTCCTTTGTCATTTGCGAAGTCTTGTTACACTGTAAGCGTACGTCTCTGAGCAGTTCTCCGTTTGTGTATTCCGTGTTTCCCTGGACGGTTGACCCTTGCCTGCCTTCTGGACTGTTCACGCACCTGTGCTGCTTGCCTCGACCTACGCCTGTTAAGACCACAAGTATTTGGATTGTCCATTTGTTTTACTGTTTGCCTGAGTTTATGTCTGCTTGTAATAAAGTTCTGCGCATGGATCCGACCGTCTCTGTCCGTAACGTTACGTTACACAAAAGGCAGTAACTGCGCAGATTGCAGAACTGATAAAAAATACTTTTACTGTACAAACGACTACCATTTTCTTCAAAAAGACAGACACACATTTGAGATAAAATGATTTGTCAAATAACAAAGGATGCCTTGAATGTTATGAAAATCATCATAATGTTTAACCAAAAATGCAGTTACTGCGTTTAGACGTTTTGCTTTGTGGGGCAAGTATTCATTTTAAGGAATAGTTTTATCTTTGTGCTGTATTTCTCTGACTGATTGTGTGGGTTTTCAATTTGATTCACATTTGTAAAATTGTAAAATGACTTCTTCAGGGGTCTTCTTGCACAAGGCAGGGGTCATCATCAGGTACTACTGAATTTACTGGCTTGATCATGCTTATTTTTTTTTTCTGTTAAGGTTTTCGGGACGCCCTTAGACAATGGGGAAGACACTGACGTTTCTTTCTGTTTTATTCATTACGTCATGTTTCCTACACAGCACTACACAGCAAACAGGTAAACACTTTCCACAAAAATACATGCTATGATTTACAGAACAATGTGAGGCAAACTATGTTTTTTTACAATATATAACAATTAGTCTTGTTTATGGCTATTATTATTATTATTACAAAACAATTTTACAAAATAAGTTATATTTCAAATAAATGCTGTTCTTTTGAGAAAAAAAAATCCTAATAAAATGAATCATGGTTTCCAACAATATTAAGCGGCCCAACCGTTTTCAACATTGAAAGTATAAATATATATAATATTTAAATGGTAATAATATTTCAGAATATTACTGTATTTACTCCATTTTTTGATCAAATAAAAAAAAAAATAATACAATTTTTCTCATTTATGACCATTATACGATATATGTCTAGATTGTCATGTGTTGTACTCTCATTGATAGGATGCCTGGATGAAAACCCGGCGTATGACATTGTCTTTCTCGTGGATAGTTCTAGCAGCATCGGCACTCGAGACTTCCGGGAGCTTAAGACGTTCATGCACACTTTTGTGGATGGTTTGGATATTGACACTAAAAATGTGCAAGTTGGCCTTGCACAATTCAGCACCGATCCCCACAAAGAGTTTCTGCTGGGGGACTATGCAAACAAAGCAGAGCTGATCAAGAAAATAGATGACCTTCCATACCGAACAGGAGGCACGTACATGGGAAAAGCCATGAATTTCCTTAAGGACAGTTATTTCACGAGTGCAGGTGGAAGCCGTATCAATGAAAAAGTGCCTCAGATCGTTGTGGTGATCACAGATGGAGACTCAGCCGATGATATAAAGGGACCTGCTGAAGATCTGCGACAGAAGGGTATTATTATATTTGCTATTGCTGTTGGTCCCACCAATATGACTGAATTGAAGGCAATCGCCAACAGCCCACCTGAGCGTTTTGTCGTTAATATCGACAATTACCAAGCACTGCAAGGACTGACGACCACCGTGAAAGAGACAGTCTGTATCTTGATGAGGGATCAGGGGGAAGGTAAGTTACATTTTAAAGCTCTGTTCATGAAAGTCAACAAGCCTGTACACCTCAGTGTTGTAGTACTCGAGACTCGGACTCGTCTCGGACTCGGTCTCGAGACCATATTTTAATGGTCTTGGTCTTGTCATGGACTCGTGTCCATTTGGACTCGGAATTGACTCGTACTCGAACATTTTTTTTTTTTAGGACTCGGAATTATTCCCGAGTCCACTCGAGTTCAATTAAAAATATTTTTCATGATTATTAATGTATGTTAATAAAATATTTCTTTAAATTGATTGACACGCCCAGTGATTGGTGATTTTCTAGTGCGCAACTGCGCATGACAAATTGTAATAAAATTACTTTTAACACCACCTACTATGTGGCCTTTTTACCCTAAACTGATCATATTTTTTAAACTCTAAGTAAATTCAGTAAAAAAAAAAAAGGATTTCTCTAAGTAAATAAAAGTAAATTAGGTAATCAACCCTCACTGGTCTCGGTCTCGACTCGGACTCGACTCTCTATGGACTCGGTCTTGACTCGGACTCGACTCTCTCTGGTCTCGGTGTCGACTCGGACTCGAGTGAGGTGGTCTCGACTACAACACTGGTACACCTGTTATCTAAATCTGTCTCTGGTGATCCAATCACAAGTGGTCATGTGAGAAGATCCTTGTATTAATTAAAGAATATTAAATTATTTATTAATTTTAATTAATTAAATTTTTACCATTATACACGCACATTTATATGCAATCAACATGTAAAAGTGAATTTTGCATCATTTTGCATGGGGTGGTGATGGCGCAGGGGATAAGACACATGGTTTGACCCGGGTTTGAATCCACTGTGAGACACCAATGTGTCCCTGAGCAAGACACTTAACCCATAGTTGCTCTAGAGGCGTGCGACCTCTGCTCTGATATTAATAGCAATTGTAAGTCGCTTACAGATGTAATATAATCGCAAATGTAATGTAAAAAATGCATAATAGGTCCTCTTTAAACTTACTCCTTTCAATTAGTTGTCAAGGCATTTTTTTTTCAAAGTTTTTCATCTAATGTATATATATATATATATATAGTTCTTAAATGTGTCTCATGTTTTTAAAAGCATTCAGTGTGAATGGCCCCTTACTGACTTTTATCTTATCCTTCCTTGAGGAAATGAACATTGTTGATGATGGTTGATTTGTTTTAATTTACTGTGTATTATATTTAACATTCATTTATTTATATGTGCAAATACATGAAATAATCGTCAATTCATCATTGTGTGTCTGTTTCAGCTCTTGCTCCAAAGTTTGCTGATGTATTTGTCCTGGTGGATAGCTCGGCCCAGGCGGAAACACAGCAGATAAGAGAACTTCTCAACCAACTGGCTGTGCAGCTCAATGTGGGCGATGCATCTCATAAGATCGCTCTGGCTCAGTTTGGCGAGACCGTTGTCAAAGAGTTTCTGTTCAAAGACTACCAAACCAGGAAAAAAGCCATAGAATACATAAATCGGTTCGAGCCCAGGCCCAACGGAGAGCGAAAATTAGGAAAAGCCATAGATTATGTTCGCACTCAATTTTTTAACACGGCGTCCGGCAGCGATATTGCTAAAGTCAACAAGCGGTATCTTCTGGTTCTGAGAACAGGGAACTCAAACGACTCCACTGTGAGGGCTATACAAACAATGAAGAATGAGGATGTGACCGTTATTGATATCAGATTGGAAGCAAATTTACGCTATCTGTCACCTAATATACGTCATTTCCAGATTGACCAGAATATTTTTGATGTTGCTTCAGACATCACAAAAAGGATTCAGGAAAAAGAAACTTTCAATGTTACAGGAGGTCAGTTTGCCTTTGTTTTTAACTATTTAATTATGTATCATAGGTTCAGGTGCATTAAGTCTGGCATAAGAAATAGTGACACTTAAGAATAGTTTTTATTTATTAAAATGTTAAAGGGATAGTTCACCCAAAAATGAAAACTCTATCAATATTTAGTCGCCCTCTTGTTCCAAACCTGTATCAATTTCTTTCTTCTGCTGAACACAAAAGATATTTAGAAAAATGTGGGTAACGAAACAGTTTATGGGCCTCGTTGAGAAAAAAAATCGTTACTTCAAAATATATTATTTTGTGTTCAGCAGAAGACAGGTTTGATTCGTACAGGTACAGGTTTGGAACAACTTGAGGGTGAGTAAATGAAAACTATCACAATTTTTGGCTGAACTATCCCTTATGTTGCAACTAACTTATATTGCATACCAGTCAATCTGTGGGTACATCTCATAACCATCATGGGTACTCCAGAGCTGATGGGGGCAGCAGGGAGCTGCTGCATTGGTTGTTATGAAAAAGAGTAGGCTGCATCCGAAATCACATACATCCCTACTCTGTAGTAGGCGAAAAACAGAGACAAGATTATGTTTGAATTCACAGTATTCATAAAAGAGTTGGCAAAAAGTACCTGGATGACTTACTACTTCCAGCAAGATTCTGAAATATACATATGGCACTTTACTATCCCATGAGGCCACGGAAGAGTATTTTTTGATTGGCAGTGAATCAATGTAACTGACGCTGGTAGGTCACATGATAATGACAACTTGTTGCATGTAGTACATCCAGATTTTATTTATACTTCACATAGTCTTGCTATGTAGAACATACTTTTTTTAGTGGCCGTGAAGTAATTATTTATTAAAAATAAATACCTACTCAAGAGAGTAGCCACTGAAAAGTAATTGAAATCCATTAGTAGCTCATTTACTTAAAACTAAAAACCTTGTTTACCAAAAACAGTGCAGTGTACACATAATACACAGCATTATTAAGAATACTATGGTATTTCACATTATATTAATGCATTTATTTTGTCTTCAAACAGACTGCAGATCAGCCCAAGTGGCGGATATTGTGTTTATTGTGGATGAATCGGGTAGCATCGACAGAAGCAACTTTGAACTGATGAAACGCTTCCTCCAACGCACAATTAGCGGTCTAGAAGTGAAATCTGACAGTGTGAGGGTGGGATTGATACTTTACAATGACAGACCCAGTGCTGAATTCTACTTGGACACATTTGTAAACAAGGATGATATTCTGAACTACATTAAAATCATACCATACAGAGGTGGAGGAACCGCAACTGGTGCTGCCCTGAAGTTTGCCAAAGACAATCTGTTTACTAAGACCAGGGGCAGCAGGAAAGCTCTTGGTATAAAGCAGATTGCTGTTGTCGTCACTGATGGCGAGTCACAAGATGACGTCAGCGCCACAGCTGCTGAGCTGAGGCGCTCAGGAGTCTCTGTTTATGCCCTTGGGGTGAAGAATGCTAGTAGGGACGAACTCACAAAAATTGCATCCTACCCCGAAAGGCAATTTGTGTTCAATGTGGAAAGTTTCCAGATGCTTAGTTCACTGGAGAAAAGCCTCAGAAAGAGCCTTTGTAAGGATGTGGTCAATCGAGGTTTTGACAAGAACGATAGATTACTCCTAAAACAAGGTAAACGTATATTTTTTTTAAATGTCCCTTGATCTTCCAATGAAGCGCCAGTCTCTGGTGATGGATGACAAACTTGTATTTTATAATCGTTTAATGGAATGATTAGGGGAGACTCTTGAAAAGGATACTGATAACTTTTTTTCATAAATTAGTACTTTTTTGTATAATTTATTATTTTTAATATTACAATACACTTAACTTTACCAAACTTGTGCTGAATGTCAAAAATAAATTTTGTATGTTGCAACAGCTTTTGTTTCCCCCAACTCATAATTCCATGTAATTCAATCCTTACTTTTAGGATGTGTGAACACAGAGGAAGCAGACATTTATTTCTTGTTGGACAACTCTGGCAGCACTCGTGCCGACTTCGAAGATGTGAAGAAATTGATCCTAGGCTCTCTGCAAGTATTCAACATTGGAAGAAATCAAGTTCGCGTGGGAGTTGCTAAAGTCGACCGTGATCCAACTCTACAATTCAGCCTGACGGAGCACAAAAACAGAGCCTCTTTAGAAGCAGCTGTGAAGAACATCATTCGACCCAATGGAGGCACAGAGACAGGCAAAGCACTAACTTTTGTGGCCGATCTCTTTAATCAGGCTAAAGAGTCCCGTAAGGCTATGGTGCAGGAGATTCTCATTGTCATAACTGATAAGAAGTCCCAAGATGACGTGAGTGAACCAGCGGCAGAGCTGAGAGCTCAAGGTGTTTCAGTTTATGCCGTTGGAGTTAAGAATGCCAACCAGGATGAGCTCTTGAAGATGACGGCTGATAAAACTAAGAAGTTCTATGTGACCAACTATGATGCCCTGAATGCTCTCAAGGGCGAAATTGTTACAGATATTTGCTCACAAAAAGGTAAGACTAACCAGTCATAAATTTACAGCAAAAAAAAGACATTTTATTATCTATTTTTGACTGGTTTAAAACACGCTACATTTTGAGAAACATATTCAAAGCTTAATTAAAGATACTCTACCTTTCAAAAGTACATTTTATTATCTATTTTTGACTGGTTTAAAACACGCTACATTTTGAGAAACATATTCAAAGCTTAATTAAAGATACTCTACCTTTCAAAAGTTTGAGGTCTTTTTAAAAATAAATAAATAATTTTATTAAAAGTGGCAGTAAAGATATTTGCAAATGTTACAACTCAACCTGAGCGGCTAAATCTGTAGCAATTTTCAAGAAGCAGCTGAAGACGCATCTTTTTCTGCAACACTTGATCCATTATACTAACAGGGAAGGGGCATCAAACTGGGAATTAAACTGGGATGGGTCATATCACTTACATATTGTTGTCCTATTGTTAGTTTAACTGCTTCTATTGTTCTCCTCCTTTGGATAAAATCGCTGCTAAATCATTAAATGTAAATGTACAAAAGATTTCTATTTCAAATAAAGCTGTTATTTTGAACATAAGAATTCAGGGGGGGGGGGGTTGTCCACTAAAATATTAAGCCGCACAAATGTTCTCAGGATAAATAATAATAATAAATGTTCCTTGATTACCAAATCAGCATATTAGAATGATTTCTGAAGGACCACGTGACAGTGACACTAAATACTAAAATAGAGTAAGGATGCTGAAAATTCAGCTTTTAATTTGCCATCACTGGGATAAATTACATTTTAAAATATATTTTAAAAAATTAGAAGTGGGTTTTAAATTAGAAAATGTATTTTAAATTGCAATTATATTTCAGAATAATACTTTTTTGCAGTATTTTTGATCAAATAAATGCACCCTTGCAAGAGATTCCAATTACTGTAAAAACATTTTAAAATCCTACGGACCCCAATATTTTGAATAGTAGCTTATATTCTTTGACAACCAGTCTTATCTCACACAATTTCTAATTCTGTTATTATGTTATACATATATTTATTAGAAAGCAAGATGAAAAAAACCTGCTGAAGTAAATCTTTTCTTTTCTACTTTCTTTAGCCTGCAAGAACACTGTGGCCGATATCATGTTTTTGATTGATGGCTCATCTAGCATTTACAGCCTAGATTTTATATCAATGAAGACTTTCATTACTAAAGTTATAAATGGTACTGTCATCGGAGAAGATAATGTGCACATTGGTGTGGTCCAGTTTAGCAGCACACCACAGGACCAATTTGCCCTGAATAGGTTCAATAACAAAGATGAAGTAGAGGAAGCGATTAACAGCATTACACAGTTAGGAGGGGACACATACACAGGAGATGCACTATTGTTTATTTCAAAGTATTTTGATGCATCCAACGGTGGTCGGCCAGATGTCCCGCAGTTCCTCATAGTTATCACAGATGGGGACGCTCACGATGCTGTCGCCTTACCTGCCAAGGCCATCAGAGACAAGGGTGTCACCATCTTCTCAATAGGTGTGGGCAACATAAACGCCACACAGTTGTGGGAAATCAGTGGAACTCGAGACAAAGTGTACGTGGAGAGGGATTTCGCTGCACTTCAGTCCATTGAGAAAAACCTCCAATTCAAGCTCTGCAGCACTGACGCAGGTGAATAATCAAATGTTACTGTATGCCACATTTACCGCACATCCCTGTTGAAAAGAGTTTTGTATGCTTTTTATTCAGGGTTTGGTCAAATTTAGAATTGCTCTCTTTCATTACAATGTGCAATGTCCACAGGAAGTTGAATTAGAATTGGATTGTGATAAAGTTGTAAATTGCAGATTTACTGTATAATTCCAAGAAATGAAACAGGTAATATAATTTGGGGAAATTAAGGGTTTTCACATGAAAGTTCATGAAATGTACATGTTTGCATATAAATTAACTTTCAGACAAGACTTGCCAATCCAATATTCAAAGTTTATCTTGATGAACCTGAGTTGGAAATTAGATTTTTATTTTAATTATATGAATTGCAGTTCTTCATCGCTTTAGTTACCTGTTTTCACTCAAATTTAACCATGTTGGTTGACTAAAACTTTTTGCTGTTGAATAACAAAGCTATGGCCAGCATCAAGCAAGCATTATAATCAACCAACTTGGACCAGATTACATGATGTTTTTTTTCTTTTTGCCCCCTCATTTTTCCACTAGGTTGTGAGAGCTTACAATTGGCAGATGTGATCTTCTTGGTGCAGTGCACCAGACGGATTCGTTTTCAAGATTTTGAAAACATTAAAAACCTTTTAATTTCTGTGGTGAACAGCACACAGATTGGGGAGAGTCTAGTTCGCATTGGTGTTATTATCTACTCTGACACTCCGAATCAGTTCTCTTTAAACCAGCACACAAGTAAACGTCAATTACTGGAGGCTATAACATCCCTTCAGTCCCCACTTGGAAACGGCTACACAGCAAAAGCTCTTGGATACTCTCTCTCTTACTTTAATGAAGCAAATGGTGGGCGCCAAAAACGAGGCGTCCCTCAGATGCTATTCGTGATCACGGACGGTGATGCAAGAGACCGGGAAGACCTACTTGCACGGGCTGATGAGTTTACAGCAAAACATATAAATGTGTTTGGAATTGGAGTGGCCAGAGCTCAAGATAGTGAGCTGGAGATGATTACCAAGAACAAAAACAAAATATTCCATGTTAATAATTACCCGGCCCTTCAAGATCTGCAGACGAACATCTCAGGTGTCATCTGCAATGCAACCAAACCAGGTGAAAGCTTTTTCTTTAGACCTTAAGAACGTGAATGACCTCAGATTTATCAAAATTATCAATATTGGCTCATCTCGTTTGATTGTTCTGTCTTGCAGAATGCCAGAACGTGGTCGCTGACCTGGTGTTTCTGATTGATGGATCTGAAAGCATCAATGAGGAGTCATGGAAAACTATGATTGATTTCTTGCTTAATGTTGTGGACAAGCTCCGTATTTCTTCAGAACTTATCAGAATCGGTATAGCCCAGTTCAGCAACTTATATCAGAAAGAGTTCTACTTGAATGAGTATAAAGATGCAGATGGGGTGAAATCAGCAATTCGAAAAATCAGACAAATTAAAGATGGGACGTACATTGGAAAAGCTCTGCGTAACGTTGTGGAATTCTTCGAGGAAAGCAAAGGGAGTCGCAGACAGAACAACGTACCGCAGAATCTCGTGCTCATCACTGATGGTAAATCATCAGACGAAGTGAACGAAGCAGCCGATGATCTCAGACGCCTGCAAATAAATGTTTTTGCGATAGGAATTGGGACTGTCTCAATGCAACAGCTCAGCTATATTGCCGGGTCACCGGATAGGCTATTCGAAGTGCAGAACTTCAACTACCTTAATCTGACAACAGCAACATTTGTTGATACCCTTTGCTTTCCTGGACCTGTATCCCAACAAGCAAGTGAGTAGAGGTGCCAATGTTTCTATGTGTGATATTAAATTGATAATTGATATCAATTTAAGAGGTTAAATTGGTCCACAAAATTGTAGTACATTGAAAATAAATTGGAGTCTATCTTAACGAGAAATACCAAACTAGGAATGCACAGTATGTTTTTCCCATTCTGGTTATTGGCAGGTTATTGGTTATGCAGGTCTGTATCTTTAGTTTTTACATTTACATTACCTTTGATATCTTTGCTATTTACTTGTAGCATATAGAATGACTGATTTAGGTTTTTTAGGTTTGGTTTATGATTTAAGTAGACAAAACAGGATATAACTATTATCAGCCATTTATAAGCCATGACATGAAAGTGATTATTGGTATGAATTTTTGATTAGCATTCAACTTATCCCTATCACACATGAATTCTATTTCTCTTTGTTTAGGTTGTACAGTTGACATTGGCATCGGATTTGATAACTCCCGCACCAGTTCAAGTTCTCGCTCAATCTTTACTGACCAGAAAAAGCTGCAGGCCTACCTGCCTGAGATCATCCGTTACATTTCAGTTGTGCACAACTTGTGCTGTATCACCCAACCAACCCTCAATAACAACGTAGGCTTCCGATTGGTTGATGCTGATGGAAGGAAGCTGGATGATTTATCTTTCGAAGAGTACAGTGAAGGTGTGGTACAAAAAGTGAAGGCACTGCAGACTTCCCAATCTCTCAAATTTAACACCAATCTTCTACGCTCTTTTGAGGAGAAGTTTAGAGCTTCCAATTCTTATGTAAAGGTGAGAACAGCAGTAACCAAACCAACCATATCTAATTGAACAGGCTGTAATCATACAAGGATAAATCTGGAATTAAAAACGCCGTTGATTGACATTATGATAGATAGAAAGATCACTAAAAACCAGCTTGAACCAACAAGGATATTCATATTCAATTACTTGGTCTTTTCTTCAAGCAAGAAAGATTTTCTTTGATTTCTCTTCTCAGGTGCTGATCATCTTTACAGATGGGTTGGATGAGCCTGTTGAGGATCTTCTGCCTGCCGTCGGGAGCCTCAAGACAAGTGGTACTGTGACTAAACAACCTTTAATTTCTTTAGGAACTCTGTGCTTTGTTCAGTAGCTTTTCAACAAAAACAACTTCATGAACTTTTTCAGAAGAGCCTGGTTCAAATCAAAGACTAATTATTATGTTTGCGAAAATTCCCTTTGTTACATGCACAGGTGTAAAAGCTCTGCTGACTGTGGCCCTGGATGGATTTAAAAGCACTTTTGACCTGCAGAGGCTGGAGTTTGGTCGAGGGATGCATTACAAGCAGCTTCTCTCTATTGGCATGCAGAATGTGGCCAGTGTCATGCAGAAGGAGATTGTAAGTCAATTTAAATGGCATTAAACCAAATCATTGACAAAAGGATGACACTTTCAGTGAATCAAATTACATCAAGTAGATATTATACCATATTTTGGGGACTTATTTGTTACATAAAATCTACAGTATCGAAGTACATTAGCTGCCTTATGGTTTGCCTTAGAGATCAAAACATTGTTTTGACTGCTGAGTAAATACATGGCTTCCTGTGGCTGGGAGCGTGAGGCTCTCTAAGAAGAAAGGGAAATAGCAGAAAGGGATACAGCTGTGAGTTTTAAAGAGTGCTGAAGAAAGATGTCAGGATGTCAAGTGCCTTGTTTAACATGTCAACAGTCACAGTTTCTGTCTTACTTTCTTACAATTTGCAGGACACAGTTGTCTCAAGGGAGTGCTGTAACGTGTTGTGTAAATGCACTGGTCATGAGGGAGCACGTGGAAATCAGGGTCCTCCAGGGTTGAAGGTGATTAGCTAAAGATCTATTATTGAAGATTTACTAAACAATATTTTAAAATGGAGATAAATGTTTAATTTGTCTTACTGTACTGCTGTTCAGGGCTCACCTGGACAGAAAGGGCTTCCTGGTTACCCTGGAGAAGAAGGAGGGCCTGTAAGTTCTTCAATTTATATTTATCATTTTTTATTGACTTTCATGAGACAAAAAAGGGAATTGGAATACTTTCCAATGCCCTTTGAACTGTTGATGTTTGTGTCCATAAAGTGATTACACATTTTGTTACACAAAATGTATGTTACACTCACTCTGAAAAAAAGTTTTAAATACAATCAGCTTGGATGTTTGTCATTTTAACTTAAATTACAATAAACTGACTTGATAAAAATGAAAAATGAGTTGAATCTTGTATAACTTGGTTAAATTGGTTAACTTATTTTGATGAGTTAAAGCAAAGTAAAATATATGTTGTCATAACATACTGATGTTATATTTTTTTACAGTTTCAAATAAATGCTGTTCTTTTGAACTTTCTATTAATCAAAGAATCACATTTTTTTTTAATTAATTTTTTTTTAAATTAATCAGCGCAACTGTTTGATTGATTATAAGAAATGTTTCTTGAGCACCAATCAGCATATAAATATTTCTGAAGGATCATTTAACACTGAAGACTGGAGTAATGATGCAGAAATTCAGCTGTCACAGAAATAAATTACATTTGAAAATATATTAAAATATAGTGTATTTGTGAGAAGTACTATTAATTTAGTGTAAAACATTTTTTTTTAAGAAAAAATAACTATGTAAACCTATTTTAATACCAGAATATATACTGAAAAAAATGATATCCTATGACTTTCATGTCCAATGTATATGTTTCAGGGTGAAAGAGGGATTCGTGGTTTGAATGGAACTCAAGGACACCAGGGATGCATTGGGAAAAGAGGCATGAAGGTAACAATGCAATGAGTTCTCTTATTGAGACATTTTTTGAGTTTTAAATGTGACTTTTTTGCTGAAACAATGCAACATTTATCTTTTGCTGTTCATTTCTTCAGGGTGGCAGAGGCTACAGAGGCGACAATGTGAGTAATTTCATACGGCTATGGACACTGAGGTTTGCATAAACATTTAAGCTTTAAGACAGAGAGCGTGATAACTTGAAGATAGCTATATATGTCTACCTAATTATTACCAGACAGCAGTAATTAGCCATCTGTGTTTGGATTAGTGTCTTTGATTATCATCTGGAAAAGGTTTGTTTAGCCTGTGGGTTTTTGTTGTTTTTGTTTGTTTTTTTTAGGTTGCAAATAAATTGTGTTCCTGTCTCCTTTCTTATTTGCTTTGTAATGTAACCACTGTTCTCTTATTAATGACTTGAGTTTCTTTAATCTTCTTACTCAGGGAGATGAGGGAGAAGATGGTTTAAATGGTGTAAATGGTGAACAGGTAAGAAAATGATGGTGCACTTCTAACATCCAGTGAGTAATCGAAGGTCAATATATATATATATATATATATATATATAATGCAAACTAAAATAAAAATAAGTATTGTGGTGGCAAGCACATCTCACATTTTGTTTGGAAAATGTTAATATCTACCTTTGCTTTTATTTTTACAACGTTGAAGTGATGCATTTTTGTGTCATTGTTTGTATATCTCAGGGTGTAACTGGAGCAGCGGGAAGCGCAGGAGGGCGAGGAGATCCAGGAAGCCCAGTAAAATCCATTACACATATTCTTCTCTAAATGTCTCAAACATGATCCAGTTTCTCTTTAGTTCACTAATTTCATTGATTAATTTATATGTATTATCTTCATTGTGACCAAACCACAGGGTCCAAGAGGTATCAGAGGAAGCCCTGGAACCCCAGGACAACGAGGCCTGAGAGGAGATCCGGTTAGTAGGCTTTAGCTGCACATAAACATCTTAATAGATTACTCATTCAGGTGACAAAACACTGTTCATTCTGTCTGCGAAGAATTCATTAAAATGGTGATTTTTCATGTTTATTGATTTCAAATGCAAATCATTCAGTTCAGGTCAGATTGTTCAAATTTGGTATGCAAAGTATGCATAATTCAGAACTGTTGTATTGTATTGATTTTTATTTAAAGGGACCATGTGCAATTAATAACATAAATGTAAACATTTGATGCATTACACCAGAGTTAGCCTTAGGCTAATTTACATCTGCAGCTTGCAGCTAACATTCATTTTTGTTACCAAATTGGACAAAGAATGTCTCTAGTGTCTTAAAGCAAAATAGTGAATCATGAGGCACTGATGGGGAAATAACAGCCAGATGTAAGAGATCAGCCAGTGATTAATTTTACACAGCAGATGTTCCAGTAGAGTTTGGCTGAATTTTGACCCATGGGGCCTGTTTCAGAAAGGAGGTTAAGTGAAAACGAATCGGTTACCTAATGTAACCTCGGTTCTCTCTAGATGAGGGAATGAGTATTGCGTAAGCTAGCTTACGCTACGGGAAAGATTCATCTTTGCTGAGAAGTTGAAGCTAAAAAATTATTCCATAATTTTGTAATCATTGTCAACGCAGTATCTCTGAGGCACACCATGAGCGGGCTAGCTAGCAGCTCATTGGTTCGCTCAGAGAAAATGCACGAACCTATGGGAGAGCGGCGCTGAGCCCGCGCCCAATGAGCGGACGGCGCTCGCTCATTGCGTCAGAGCCCGCCGAAAGGGGCGTGGCTACAGTGTATAAAACTGGCTCTCCCAGGCTCGGTCGTTGATTTGGTGGTGGCGCAAGCACGGCCGGGAACGCAATACTCATTCCCTCATCTAGAGATTAGAGGTTACGTTAGGTAACCAATTCGTTCTCTTACGAGAGGTTCTCTCGTATTGCGTAAGCTAGCTTACGCTACGGGAACATCTGGTCAACGCCGTGCGCGCTATGTAACCACTAAGCATCCCAGGGGGGTTATCATCTAATGCAAAACGCCCTTAAGGGGGCCGGCGTAGCGGGCCGTGAACGTATAATGCATAAGCACATAGGGGGAAGCACAAGGGGCGAACCGGTTGTGATAGGACTCCCAATAGTGCAGCTTCTTATAGGAGAGCTGTATAGTACTAGACCGCCAGAATTTTAGCCTGTAGGGCGGGAACTTCCAAGTTATAGAATCTGACAAAAGTGGAGGGGGAGGCTCATCCCGCAGCCACACAAATGTCGTGAATGGAAATTCCGCAGGACCATGCCCACGATGAGGCCATGCCTCTGGTGGAATGAGCCCTGACGCCCAGCGGGCAAGGCAGGTCTTTTGAGGCGTAAGCAGAAGCAATAGCATCCACTATCCACCTAGACAGTGTCTGTTTCGAGGCGGCTAAACCCTTGGTGCGGCCGCCGAACGACACAAACAGCTGCTCCGAGCGTCTGAACGCAGCAGCGCGTGTAGTGTACACTCTGTGTAGTAGATTCCGCTCTGGCATGTTTGATCGTGTTCAGAACTCCTTCTGGCAAATCGACGAGTAGTCGTTGGTCACCCATGCATGAAGCGCCCAGCGCTGTGGATGCCAGATCGAGCCGCGAGCTTGAGTGAGGAGATCTGCTCTGATTGGAATGGGCCACGGGGCTGTCCGTGACAGCTGCGTGAGCTCCGGGAACCAAATCTGATTCTCCCAGCGCGGGGCTATGAGGAGCACCGAGTGGCGTGTGTCCCTGATTCTCTGAATGACCTGCGGTAGCAGAGAAATCGGGGGGAAAGCATAGAGCGGGCGGCAGGGCCAATCCTGGGCTAACGCGTCCTCGCTCTTTGAAAAGAATATCGGGCAGTGAGCATTCTCTTCTGACGCGAAAAGATCTATCTCTGCTCTGCCGAATAGGCGCCACAATGTTAGAACTGTTTGAGTGTGCAGGGACCATTCTCCGGGGGAGACAAGGTTCCTGGTGGACAGCATGTCTGGACCGTCGTTCAGATGGCCCGGTACATGCGTCGCTCTGAGCGAGAGCAGGTGACTCTGGGACCACAATAGGATGCGGTGCGTCAGATGAAAGAGATTCTTGGATCTGACCCCGCCCTGACGGTTGATGTAGGACACCACGGCCATATTGTCTGAGCGAATCAGGACGTGGTGACCATGTATGCGCGGGAGGAAAAACAGCAGCGCGTTCTCGACCGCGATCATTTCCAGACAGTTTATGTGTAGACCACCTCCTGGCTCGACCACTGGCCGGCGGCCGGTGAGCCCTCGCAGACCGCACCCCAACCCGTGTTGGATGCGTCTGTCGAGATGACTTTTCGGCGAGAAAAGGTTCCCATGGTAACGCCCCTCTGAAACCAATCGGTTACTGACCATGGTTGCAGTGCAGTGATACATGTCTGTGTAACCTTGATAATCTGGCACGCTGTGTGGATAAGCGAGCCCTCATCGTGATAGAGTTCAAATCTATTCCAAGGAATGAAATAGTTTGACTGGGCTGGAGAGAGCTCTTTGTCCAGTTGACAGAGAGTCCCAGCGCTTTCAGATGGTTGAGGAGAACTGCGCGGTGCGACAGAAGCTCCGTCTGGGATTGTGCTAGAATGAGCCAGTCGTCCAGATAGTTTAAAATGCGCAGTATCCATGCACTTCGTGAACGTACGGGGTGCTAAGGATAGGCCGAACGGGAGAACAGCATATTGGTAAACCTGACCCTATGAAGGCGAAACGTAGGAATGGCCTGTGATGAGGGTTTATCTGGATCTGAAAATAGGCGTGTTTCAGGTCTAGAGAGATGAACCAGTCCCCCTGGTGGACGTGCGCGAGGAGTTTTCTGACTGTGAGCATTTTGAACGGTCTCTTCATGAGCGCTTTGTTCAAAACCCTGAGATCTAAGATCGGCCTGAGGCCGCCGTCTTTCTTGGGAATAAGAAAATAACGGCCGTAAAACCCCGACTCGGTCATAGATGGCGGAACTCTCTCTATTGCGCCCTTCTGCAGCAGCTTCGCTATCTCTGAGCGGAGCGTGTTCATCGCAGCTGGGCTGACAGCGGATTCGAGCCGAACGCGCGAGTGGGGCGGGCGGCGACGAAACTGTAATAGATAGCCCTTCTTTATGATGCTTAAAACCCACGGGGAGATGCCGGGGATGGCTTCCCACGCTTCGCAGCATGCGGCTAGCGGTTGAATGGCGATTTTGCCCTGATTGCTGCACATAGCGGGCTGGACACTGTGTGTGGGCGCGCTTAGAGTGTGTGTGGCAACGGGACTTACACTCAGAGAGGAGTTTATGGGCCGTGAGACAGAGCGAGCAGAGGGGGGACACGCGCATGGTAAATGGTAAAAGGCGTCGGGGACTAACAGAGGACGAAACTTTGACTTGGAGGACTGACATGGAATGCAGCGCTGAAGCGGCCTGTCCGGCGGCGGCATAGGCGCGAGCATGAAAAGTAGAGGTCGCTCTGCACGCTTTCGAAGGAAGCGTAGGGGAAGAACGCCATCTAGCAGAGGGCGGGCAAAGGTGAGCGGCGACCAGGTCCTCGACGGGCGGCATGGCAGTATATCCCCTCTCGGCGGCTCCGTCCACTGAGCGCAGCGAGGCGGACACGTCGGAGCGGTTTCGAGCAGAAAGAGGGGCATTCCAGGACTTAGTGAGCTCGTTATGCAGCTCAGGCAGGAATGGTGCAGCCCGGCTGCAGGCGGGGGCCGGGCGCCGGTGCAGAAATTTACCATCCATGCGGTTCGGTGGTTGCTCAGGGGGAGGCGACCACTCGAGTCCCAGGCGGTTGACGGCCTGTGAGAGGAGACGCAACAGTTCCTCTTCAATGCCGGCGCGGGTCCCAGCGGGTCCTCTGACGCAATGAGCGAGCGCCGTCCGCTCATTGGCCGCGGCCTCAGCGCCGCTCTCCCATAGGTTAGTGCATTTTCTCTGAGCGAACCAATGAGCTGCTAGCTAGCGCCGCTCATGGTCTGCCTCAGAGATACTGCGTTGACAATGATTACAAAATTATGGAATAATTTTTTGGCTTCAACTTCTCAGCAAAGATGAATCTTTCCCGTAGCGTAAGCTAGCTTACGCAATACGAGAGAACCTCTCGTAAGAGAACTCTGAGTATGTTAACCCTAAAATGAGGGAAACTCTGGGTTTTCCGTTTCAGAAAGGGAGGTAAGTTAAACCTGAGAAAGCAGAGTAAGTCAAGCCCGTTTCTGAAAGAGAGGTAACTTATACTCAGAGTCAGTTACCATGGTAACTTACTCTGTGAACCTAACCTGGTCGGGAGCAGGTTTTCTTCAGTAAACCCAGAGTTTCTTGTGGTCTCCTCCCCCTTTTTAAAGAGGAAGTTCTGTTTAAACACCAACAATAAACATGTATTTACACATTCTTTTTATATATATATATAAGGAATATATATTGTTAGTCCATGGTTTAATTGACTAAATCTGTTTTGCAGCACTTTGCCAAAAAATAAAAGGATTTAAAACGTTTGCTAAACTTTTATTTGATTACCACCGTTTTTGATATTATATTTCTATTAAATCATTACAAAAAATTTGAATAAATGTAATATTTAATAATAATTTAATAAGTTATTAATAATAAAAAAATAAGATGTTAATCTTATTCATAATCAATTATTGAAGTTAGTTGATTAGAGATGTTTTATTGAACAAATGATTAATTTATTTAACTGTCATTTTAACTGATGATAATAATAACCGTAATTTAATAATGCAGTTTATATATTTAATAATTGTTTAATACCATAAACCGTGATTTTTTCTGAGATGGTTATCATACTGTGAAACTCTCATACGTTACAATCCCACATGGGGGAGTCCCCCACCCCCACTGTTAAAACAAGTTACTCAGCAACTTTTACTCATGTTTTAAATTAACTACCTTTTACTTGATTAGATTTTTAGACGGGTATTTTTACTTTTACTTAAGTAAAAATTTATCAAAGTAATAGTAGCCTACTTTAGGTTGAATAACATTCTTCCAGTTTCACCTCTATATTATAACTGTAGGTTACTCTAAAATTGTTATGAATTATTAACTACAAATGACATCTTCAACGGTGTAGTTAGATTAATGTAATAATTAGGCTACTATCTCTAGAAAGTATTGGTCTACATATTACTAATTGCTAAATCCTATATCAACCTCAACCACTTGAACAAAACGAGGAGAAACAAGAAACTGCACTTTTAATTCTTTCAAATTAACAATATACAATTGCTATACTGAATTGGTCTATAGTTTATGCAGTAGCCTATTTAATGTAATTTCATCATATTTTATTTTAAATGACAGAAGAATTAAGAGAAATCCCTTTAATTAAATTACAATATTTAGATTACTTGGTAATTAATTACACCCAACACCTCTTTTTGTCTGGTGCTGTTGCCATGGTAACTCATAATATCTGCGCTCCATTGATAATGGCTTTTTATAGTTGTGGTGCACGCGCTTAACTCAGAGTCAGTCAACTCAGAGTTGATTGAACTAACTAATTTCAGCTGTTCTGTAACCGAAAACTCAGAGTTTTCCATCTCAGGGTAACTCAGAGTTCAAGCTTTAACTCAGAGTTGGTTGAACCTCCTTATTGAAACGGGCCCCTGTTAATCCATTTCCTTATCAGGGAAGTTCAGGATTGGACAACAACATCCGGGGTCCTAAAGGTGACGTTGGCGGTCCAGGCATACAGGTATGGGACATTATTTACTTTTAACAGTAAACTGACACTTAACAGTAACATCTTTTAAGTTTACATGTCTATAAGTATTAATAGCTACAACCTGATAAACAGACATCACTGAACAAAGACTTGACTAATTGATAGTGAAGGTGGTACTTGAAGTTGTATTTTTACTGCATCCCTGTTGACTATTTTTGTTATCAATTATATCTATTCCATTGTTCTGGTTATTTTTTTCTTTCTGTGGCCTCTTTTAACAGGGTGAACCAGGTCCAGATGGCCTTCCAGGCCAAATTGGTGATAGTGGAAGACCAGTAAGTTAATATCTTCTTATAGTTCAGAATGTGTAAGCATGAACTTAAGAATCCTGTTGATATTTTTACCTTATTTTTAGGGTCTTGGTAGCAGAAGAGGCTCAGCGGGTGTACCGGTACAGTATTGTAGAGATAATAATTATTAAACAACTTCAGAAGTTACAGTATACCAATTGACTTGGTTTGTTTGCGCGTTTAGGGTCTCAGAGGGCCTCCAGGAGAACCAGGACAACTAGGACTCCCTGGGGCCTCAGGTCCAATGGTAATGAACAAATTATTCTATTTTTAAATCTATCAATAACTACCATTTATTTCCTCAGCTATCAACTTTTTGAGCTTGTGCCACCTATAATTCTCTGTTCAGGGTGCTCTCGGTCCACCTGGTCCGGTTGGGCAGAAAGGTTTTATTGGTCTACCTGGACCTCAGGTACATGTTGAAATAGAATGAACTGAGCACTTTGTTTGGTTATTATTGGCATTAATATCTAATAAACCACATCTGGCCATCAATGGTATTTTGTTGGTTTCTTTTACACAGGGACCACCTGGCTCTCCAGGAAGGCCAGGAATTAAAGGAAGCATTGGTTCCAGAGGAAATAAGGTGAGTGACTTTTTTTAAAACCTCTTCATTTATAAATCTCTGCTTTTTTAAAAGGGATAATTCAGCCAAAAACGAAAATTCCCTCATTATTTATTCACCCATATGCCATCTTGACTTTCTTCTTCAGATAAACACAAACGAAGATTTTTTGGAAGTTAATCCATCTCTTGAGTCCATATAATGCCATTGAATGCGTTCCGATTGTGACGGTAATCCATACGACCCCAGTGGATGAATCAGTGTCCTCTAAAGCAAAACGATAAGTGTGTGTAATAAAAATACAAAAAATTCACGATCGCTGTTTTTTTCAGGCATCAACCAAGCGGTATCGATTCACTTGAATAATATGGACTCACAGAGATGGATTATTTTCTTTGAAATCTTTGTTTGTGACAATTTAAACAAAGAATGTCATATAAAGGCCAATTCATATTGCACAGACAAACTCCATCAAACAAGTTGGCCGTTGGATGTATAATTTTATGATAAAATAACAGTCATGTTCATACCGCCTCAACAGACACCAACAAACACTGATTGCACATGTTCAGTCGGTTGAAAACAAGGCCCGACCCGGGATCCAACAAAACCCAACTAACATGTTTGTTGCCGTTTGTCTGTGCGGTGTGAATTGGCCTTACTTTAATGCTAAACCTGCGCATCATGCCTTTGCCTCACAGGGCCAGCCAGGTGATCCTGGAGATAAGGGATCTTTCGGACCTCCAGGCCCCAGAGGACAGCTGGTCACTTTTTTTCTTACTTTTTAAAAAAGCTACTAAAATTCTGCAATGTCAGGCCTGATCCATCATCATTCAATAAAGCTATTTTGTTCTTAAATGTAACAATTCAACAGTTTGTCTAATAATCTGTTTATTCAACGTCAGGCACAAATGAACCAACTTTTATTTATTACTAACAGGGAAAAGATGGTGTAGATGGCTATGGATTCCCCGGACTCAAAGGACAGAAGGTTTATATAGAATTATACTGCAATAATTTGCTCTCAAATAGCATAATTGGGCTATGTATACTAAAAAAAAACATATAATCTTTGATTTTTTAGACATAGCTCTTTATTGGGTAAAGTAAGCTGCATAATGTGCATATGTATTTATGTTTGTTTATTTGTTTATTTATTTCTTTTCTTTAAGGGAGATTCTGGTTTCCCAGGTCATCCTGGACTTCAGGTGACTTCACATCCATAACTTGCCAGTGCAGTAACTATAATGGGGTTGGTTCATGAAGTAATCTCTCAATAGTGTAACTATTAATGAGTGAACAATGTTTCTTCTTTGAAAATCAGGGTGAACGGGGCTTGAAAGGAGTAAATGGAGGTGGTGGTCCTAAAGGCAACAGGGGAAGAGGGGTATGTAAAAACATTTTACAAGCTTTATTTTCTTACTCATTCTGTGAACCTTGGATGGATTTCTGGATGTCTGATTACAGGGCAATGCTGGCAGGGCAGGAACAGCTGGAGATCCTGGCAGCGAGGGGGTGACTGGACACAGGGTATGGGAAAATTATTCGCATCATATTGATCATGGGAATTTGAAGAGGTACAGAATGTCTTCTTCTTCACATAGGGCCCAAAAGGACCACGAGGAGCCAGACAGATGTCTGTAAGTTTCTGGTTTTCTTTACTACTACTAGTATTTAACATGAAAAATTATTTATATATACTTGAACCTGGAAAGAAATTGTAGGATTTTGAAAATAACACTCTAGTTCACACAATGTGCAAAAAATCCGAACAGTTAAATGATTATAAATCATACAAAATATAAAATAATATAATTTAAAATATTAATTTAAAGTAACTGTTTTCTATTTTAATAGATGTGATGTCAAAGTTGAATTTTCACTCAAATCATTTTAATATGCTGATTTGACTCATACATAGCATTTAATATTATTATCAGTGTTGAGAAGAGTTGAATTGATGAATAGAATTCTGTTTATTTTGACCAATTTAATTTTTTTTTTATTCTTTCAAAAACTGTAGTATTTTTAAACGGTAGTATTTTTATTTGTTGTCTAAATGCAAAGCATGTGTTTAAATATTTAAAAATAATATATATTCTTTTGTAGGACTGTCAACTGATCTCATATGTTCGAGACAACTGTTGTAAGTAATCTTTATTTTTCGTTTTTATTTTATTTTCTTAAAATAGATAATAATAACATTATGATGATGATAATGACATTTTTATGTATTTTTATTTTTTATTTAACAGTGTGCTGCAGAAGTAAGTAACATTTTATGTAATACAGGACACTGAAATGAGATGTACAAAATGTGAAATATATCTTTTTAATTTATTTTCCATTATTAAAAATTACATTTCTCTCCCATATGTGTCTCTCTAGATAATATAAAATGCCCTGCCTATCCCACTGATCTTGTGATTGGCATGGACATGTCTGAAGATGTGACGCCTCAAGGCTTCGAACGCATGCGTGCTGTAGTCCTGAGACTCTTGGACAATATCAATATTGCAGAGAGCAGCTGCCCGACGGGGGCTCGGGTGGCTGTGGTTTCCTACAGTTCCTACACCAAATACATGATCCGCTTTAACGACTATCACCGCAAGAAGCAGCTTATTGATGCAGTGAATAATATCGCCCTGGAACGCTCTTCAAACCAGCGTAACATAGGCGCTGCCATGGGGTTTGTGGGGAGAAACGTCCTGAAGCGTGTGCGAAAGGGTGTCCTGATGAGGAAAGTTGCAATCTTCCTCTCCGCCGGAGAATCTCAGGATTCAACCTCCCTCACCACGGCCATTCTAGAGTACAAAGCCCTGAACATTAAGCTCGGGGTTATCGGACTGAGGAATGTCCCTAGTATTAGAAAAGCTTTTCAGGTAAAGTTTAGCTCACTTTCATTTTTTTATAATTTAAAGGAATAGTTAATGCAAAAATAAGCATTCTGTGATCATTCCCTGCCTCGTGTCTTTACAAATCTTTTTACCTCCTTTCTTCTGTGGTACAAAATTAAATTTAAATTAGATTTAAGTTGTTCACTTAAATATCAAAACTTTCACTCACTTTCGCTTTAATTATTAACCATCCCTATAATATTTAAATGATTTGTGTGACTAACACACTAAGTTTGAATACAAAAGTTTTTTTTACCATTGTATAGATATTCATTTGTGGGATGTTTTGTTGTATGCAGGCAGATGAAAGCAAGAGTTTTATCTTCACTGTGCTGGGAAGATTGCAAGACCAGAATGAGACTCTGAGTAAGATCCAGAGTTGTGTTATCTGCTTTGGTAAGCACCAGTCATTTCTCTCCCTCCTTCTCACAACCAACATAGTCTAATATGCTAATTTGTATTGCATTGTAATGTTCAAATCTAACCAAATTCAAATCTGTGTGCAGTCTGCATTGTGACTTATTTTTAGTTAAAAAAAGAAAAATAAATATCATTTACATTTTTTTGTCATTGGTAGGTTTAGGGTTAGGGGATAGACAATACAGTTTGTATAGTATTAAAACCATTACGCCTATGGAGAGTCACCACATAAATAGCAAAACAAGTGTGTGTGTGTGTGTTTTCTACATTGTGGATGTTCTATAGTCTCATGCCTTCATTTGTGTGTGTGAGTGTCTGTGTTCTGGATTGTGATGTATTTATTATTTTTGTTAATAAATAAAAAATAATTTCTCATTTTTTCCCCCTTCCCCATTCATTCATTATGGGGGTCAAATTGACCCGCAAGGGAAATATTTGTTACTATTTTTATTACAACCAGAAAAACAGAACCCAGTCATTTTTGTGCATTCCAATTTCAAGTGTGAAAGTTTTAATCAAGCTCTTAGACCCCTCAGACGAACTCCTGATTTTTACAAATTTTACAGTAAACTCATTTCGGGTCAAAATGACCCGAGGAGAGGAGTTGGGTTAACTTACATACCTTACATACTGTACACCTAAACCTACCCAACTCCGCCCCCTGATCCCTAAACCCACCCCTAATCCCTAACCCCACCCCCAATCCTATCCATCTCCTCCCCTTGTATCTCATGTACTGCATTGAGGTGCTAGTGAAGATTTCAACATTTCTCATCAAATGAATGTGTGAATAAAGTTGTGAGTACTGCACTCCTAAAGGTAGATGAAAGCATTACATGAATCAAAAAATTTTGAATGAATGAAATTTCAAGGAGTGTAGCATGTAGAACTGTTTAAATTCTGCAAAACATTTTTCGGAGGTCTCTGGACGTAGTTTCTTTGTGGTCACATCTACACTCTTTTCTCTTCTAAGATCCCTGCAGACCAGCAAGAGAATGTGAGGGCACCAACCTGGCATCTGCTCCTCAGGAGTTGGACTTGGACTTGGCTGTGATTGTGGACGGCTCTCGTAGCATCCTGGCCGACGAATACGAGGGTGTGAAGGAGGTGCTCGGCGGTGTGCTAGATCAGATTGTTGTGAGCAGTCGACCCAATAATGCAAGAGTGGCCGTCTACCAGCAGAGCTCTACGTACAGTGAAGCCCAGTCTGCTGTGAAAGTCATATTTGGCTTCCAACAGTTCCCTGATCGTGATCTAATGAAGAGAAGCATCTACCAAGATCTAAAGCAAACCGGAGGCTCTTCCAGACTCGCCCTTGCGCTCGAATACGCCGTGATGCAGGGCATCCTCACGGTTCCAAGGGGTCGCAAGTACAAGATGGTACTGGTCATCATAGGGGAAGAGATGGCATCTCAGGACAGAGCAAAGCTGGACTTTATCTCCAAGGTGGCGAAGTGTGAGGGTGTTGTTCTCTTCACCCTGATGGTGGGTGACCACATCAGCAGTACTCAGGTGGAAGAGCTTGCCAGCTTTCCTTCAGAACAGCACATCATTCACCTGGGCCACTTGAAACACGGAGAGCAGGAGTACACACAGCGCTTCATGAGGACGTTCTTCCACATTCTGAGCAGTAAGTGTTAGACATCATTCAATAATATAGATTTGAGGGCCTGAGCTTTGCAATAGTTCACCCAATCAAAACTGCTCACCCTCGTGTCGCTCATTGATATTGGTGCACTATATTCCACCTCTTCTGAAGCCGTTAAATAGATTTATGTGAGAAACAAATGATTTGATATACATAAAACACTTTTTGTACTTTTTTTGAAGCTTGAAATTCTTTTTGGAGATTTTTGTGTTCCAAAACATTACATCATACATTTTCGAGCAACAGGAGGGAGTACACGATGACACCATTTTTGCTTTTGAGTGAACTGTCCCTTTAAGGATGACTTTGCATACACTTGTGTGTTAATATAGTTTCTTTGTGAATGCAGAAAATCTGAACTCCTACCCTCCTCCATCACTCGAGAGTCAGTGTAGTAGTGGTCAACAAGGTCCAGGTCAGCGTTTGGACTACGAGGCTGCAGAGAGACCTGTACATAGGTATCAAATGACAAACCCTGCTCTATCATCATCTAATGTGAATTTACATAGAAAGGAGACAGGTGGTTATTTAATAAGATTTTAATAATATATATAGTTAATAAAATAACATGATATATACACTATATACTGGAGTTAAACAGATAAAATAAATGTGAAATAAATACATACAGTTTGTGAATATCCATTATGTGCCCAGTGTCAAAACAAAAGCTATTTCCTAGGATTCCTGTGCCACCCGTAAACCCAAATGTGGTGAAAGTGGAGATGGAGGAAGAAGACGCTGCACAGGAGGAGACTGAGGACCAGCATACATCAGGCCGTGGAGACTCATTAGTCAAGTCTCCCCTTGACCGCACAGACAGTATGTTCTTACTGTACAAATCTCTGCTCGCATCACAGCGCCTCTAGTGCTTACCCAGACAGCAAACTGACATTGAATCAACGTGGAAACGACGTCTCTCATGACATTGAAACAACGTTGATTTTGCTCATCGAATTAACGTTGAACCAACGTCAGACGCGGCATTCTTCAAAGCTAAATGAAAATCGAAAATTGGTTTGCTTTCATAACGTTGAAACAACGCGTTGATTTCAAGTTGATTTTCCGTTAGTTTTGAAAGAATGACGTGTCTGACGTTGGTTCAACGTTAATTCGATGAGCAAAACTATGTCAGATCAACGTTGTTTCGATGTCATATTTCCACGTTGATTCAATGTCAGTTTGCTATCTGGGTAAACCAACTTTACTGCAAACTTTTCTTTAAAAGTTACTTATTTAAATGGTTTTCCAGCATCATTGTCATGGCTTATCAGTAATAAAGCATTTTGCTTTCAGGTTTCTGTCACCTGAACAGTGACCGTGGAACCGTCTGTGGTGAATATATGCAGCAGTGGTATTATAAAGAAGCAGTTGATGCATGTTTACCCTTCTGGTACGGGGGCTGTGACGGTAACCGTAACCGTTTCAGTTCAGAAAAGGAATGCCTTCAGACCTGCGGCAAACAAAGTAAGTAACTGCATTGACAGTGTTGGGGAAAGCTAATTTTAAAAGTAATGCGTTATAATATACTGTAGAGTTACTTCCTTAAAAAAAATTTAATCTTATTTTGTGTAAATTGTTTCTCACCTGAGCTGGGCTGGCTTTTTTTTCCATAACAAAAAAACAAAAGTTGTATTTTCGGCAAATGTACAGGCCCTTTCACACCAAAAGTGAAATGCTAATTCACGCTGGTACAGTAGAGGGCGAAGCTCAAACAAACCTTTCAGCTGCGATTCTGGATTCCAGAAGACACAGATGAAGAAAGTAGAAGTAAAAAAAAAGAAACAGAAATGTGATTTTTGACTAACTATGTGATGTTTTGCTTATTAGATGGTTGAAATGGATCATCAAAGGTCAGCAGCAAAGACATTGGTTAATAAAGTGAGATTAAATACATAATGTATATTTGTATTGTTTAACATATTTAATTATTGCAGGTTTGCATAATATTCAGCGTTTGCATTTCATTGTTCGAGTAAATACCTGCTCACATTTAGTTTAATAACCATCATGTTTACTCTGCGCACGCAACGCCTGCACTTTACTCCTGTTTTCTCTCATAATGGGTCACATGTCGTGTCCATCAACAAATGAGAAAACAAACTGGAAAAAGTTGCTCAGATATTTTGTTGTAAATTTAAAAGAAATGCATTACTTTACTAGTTATTTGAATCTGATTAGATTACTTGCGATCTGTCCTTTAGCTATTATAATCTTGCTTCTCTTTCAGCTTGAATAGCTGAGAAGTTGCCCAAAACATCTCTAAAACTAGCCAACGTACCAGTCTGATGAGTCTGAGAGACCAACTAAGACCAGCAAACCAGCTTAGGGTAGTAGATTTCAGAAGGGTAGTCCAACCCAAACCAAACACCATTAGTTGCTTTTGTATATAAAGCGATGTAAACAGATTACAAATTCCTTTTGTGTCACTTGTGACGCTGAAATTACAAACTAAACATTTCGAAATGAACGATCACACAAGGTTCTTTGTCAATATAAAACAGTTGCTGAAACATTATCTATTCCATCTCCAGATCCTGAGCAAATCCTGCAGGCAAAAAAGGAAACCACATTATTTGATGGTGAGAAATGAGCCACCTCTGTTATTGCTTTGCTGTCTTTTGCTGATTCTTTCAAATTTGGACCAATATTACTATTACTTTATTGGATTTTCTCTGTGAAGCCAATAAAAGGATTATGCATCGACTCTTTCCTGATGTTTCCACTCACAGATGCGTGCCTCATGAAACAGGATGTGGGGCCCTGCACTAACTATGTTTTAAACTGGTACTATGACGTCCAGCAGAATGAATGTATACACTTCTGGTTTGGAGGATGTGGAGGAAACAAAAACAAGTTTGACACACAGGAGGAGTGTGAAGCCCTTTGTCTAAAGAACATTTAACGTGAATGACTTTCTAAATTACACTTGTTACATTTGAACATTATGTTCACCTTGCATTTAGCTATTTTTTTTTTTTTAAATATACAATTATGTTTTTACAACAACAAAAAAAGAGCTAAAAATTACTCACCGGCATCCAACACAAAAGAAAATTAGCACTTATTTATCATCATATTTTAATAAAGTCATACACCATCAGCTAAGTCACAGTGTATGTTAATGTACATAAAGTTTGTTAGTGAAGAAGTTCTGTGACAGCAATAATGTGGAATAACATTTTTTTGATACAAAATAAAACAAAACATTTGAAGTCTGTGCATTTTTTCTTCAAAAATTGTGGAAAAACTGCTTGCAACCTCCTTTACATCTGTCAGTTGTCGTATGTTTGAGTGAAACCAGGTTTTCCAAAAAAAAGTAGAGTTGGACTTTATTGGAATTTATTCAATGGGAATCAATGAGTCAATGTTTGACTTGGCTAAATATGCTGTGCTACAATGTTTTTCAGCAAAATCACCAAGCAAATACACATTTCTCGTCACATTTATTCAGTAATATTACACAGTGATTACAATGGAAGTTTCATTCCATGTCTTGCATTTAGGCCTTGAAAGAAAACTAGGTGTTTACATAGCTGCGCAGAAATAACACTATTAGTGTAACTAATGTGTGAAACAGACTGCAAATACTTTTAAGCTATGTCCTGTTTTCTACAGTGTGGCCATATTGTATGACCTTGATATCAGCATGAAGCAGTTGCACAAAATAACAAAACACAAAGAAAACACACACAAACTGCAGGCTTACACTGTTTTATATAGTTAATATTAAAGTGGATTTGATCCTAAATGACTGAATTATATTAATTGGCATTATATTTAAATTTACATTACACCATTCAAACAATGTCATCCCATCTTGGCACAGTGTGTCTCTCACTTCCAGACTTTGACAATGCCATCTCTAGAGGAGGTGACTATAAAGCCCTGGGTGGTCTGGAACGTTGCAATATCAGTAATGATGTCGTGGTGGCCCACGGGTAGGGATTCTGGTCCACGGCGAGGCGTGTCCTCGGTGGATCCGCTCTTCTGCTTACTGTGGATCTCCTGGTGAGGTTGAAGGGAGCCAAAAGTGAAGATCAGATAAATATAAGCATGCAGAAATCAAAAATCTGATGGAAATGAGCTTCAGACCTGTACTACTTCTGTTCCTTCTATAATCTTGCGATTGTAGAACACAGAAGGGCAGTGAAGAGAGTCATTAGCACCGCCTGCGACGATGTATGACCTCTCAGGGTAGGCCAAATCCCAAAACCTGTAGATGTCATTTAGAACACACTTAAATGTATATATTTTAAATTTGTTGATTTTTTAAATATTTTCATATTTACAAAATTCAAAATTTGTACATATGCCATCAGAACCTTGGGGTGTCAAAGATTTAACTGTTTCTGAAAGGCAGCTGTTTATGTATGATGATACCCTCGAAAACAAATTCAACTGAGCTTTGGAAATATTTAATGACTATATGGAGGAAGTAATGTCTGGAGTTGAAATAGATTACTATTATCTATTTTTTCAATCATAGATGGCCAAAAATACATAAAAAACAGCATTTTGCACCATTGAAGGGCACTTCAGGAAGGGGAGGCCATTTGTAGGGGCGTTCCAAAGGAAAGTCTTCTGAAGCCCTTTTTCCAATATCTTTAAACAAATGAACAGTGATTAGCTTACTAATTAGGCACACCTGATTCTCATGTCTGATCCAGCTGTAAGTAGGAGAGGGTTGCCATCAGCAGGGCTGCAGTATATCCCATGTACACTGTGAGGAGAAGGCTGTGGAGGACAAGAATGATGACATCTGGTAAGTTGGATGAATTTACTCATTATTTTTGCTTTGTTATGGAGAGACAGCTTGTAACAACCTGCATCTCTGAAAGCGGAGGTGCAGAGCTGGCCCACAGGGTAAACTTCCTATCTCCAGTCTCCATATCCCACATGGACACCTCATTGTTACCTTGAACAGCTGAAGAGAATTAGGAAAATCTTTATGAACACACTATTTATAATCTATATAGATACAGTACATACTGCATACACACACGATACCATTCAAAGGTTTGGGATCAGATTGGAAAAAGATTTAGTTAGTAGTATTAAATATATATATATATATGGTATTTTAAATTGTAATATTTCAGAATATTACTGTTTTTACTATATTTTCAATTATCAAGTAAACTTTTCACCTGCAATGACAGAGGACTGGTAGAGTGGATGCATCAGCAGGCGTCTGATTCGAGCTCGGGCTGGGTGGGAGTGGCTGGATATCGGTAGCTGAAACCGCATATCCCAGCATGCCATTGTGCCATTACTTGTCCCTATGTAAGTAGGACATAAAATAAATCCAAACCTAATTTAATGCTTTCATTTTTTTTTTTTTTTTTATGAAAGCCGCCTTTTTTAATTGGGGTTTTGATCAGAACTCATTTATAATGTACAACGTATAGTATAAAGTGCAATATAAACAAAAGTTGATGTTTTTGTACAAGCACCAATAAACATCAACTACTATAAGCTATGCAGCTATCTTACCCACACACAGCCAACACTGGTGCATGTCCACAGCAAAGGAAGTGATGAGACCCAGGCGCAGGTCATGGCGCAGAGTCCAAGCGTTGCTGTTGCTGCGGAGGTCCCATCCCACCAAAAAGCCGTTCACAGTGGCGTAGGCCAGAACCGTCTGCGCCCCCGAGTTAAAGTGATGTACGTCCACCACACAGCCCTCATCCTTTGGATCCAGGAACCTAAAAAGAGACTCGGCGGCTCACTGATCTGACTGCATGAGTGACACTAACCTGAGTGTGATGGTCTTGATTTACTTGTATGTGGCAGCGCACAAAATCAGAAAGTGGAATGGGAGTAAATAGAGTGGAGTAAGTGCACACACCTGGTCTGACAGGGCTGGACTTTGGGTGATTTGGGTGGCTTGTTGGCCTCAACTGCAAGAAGCTGGATGGAACCATTATCTGATGCAACAGCAAGGTAATGCGACCCCTGACAAAAGGTCAGTGTTTTTACATGTCCTCCAATCCGTGAATACGTCAGCACAGACCTGAAACGATCACATTATCAATCCTGGTTCAGATAACAGTAAAACAACCATCTTGAAAATGCATAGATATTTAAAAGAGTCAAAATGCTGACATTAAGATATTATATACCTTGTGGTGGTCGTCTTGCCCTCCATTTTCTGGCTGTCCCAGATCTTTACAGTTCCATCATTGGAGCATGTAGCAAAGATGGAGTGCTCGTCGGACACTCGGATTCGGTTCACAGCAGATTTGTGCTCGTGAAGATGGGCCACTAGAAGACCTTTTGGATGCCACCCTGCAATGCAACAGTTACCAAAGTGGAAAAACTTCAAGCAACTCATAATTCAAAACGTTCAACTACGGAAAAGCAGTATCTCTTAAAATATCTTTATGATATTGTTCATACTTCAACATAGCCATATTTTACTAGAACTAAATGATTTTGAATGAATGACCTCAATTAGGGAGAAAGCATCAAATACATTACCATTCAAAAGTATGGGGTTGATAATAAAAAATAAAGTGTTACAAACGGTCGGCTGCAGCTACTGATTTCAGTATGAGATCAGGCAAGCAAAGGCTAGACAGCCATATGATATATTACAGTGGAGACGTGACGGCTGTACCTGGCAGTGGAGGCCTGCTCTCCCACTCTGCGCTCTCCATCATCTGTTTGGCCATGCGCTCTGCGTTGCATTGCTCTCTTTTCTGCTGCACCAGCTGTTGCAGCTCAGCCTTGCACGTAGTGATGCGCCGCTGGTATGTAGACACTCCGGTTACGGACTGTGCCACTTGAATGCTAGGGAGAACTGTAGTTTTCCTGGGCTGCACAGATCCGGCCTCAGGCACCTGTGGTTGAAGGGAACAGGGGAGAGGTTTAAGGAACAACATGCTAGTGTATCCAGGACATTCCTGCATGTTTGAGTAAACATGGTGGAAAATATCAGGAGACGACTGATATGACTGAAAGGAGTTACAACACAGACAAATGCACACAAAGATAGGTGTTGATGAAGAAATGATGATAGAAGAGGCAAAGAGGGCAGAGAAAGAGAAAAGGGGAGGGACGATAGCACACTGTCGGCTCAGCGGTCGACCTGGGCTGAGGATGGAACATGAGGGAGGTTAAGAGTCTGTGAGGAACTCTCAGATCGCAGGCGCTCTCCGGCAAGAGTTCCACTGGGTTCCCCACCACCGCTCGGAACTAGAACATTAGGTACCGTCGAGGGAGTCGTCGTCGTCGTCGAGCTGGGAGGGTCCAGAGAACCAAACATGCTCTTCCACTCTTCGTTCAAGTTGGAGTCCTGTTTCGTATGCTTGCGTGCTGTCACAAGAGAAACAAAATGGACCCGTTTTAAATTTGCTTCTGATAAATTATAGATTTCTGGTTTCTAAAACACTCTCTGCTGCTCGGTTACCGTTAACATGCATACTGATACAAAAAAAGAAATCGGGCAATGGATTTAGTCAGCGCAAAGACGCAGTACTTAAAAAATAAAGTAATTTAATATTAGTTCAAAAAGTGAATATTATCATAGAAGCAAACAATCAAATTTTACTTCCCAAATACACTTGAACTGAAGGGGACAACACAGTATGTTGAAATCATTACCTCTCAGCAAATAAATTAACCACCTACAACTTCTCTTAAAGATGTTTTGAAAGTTTTACAAGCCCAGCTTCAGTCAATTTTTTTTTTTGCACCAAATAAAAAATTGTGTGAGGAATAATAATGCTTGCAATGCAGTAAAATAGTATATAGCTAATATTTACCACTATCTCAATTTATATTTGTTTTTTCTGTCATGTTTCTATGTCTCAATGTTTTGTATTGTTTATATGTCATATTGTTATGTGATGCTCACTTGTACTTAACTGTAAAGCGACCTTGAGAACTTTGAAAGGCGCTATATAAAATAAACATTATTATTTATTATTAATATTTCTCAACTTTCTAAAGACAGCCCTAGTTTTTTTTTTTTTTTTAATGAAGTATAATTAGGTATTTATCCATAAACTATTTTTATATTATAAGCAGGGGATTCCTCTCAAAGCGATCATCATGTTTAGGGGTCATCGGCATTAAAAAAAGTTTCTGTAATAATATTCCACAGCTAGTAGGGAATCTATGAGAATAAATATTTACACACACTATCATTCAAAAGTTTAGAGTCAGACAGTAAGATTTTGTAAAAATGTTTTTAAAAGTCTCTTAAGCT